GAGTCTCATAGAGCGAGACAGATTGTGTGTGTGTGTGTACTTTTTTTAAGGCATTTCATTTTTTGATTGAAAGTAGCTATAAATACTCTACATCAACATATTCTAACTGCAGTGTAACCTTTCTGACCTTGTTGCTATTAGTTTGAAAGCTGAAACACCTAGCTTGTGCAAAATGACCTTATGTTAAGATAAATTCCCACTAATTGCATTTCAAGATAGATTTGTAAAACTTGAATGGAGGAAAAAGAGCAGCTGAGTGTCCTATGTGACACATTTTATTTCATCCTAAAGTGTACCGTATTACCAAATAAATCTCTTGGGCGCTGTATCTTCTATTAGATTTCTTGCGATTTTCTTTATGACAGCTAGACATTGAAAAAAAAGACTTGATGATAGAAAACACAACTTTCCACTTTAAAGGAATAGTGTTTAAGAGGCTTGGCCACCGTTACTTTTAACTGACCATAAGGATCACTGCTGGAAGAGGCCACTGGTGTTGGAGTTGCCCATAGCTGTGTATATTAAGAAACCAATAGTAAGATTTCCTTTTCCATCATAGGGAACGTATATAACCTGTTGTCCCTATGAGTCTTATGTTGATATTCTGTCTGGATCTTGCCCAGAGTTGCCAAATGAATCTAACAAGGTGGTAATTAACAGATGGTGGGAGTTTCCTCATGGTTTCTGGAGCTGTACTGTCATAGAATGGCTCATTAGACGCCCGCTGCCATCACTGATTGTGACTTCCCTGCACCATCTCTGCACTATTTTAGGAAAAGATCTCAGAACACGGATGCTCATTGTAATTATGCTGCCTGTTAAGTTTGTGCTTTTGTAAATCTTTGTGGTGGTTCTTAGTTCTTTTGGCCCCACTGAGCTAAGAGGTGATGTGCAAAGATTCTCACCAAGTTGAAGGATTCAAGTTGAGAGAAAAATTTAGAGTTCCTCCTTAGAGGTCAGGTAAAAGTAAACTGAATGTTTATTCATCAAACTGTTTCACCTTTAAGGACTATGAATCCCAATACAGTAGTCAAGTAGACGCACCAATTTTTTACATTTCAATTTGACAATCAAATCGAAGGCACATAAATCTGTAAAGGGAAACAAAATATAGACTGTATAGAAAGGGTAAATCCTTCAACTATGACTTTGATTAAATTTTAGCGTTTCATCATCAGTAATTTGAGCAAATCTGAATGATTTTGAAAGTTACCCTGTACTTCTAAAATTCCCCTGACATTAGCTGATCTTCAAAGAGACGATCTAACAAATCTCTCTGTAAAAGACAGCTACACTGCAGGAATTTCTGATATTTTTGGCCATATTCTTTGTCACAATAAGTTCCTGTCTTCTCCACGTTTGGGCTACAAAGAGCTGCTAGAAAACAAAAATTGTGGAAGATAATCTGGAGAATCAAAACTTTTAGATGTCCCATTTCTGTAGGATATGTTTTGTACGCTGCTCATTATTATGTAACGGTAGGCAGTTTAAACCATACGTTTACATACACCAAATGAAAAGACACCTTTTATTGTCACTGTCTAAAGTTAAATCAGACCAAACTTCTCTCTTTTTAGATCAGCTGGAATTGCCTAAATTAATTCTGTTGCTAGATGTTTTATAAAATGAAAAGCATTCTGGCTGAAATGTGGCATTTAATAAACTGTTCTTCTATAGATTGTTCTGATTGTGGGCTGGCTTTTAAAGTGTAATAGTTGAACCAAAATTGTTTAGTCTATGCATTTTACAAAATCCTGTGGGGTGAAGTCCTGCATTTTATTCTCACTGACGCACTTCTCTGTAATTGCTGTGACATCACTTACAGAAATTTGCAGATGGTAAGGCGAGGAAAGGTTTGTCCACTGCCAAGGAGATGATGGGCAGCAGCATGTGCTCTGGTTTCACTCTTGTTTCTGTTTGGGACTGAGAGTTGGAGCTGCCTTATGCAGCATGTTTTTAATTTGCAAATCTTAAAATATTGAGGCTTACAGGGTTATTTTCCAATTAAAGGCACAAAGGGGTTGCAGCAACAGATGCTTAACATGCTCATGTCCTCTGAAAGACAAGATGTCTGATTAAAAATGGGAAATGGGAAATAAAAGGTAGAGGAGCAGGCAGTTTCAGAAAGAAAGATGATCCAGGATGGCGTCTAGTAGGTATAAAAGTGATCTGGGCTCAGGGTGTGGGGAGGCCTGTGGGGGTCTGCTACGGCTGATGAATCTCCGCAGTCAGAGATGGAGCGATAGAGAAGTGATGAAATGGGAAGCGGAGGGAGGTGTGGTGGGCTTCCACATGTGTTCCCATGCATCATCATTACTCCTCTGTGCCGAGACTCTTCTCCACTCCCACCATCCTGCCCTTCCCTGCTCCCTTCGTTTTTAATAACTCTCCGTCCTTGAACTGTTGCCCCCGCTTTTATCCACCGTCTCACCCGCCTGTATGAGAGAGCAGCTCAAAGCCAGATGACCATCCACAAAGCCCTCCATTGTGTCCCACATGCCTTGTAGTTGCATGATGTGCTGCTTTGTAACATAGCAGTTCGCCCCCTACCCCTCCTCTCTTCCCATCTTTGAAGATATGATGCAGTGCACTAACGCAACCCGACAGGCGAGCCACAAAGACTGCACTGTTAGATGCTCTCGAGTTGTCTACTTTGGGCAGCAGGGGTGATTTGCATTTGTTCATGTGCGCGCTCGAATGAGGGTACATGAAAAAAGATTGATTTTACTGCATCAGTGGGGTATCTGCTATTAGCTGCGGCTGATCTCTCGTGACAATTACCTCTTTTGTTGCCTACACTGAAGCCAGCTTATCTCTCCAGGCAAAATGTAAAAAATGGATTTTGGGGGTCTCCTGGTGAAGGAATAATAACTTTCTTCTACTTTAACATGAAAACAGCCTGTGACAGGGAGTGAGGTGTATGTTCTCGTTTCAGAATTTGTGAGGTTTTCATCTCTTTCTGCTTCTGGGAACATAAACCACAGGCCTGTGGCTTTTGAGTTGATGCAAAGCCAGACACGGCTTTTGTTTCCTTGACCCAAATTCCTTGAATTTGTTGCGCCATTTAAAACTCCATGGAGTTGCATAACTGAGAACACTTTGCCCCTGTTTTTACCCTGCCGGTTACTGGACATCAATCTGAACAAAGCAGATGATTAGTTTGTGTGTGCTGCAAATCTAAAGCCCCAAGAGTTGAGTAGACTTCAATCCCTAATGGGCGTAGAGACTGAAATGTTTCCATCAAATTTCAGGACAACCTTTGGGTAAATTCTGAGGCAACATTTTGCTGAAACCACTCACAGCAGGAGGCATTTATTTCTCCAAAATGCTGAAATTCAATTTATTAAGTTTAAGGCATGTTTTAACTTTTTATTTCAATGAAACATAATCTCTCCTGCAGGACTTTACTGCTGAGAAACATTGCTATTAAAAGCTCTGTGTGAGTCTCTCAGGAGAAATCTTGCAACGCGTCAGATGCCTCACACTTAAAACAATTTCATTTCTTTCAGTGTTAGATTCTTTTTTTGCCACCATAAAATTGAGCAGTTTTCCAGCTTCTTTCTGCTATTTTCTTGATATTTTAGCTCATGTTGTATTGATGTATGAGTTTGTCTGAAATAAAGAATGGGCTCAAACTCAGGTGAAGAATATATGACAAAGGAAATCCACAATAACATCTGAAGGAGCAGCTTTTATTTTGTTAGCCTTTCTACAGTAAATGGTCATTAAATTCTATTTGTACCAGAGGTGACGTCACACTGTGTGAAAGAAAACAGTCATTGTAAAGCTATGGTTTGTTTAATTTTCCAGGTCAGAGCACAAGATTAGTCCCCCTCTGCAAATAAATCACTCATTTCTGAGCATATAGCTGGCTTATCAACTTAATCAGGATATTTATTAACACAAAATATAAGTCAAGACATTCCATTTATTATGTAGGCTGTGTACAAATAATCAAGTCTTTGCTTTACTGATTTGTAACCTTTTTTCTGCTTTCTCCTAGATTGTACATAACAATTTCATGCACATGATCAATTTTGTAAATTATGTTTTGCTGTAATTTAGTGATTTTTTTTTTCTTATTGAGGGGTTTGGCAGCACTGTACTTTCTCTGATTTAATTTTTGAATGGATCACTGATTTTGAAAGTAGTTAGATTTTTGTATTCTTTTACACTGAAGAGTGTTACAGCAACCGACTGAGAATTATTTTCTGTTGAAGATCCATTGTGAGACTGCACAACTTGAAAAAGTAGCTTCAGTACATGGAACTACATTCCATGTACTGCTTTCTTTTTTCAAAGTGGCATGCGATGACATTTTGAGATTCTTGTGGTCATTGCCTCATAAAGCTGTAGGGAAAATTCTGCAAAGCAACTTTGAGAAAAGAGTACTTCCAGCTGTTCTCCAGGATGAATGTCTTCTAAATGCTCAGGGAGTCCACACATGTGGCATATTGCAGCAAACACAAGGGACCTCTCTCAGTTTCCCACTTGTCTCTTCATTTGGTTGACATTCCTTCACTCGGGGGACACTGAGAGATCTATTTCTTCTCAAGTGTCTCATGTGCAGCTTGAGCACAGCTGCTGAGGTCCTCAGGACTCTGAGGTGTTAATCCGTTTTACTTTAGTCAACCACACATCCAGCTCATGAGCCAATACAATACTAAAATACTCAATATTAGGTTCAAAGAATGAGGCAAGATCACTAAAAAGGCTATGTGTTTTCACAAATATAAATATATTTTTTTCAATTAGTTTTGCTCAAATAGGAAGCTCTGAAGCTAGAGGCTGGAGGCTGTTTTCCAGACACAGCTTTAACGTAGCCAGATTGTGTTCCTTAAGATACCAATCACATGCCAGAGTTTACCTTAAAGAGCCAAACTGAACATTTTAGATTTCACAACTTATTGAAATGTCAATACCACTGAATAAATGGCTTCTGTGTAGAGTTAATTTGTGATTTCATTCTCTGATGGAGATTTTTATGTCCCTCTTTCTAGGTAAAGTGTTGAACACGGATTTACGTCACTACCTCAGTCTGCAGTTTCAGAAGGGCTCCCTGGACCATAAGCTCCAGCAGGTGATCAGGGACAACCTCTACTTGCGCACAATTCCCTGTGAGTATCTTCCACAGCCTCAGCTTCGCTACATGTTATTGGTATTATTGTCTCAGTTGGAAAATTCAGGTGTACCAGCAGTAATTTAAAGGTATATGGAAGCATAAATAATAACAAATATTGTGAAACATGGATGGATGGATGGATGGATGGATGGATGGATGGATGGATGGATGGATGGATGGATGGATGGATGGATGGATGATGGATGGGATGGATGGATGGATGGATGGATGGATGGATGATGGATGGATGGATGGATGGATGGATGGATGGATGGATGGATGGATGGATGGATGGATGGATGGATGGATGGATGGATGATGGATGGATGGATGGATGGATGGATGGATGGATGGATGGATGGATGGATGGATGGATGGATGGATGGATGGATGGATGGATGGATGGATGGATGGATGGATGGATGGATGATGGGATGGATGGATGGATGGATGGATGGATGGATGGATGGATGGATGGATGGATGGATGGATGGATGGATGGATGGATGGATGGATGGATGATGGATGGATGGATGGATGGATGGATGGATGGATGGATGGATGGATGGATGGATGGATGGATGGATGGATGGATGGATGGATGGAAAAATTCAAATAGGAGTCTGTATAAATAATAATACTGTACTGTTATTAAAGTAGCATACTTTTATTTTTTTAATGTGCAACTGAGTTGAGTGATTTCACATGCAAAAACACGAGAATTTTTACAAGAAATAAAAATAAATTAAATAACTACATGGATGTAGTTATAAAGTCTTACAGCTGCTGAGAAGAAGGATCTCTAATGAGGCTTCTTTGTACTCCCAGGATGCAGCAGTCTGCCACTAATTATATGATTTATAATTAGATAACATTAGATATTAGAGTTTAATATGTCTAGATTTTCCATGCTAAGTCTTAAATTGTTGACATTCCTTCATTTCCTTTTATCACCAAATTACTTCTTAAGAATTACATTCCAGGTCATGAATTTGGAACTGACCTTGTTAATAGACAGCATGTCTTTTTCGACCAGAAGCAGTTTCAAAAAATGTTTCTCACCCTGAGATATTTCCAAAAGATTCAATCTTTTTCTCTTAAATAGTATGTCAAGGTGAAGAAGCATTCTTACTGCTGACTGATACTTGAGGCAACAGGTGGGGAAGGAGCAGTGTTACACCTGCCTGTGCTGAATAAAGCTTTGATGCTGGAAACCAGCTCTACTCTCTGAGATACTGTAATTACTACAACACCTGCTGTTTGGCTTCAAGCAGATCTTAATGCAAAAGTAATGAGAATAAATACCTTATAACAACTTTAAATGGAAGGTTGACATTTTCTATCAAGGCTAAAATACTTTTATCCCATAGGGAAAATGATTGCAGTTTTGACGGATATCATATTTCCTTAGTAGTATATGTTTTACAGTGAACTAAGTTCCTTATTTTCTCTGTACCTTGCACTGGTGGTGTTTTAGCTCCTATATTACAGTGTGTTCAATGCTCCTTGGAAACAAGGAGGTGAAATAAATAACCACTAAAGACCGATTTTCAGTTTACGCCTGAGAGACTTTAAAACAGACAGCGAGGCCAAAAGGTTTAAATAAAAGAAAAGCTGTGATCCTCTTGACTGCACATTGAAGTTATCGACCGTTTCTGCCATTTCTCATTAGAAAGGGACTTTTAAAATGTTTCCCAACACTAATCATTTGGAAAGCTTTCATTTCTGTCAGTCTGCTTTAAGGGAAGGTTACTGCAGAGTCAACTGTGCTGTACTGAATACTTTGGTTATAATCAGCAGGATTTTCTTGTCTTGCTGATGGAGAGATGTGACTCTGCTATGCATGCAAAGCACCCATAGAAGCAGTGTGTTGGGGCCTTATTTCAGCCAGCAGACTGGCAGTGTGCACCCTCAATAAAATCTGCACTATTTTGAAGAGGAAAGGTAAATAATAAGTAACTTCTAATGACCTTATTGAGCAAGTCTGCACACTAATCTAATCGTTTTGAGCATATTTTGATTCAATTTCAGCATTTTTCAGTATCTGCTCCTCAGTATCTTCTGAAAAGGTGCAGACAAAAAGGGATTTTATTTTTTACTGTCACTGTGAGTCCATGCAAAACAACACAAGCTTTACTTCACCTTCAGGTGTTGCCAACATGACAGTAAAAAAAAAAAAAAAAAAAAAAAGATTTCCACACAGTATGAATAATATGAAGGGCTTTGGAAGGGCAGACTGGACAAATGATGCCATTGAGGTCTGAATGCTGAAACTGAATTTAATAATAATTTGCGTTGTTTAATTTAATTTCAAAGTGGTCGTATCAATCAAGAACATGTACTTCAGCGGGTTTTTGCGTACATTTTAGATCCACTTAATGTGAAAATAAAATAACTCACATCCTGAACATTATGACTAATTTCTTCCTGAACTATTTTTAGTGCATGTCGCGTTTTGTCACCTTTCTCACTTTGACATTGTAGAGGACAAAAGAATAAGCCAACATTTTCAATGTGAGACATTTTAGTGTGGCTTCAGTAGCTCAGCATATGCATCCTTTCTCCTCCGCTCATTCAAGCCTTCAGCAGAGCCTCATCACAGAGCGCTGAGCCGCCGTGACCCTGTGAGGAACCTGGATAGCCACTCCAGCATGACGTCTGTGCTCATCGCAGCAGTCGGAATAAGGTCTTGGGGACAAGCAAGCGTGACTTTCCTTCCTGCACCACATGCAGCGAGTCTTCGTTAAGCGTTGCCCTTGTTTCATAGAAAAGGCGACATCAGCTCAATGCCGAGCAGGGCTCCGGGTTAACATGAAATCCTGCAGGCTTTGCTATATCCTGACCCCCCTCCCAAGGCTATATATCCGGCTACATCTCTCTTTCCGTTTGGATGATCGCTGTCACAGCAAGGCAAATCAGCTACACTGGTTTCATCAAAAAATGGAGGAAGAGTTGTACCAATAGAAAATGGAGAAAATGTGCTCCACGATTTCAATTGCAGCAATTTATTGGAAAGATTGAAGAGATTCTCGGTTTGAGTGTGCAGGCTTATCTTAACGTATCACTTTGTCTTTTTACATAGAAAAAAATCAGATTGCATCTCATCCAGAGTGGCCCATAAATGTAATAAATGTAGCCCAGGGAGCTGCAAGATATAAATGAAGGTAAAACCGGGCCAATCCCAGCAAGACGACGCAAACATCAGAGCTATATCTCCAGATCTGCTTCACTTATTACATTTCATTAGCCAGAGCATGCAATTCCATTTTTTCATACAAAAGCAGGTATAGAAAACAAAAAAGGACATTAGGCTGTTTCACTGCCCAGAATGATTGTTAAAACATCAAATGAACCTTTTCCAACCTTCTTTGAGGAAATTCTCATTTCCATGCCATTTAAAGCTTCAGTATGAGGTTCATTAAACTGAAACATTTGACTTGGACCATTTCTGTGCTGTAAGCTCCATATATTAGTTTCACAGCAACATTACATGTCCTCTTGGTCTGATGTCTGAAATCTTAAATCCCAGCAAAGTTTTTTTTGTTTTTTTTTGGTCAATGCTTTGAACAAAAAGGGTATAAACGGCTTATGTGACTGATTCTCTAAAGGACTTTTTCTGGTCTTACAAACTAACACTTTCACACATACTCATGCACCGTAAAGCATACGGATACAAGGGCGTGCAAGGTGGATGAGCAGATGATCGAATGACTGGGAGATTATTTGCGGGATATCTCCACTGTGAAAACCAGCTTACATATGTAATCTTTTTGCTACTTTCCTTATTGCGGTTCCAAAGAATTGTGAAACTCCTGTCATTTTTCATATGAGCAGAATTATGAGAATAAGAGAAAAAGGATTCCCTTGAAAACTTGCATCACTGATGAATTTCAAGAATATTTCTACATCAGCCCAAGGCACCAAACAAATTGGCCTAGACTGAAATTCATCGGCATAAAAATCAGCTGCACCGGTAAACTTGTTGCTTATGTCAACAACAACAGAAAAGTCCAAGAGAAATCAGGTTTTATAATGTCCCAGAATTACCTCAGTATTATTTTTTCGGATAATTTGAGAGATTTTGCTTCAAAAGCCTACAGAATAATGTGCATTCTATTATTTCACTCTGTCAATGTTCATATTAATCCTCATACAAGTGCATGTCAGTATATTAGAAGGTCAATGAAATGTTATTGCAGACAAGTGTTTATTTCCATTGTATTTCGATGAGATTGACTCAACCCTCAAATTTTTGTTACTCAGAAAGTTTTAATATCTTATACGATCAAAATAAGGATTTTTCATTCAGTGATATTGTCCTACCGAAATGTATTCAATAAATTAGTAAGATTAGAACTACCTTTTGGTATTACACATTTAATTAAGCACTTATATCTGTTTTTACATTTTTTAAAAATATTGTCTTATGTAAATTTTTTATGAGAAATGTCATTAGCTAATCACAAAGTCATTACAATTAACAGATAAAAGGCTTTTTAGCATCCATGTAAGTAATCGACATAGTGTATTTTATTTATTGATTAAGTTCCTGAGATAAATGGACATTTCAATGATATTGTCAACTTATATTCCTGTTATCTTGTTAATGAAGAATATTAATTCTTCATTAGTATTCTTGGCTACAGTCATGAGTGAAGAGCCTGCTTCATTCATTTTTTTCTTTTGTAGCTTATTCTCAATGTTGAGCGCTGACTGTGCTCAACAATCAGCTAACAAGCCAGCAGTCTGCCTTTTGAATGTGAAGGCCTTACATTTTTCTATCAATAATCAATTGTTCATTGGTCTTATGCGACATTAAATTTTTCCGAGATACTGGACTTAATTCTCAGTATTTATAATGATTATCTTTTGTTGTTGATCTATATCAGCAAATAATCGGAGGAGAAAACCATTTTCTATTTTTGAAAATGACCCTTTTTCCTTTTGAAAACCCGGTGTAGAAACCAAGGTTGAAAATTGTGTCCAATTTAATGTTTTCAAATAAATTAAAAATGGTGTTGTGAAACTGACTGTATGCTTTCTAAAGTGTCAGCTTGGCTCACCATCATTAGAGATGTAATCTTGGTTTTTCTAGTAACTCTGCTGTCTCTCCACTGCAGGCACATGGGGCTTTAAATCAAGTTTAACATTTTCTTTCTGTCAACAAATATTCTGACTGCAGGAGGATATATTATGTCTGAAACAGACCACTCTGTTACGAAACCATCTTTTATTCTGTCAAACAATATTCCAAGGAGATTTGTGAAACCATAAAAGGGAGATGTGCAAGCTTTATTTGGATTGGACAAATGGGGAATTTAGATATTTAACTTTTTAGAGATGGATTAGCGACCTCAGTCCTGTCTCCCAGCTGCTTCAGACCATCGACACTCCAACAAATGCCACACAATTTTATCTCAATGAACTCTGCGCATTAAGCCAGGACTTATGAGGATGGACATGATCACTGCAAATGTTGTAAACATCAGATTAAGCTTTAATCTGTAGGGTAGTGGAAGCAACTCTGCTCAGTCAGTTTGTGGAGATCATTTTGGGAACTTCTAAATCCATATTTGTCTGACTATTATTAATTTGATCTCATTCTCGTTGAACTAGTTGCTTCACCCTAATCTTTTGCTCCATTACCAAAACTGACTGGGCCACTTGTCAGTTGGCCCAGTCACTTCCAAATACAAAACAACATGTTGGTAAAATTTAGAGATTTCATTCAACTTAAAAGGGTTGGAATAATTTGCATCTTTGCTGTATTTCAATTATTTATTAATTTATATACATCAACTCAGCATTTATTTTTCAGTTAGTTCTTATTGTATTCAATATGTGATTTGCATTTTTATAAACCAAAATAACATGTTCTCATTGTAGATCTGACATTAGCAATAACTCTGTTTTTATTGCTGTAAGTAGTTGTTGAATCTCCTGTTTGCTCCTTTGGGCTGATGTACAAACATTCCTGGTATTCATTAAAAATGCAGAAGTTAAAGAGAAAATATTTCCTTGTTATTGTCTGAATCCTCCTTATAGTGTTGCATTAGTGTCCTTAAAGAATTGTGGTTGCGCTGCTGGGCACAGCGTAACTTCGTGTGAGTAATTAAGACCCTGTTCATTATCATCAGTTACACTCCCTTTGGTTTCTGACAGCTGTGCTGCTGCGTTGAGGCTGTTTTTTTTCCCCCTCTCTGATTCATGTTTGAATAATGAATTCATCGCTTTGCGGTCCCAGCTCTGTTCACTATTCATGATGTAGACACAGACCCTCCCCTGAGTGCTGAATCACATCCCTGTGGGCATGTTGCATATAGTACTGCATCCAAACCCCCGTCCCAAACCCCCGATCCTGACGGTTAGTTCTTGGGTTGTTCTTCTGTCTCACACTTTCCCATTTTTGGCAGGTACCACTCGGCAGCCCAGGGAGGGAGAAGTACCTGGAGTGGACTACAATTTCATCAGCGTGGGGGAGTTTCAGGAGCTGGAAGAAAGTGGGATCTTGCTAGAAAGCGGCACATATGATGGTATGTTCTTCAACCCGGCAACACAAATGGTAATAGATCAAGATGATGACAAAACAATAAATACACATCTGACAAATTCTTACATCGTGTTGACATGGTGCCATCTTCACAATACTGCCCCAAGAGTTTTCTTTCATTTTCAGTTTTGTTTTATTTAAATAAGTTAAAATAAATATCATCTTAAGGCATTTTACAAGACCTACTCATATCCAGTTATATAAACATCAATTTATTCGAATGCAACCCAATCAAATCGTCAGTTTCAGATCCATTTATATACAGTTCATTTCAATGTAACTGTAGCTAGATACAATGGCTCGTTTACAAACTACTAATTCCACTAACAGAAAAAAGATCTGATAATAAAAATATCTGATAGTTTAGTTTTTCATTAGTAGTAGGAAGGTTTTGTACTAAAACAAGTTACTGGACAATGATGTTGTTTTGAGACAATTTTCAAGTAATATAATGGTAATGGCAAAATATTGCAGAACACATCTTCAGAGATCAGAAAACGTTAAATTCTAGTGAACATTTAACACTGGAATTGGAAGATGTTTTAAATTTCTAATGTAAATAAATAGCAGATAAAACTAATTATGTAGTCTCTTTAAAGAAAATTTCCTTCAAAAAATGTCTACTTCAGACCAATACGCTATCCAGCTTTTGGTAGAAATAAAGAGAAACACAATAAATTATGCAAATCGAAATGATTGAGTTTATTTTAATTGATTTATTACTTTTTGTAACAGGCTAACTCCTATATATTACTGAAAAGTTACTTATGAGTTAGTTCTGTCTAAATTCAAGTATGTTAAGAGATTTACATTAGAAAGTAGACAAAAATACTTGGTTAGATGTTGTGTTTTGCAGTTATGATAATTTTTAGTCAACAGTCAGGAGAACATAAAACAGATGTGAAGACTCTGGCAAAAGACCAAGTTGTAAATGTTAGGCAATTACGTAATCAAATGCTAATAGACTCATGAATTCCAGGTCCCTGCATTATTAAAGAATTCATTTCATAAAAAGATTGATAAATGAATCAGAACTAATGAAAAGCAATGAAGTGCTGAACTATGAAGATGAATTATTGCAGTTTAAACAGCGTGGACTGCACTTAGACCCAGTTCTTTATGAAGGTGAACTGGTACAGCACTAGATATGGACAGGAACCAGAGAGATACTACTCCCCGGAGTGACCAGAGAATTACATTGTTGCTATAATTCACAGTCCCAGTCCATCTCTCTGACATGCCTGCTGGAATGAAATTGTCTTGTGAATTTGCTGAGCTGTGCATCAAGCGAAATCAACACATTGCTCATGTCATCAAAATCCCACTGCAGTGATAAAGAACTGGAGGTAATCTTTTCACACATGATTTAGTTTTCTGCAGCAGACTTTACCTCGGTCACCTACACAAATGTGTTGGGAAAGCCGGGCTCCATCCTCTGCACACATATAGCCCAGAGTGACTTGGCTTTCAACCTTGAGCCTCTGAACTTGCCTCCGGGATGAATAATGGATCTGCTTGGCCCTTTCCTGCCTAATGTAATGCATATATATGTGGGGAAGGCAAAGGTCCATAAGCCCTCAGAGAGTTAATTATTAACGCCCCAGCTGGATGACCTCAGAGACTCCACATTGTGATTGTTCAATAAAAATTTCACATGGAAACAGACCTCAGTGTAGATATTTGGTGCTTGATTCTAAACATAATGGATGATATCCGCGTAGTAAGCCAACCAATTGGAAGTCAAAATGCCAAAGTTAACCAAAAAGTAAAGCAAAAACATTCCTTATATGCTTTCATATTAGATTAGAAAGAGTTTTGTTATTTTCCTCTTTGTGACTCGTTTTCTTTACTCTGCAGTTTCTGATTTTCTTGTGAAGTTTTATGTCTGCTTTATGACTTGTCTCATTTATTTGTGACATGTCTTGCTGGCTGAAAAAACAATTTCCTTCCTGCAACTCCAATCTAATGTGTTAAAGGCTCCGGGGAAACCACCCTGTTTTCCAACCTACTACTGTTTTAAAAATTTAATTTTAGTCATTATTTATGGTTGTTTTTCTGCCATCCTTCTTTCTCTTTCCTTGCTTTCTGTATAGCTGATTGAAAGGAAAGATTGACCTGGTCTGTCATGTTTATAGCTGTGACTAATCTTCCAAACCTGGGAGCAACAGAGGCTTCATAGGTGCGCAGTTAATCTACAACCGAAAGCGATACTCTCTCACTGTTGTGTTGGACTTAGTAACTGCAACAGTGGGACTTTTACAGACTGTTTTGTTGTGCTGCTAGTCAATAATAAAAAAAAAGCTTGTTACTGAGGGCTATTATTTTGAAAATGGTTGACCAAGCATCAGGTCAGTGCTGTGCACCACTCCATTAAATGTTCAGTCTTGCATTCCTAAGAATGTATTTTTTTGGCTTAGTTGATTTTAAGCCTCACTAATACATCTAGAGTATAAGCTGCACAATCCATGTTTTTTCACTGTAAAAAAGATAGAATAAGGAAATTATATCCATCCTTTGTTTTTGCTTTCTTATGACCCACTTAAATGTTTCAGATAACCAAACACATTTTACTCGTGGATAAATAAATAACCTGACTTTAAAACTTTTTTTCAAAGTGTTTTTCAAATGATGATTTTATTCATTTAAGGAACAAAGTTATCCAAGCTGACCTGACCCTCTGTGGAAAAATAACCCCCCACCCCTGTTGTAGAATCATAAATCAAATATGATTAAGCTAAATTTTTTAGAAAGCTGAGCTCAATTTCACAAGCCATACCAAACCTGATCAATAACTGACCTGCAGATATGATAAATAATTTAAAGGGAAGCTCTCTGGGAGCTAAAAGGTCTCAAAAAGCAATATATAATCTAAAACACACAGAAAGCTTATAAAATTGACATAAAAGGTGTTACCTTTTCTTCAAAGTGGATTTTTCAGTAATGTGAGCAACAATAACTTCTCTCTGGCAAATCTGTCAAAAGTAGGCATAAGGATTGGAACTATTAAAAAATACTACTTTATCCACATTAGTTATTTCTGCAATGGTTTAATATCTCATTACACTTTGGTGATTAAATATCTTAAGGCTTACTTGCCAGATTAATAGCTGCTAGAAAAATAATAAATCCAACTTTGATTCATGAATAAGTCTAACAATTAGAGTTTCAAAAATGTGTGGCCTTGTTTTGCAGTTTGTAATTGTGTCATTTTTGAGAATTAAAGGGTTTTATAAGTTCTGTGGCAAAGCTACATATCTGTGGATTACAAAACACAGGGTACAAAATTCACTCAGCATCAAGGGTGAAAAGGTTGATGTGTTGGCATCTGAGCCTCACTTCCAAGAATTTGCTTAAAGGGCTTTCATTAATTAAAACAATCATTAGAAATCCTGCAACAGAAAGCATGAAACTCGCATAGCTGCATGAAATGAGGCAATAAAGAAAATTGTAGAAGAAAATTGAATTGAAGCGCCGAAAAGAAAAGTTTAGAGTATGTGCAAACAAAAGAAAAACATTAAAACAAAGGACAATGATTCATTTTGTATGACTTTATACAAACAGAATGAATATAAACTGAAAGGAAAGTTCATTCATGAGAGGCAGCTGAAACTGAACTCTACACAAGGACAGAGAGCAGAGGAACGCAGCGTTTACAAGGTTGGCTTGTGAAGTGCTGGTACTCATGCCAAGCAGTATTGGACCGCTGTGCCAGGGCCACAAAACAAGACGGGCTTCACTCACCTAGGGCACTGGCAGTCAGTGATAGTCTCTCTGGCTGCCAGTCTCACCCAAAGGAGCAGGAAGCTTTCCTTCCTGGTTAATGAGGGTTCGGTGTAAAGGGCTCAGCAACTTTTATCGCAAATTTATCATTATTTACCATGCACTGCATATATTGTACTGCAAAGAATTGCTTGAACTGCAATAAATGCTTGCTAATAATCCATATAGGTTGCAATCAAGGTCTTTATATCTTTGCTATGTTTTTTTAAACATTTTAATGCATCACAAAGCAGGTCACTAATACACCATAATGAAGTTTTTTTTTAGAACAAAAACACAGACACCACCTTATTATATTCGTTTACATTGCTTTTAAAGTAGCCATAGGCTAAAGTGACACCGCAAGTGCTGATGATCAATTCTGATTTGTTTTTGTTGGAATCAAGTTTGTTTTTGTACATTTTTTTTACTTTTTGCATTGTCATTCATTGAGATTTATGTGTGAACAATTTATGTCCCCAAATTTACGTCAGCTGTAAGAACTCAGTGCAGTTTCATAAGCAAGAAGGAAGCTGAGAAAAATAGATCACCTCCACTAGTAACGGCTTTTTGTGGAGCATTGACTCCAATCTCTGTAGAGAAGTCTGTTTGGAAGCAAAGTCAGAGCTAGGAGTGGTGGGATTGTGATGTGATGTGCTTCAGTGACACAAGCTAATTTCGTAAGTTCATAATCATAATTTTCAGCCATTATTTACATCCTGATTTACCACATCTGGCTTCTTCTGGTGCAGAATTTTGATGCATATCTCACATCATAATTTTTTTTCTTTCTACTATTACTGAAATTGACCTCATATTGGTTTGGTCTTGGTTTTGCTCAGTCTCAGAAGCTGAGCATGAGATATAGAGTCGGTTGTCAAGTGAAACAGATGGCATGACATCAATACTGTCTCATGAACATGGAACAGACATGACCACCAATGATCACAAGCCCTAATGGTGAATATTACAGCTTCAAGTCTCTCCGGACCAGTAACCTTCCAATGGGAGACGAGCTTAGAGAAAGGAGATATCCCACTCACATAAAAACACTTCCTTCTTGCAGGGTTCACACCCATGCAGCAGGGGTGAACAGCTGTGCTAGTAGTAGCTCAAACTGATAAAGTGAAAAACAAATTTGCTTTTGGCTGTCCAGCCGTCATTCACCACCCACCCACTAAGAGCTATAATGTAAAAACGCCCCGCTGACATGATCAGCCCTGTGAGCACAACTGGCTCCACTGTGTTTTACCTCTGACAAAACCACCACTTGTCGATTCGCCACCCGTAGGCAAAAGGAAAACAATCAAAATGACATAAGCTGTTGATGACGTCCCACTGCGATAGACTCTGATGTCTGCATCAGCTGTTCTCTGTTGTACTTAAAGCGGACATTCCTCTCTTTACATTGCTCACAGTTTTATTTTGTCTCACTTCTTAAATACTGAAAATCTATGTTCAGTTATTCGATCAGTCTGTTTCTGATTTTATTTTTCTTTCTTATTGTTGCTTGTTGTTGTTTTTGTAGCAGAACACAACATAAGTGGTTGAGTCACTTTCCTCTGATCAACAAGTGTTTATTTTTGCCAGGAAAATATGGTTGCGGGGAGCTGTTAGGATGATGGCTCACTGGCTTTTCTCTCATTTTTGTTGTTTTTTTGTGTGTTTTTTATACTGAACCACACATTGATCCCAAGGAGCCTGTAAAGAGGTGGCCACACTGACTTTCCCATTGGGCTCAAATAAATCATTTTTATTTCTTTTGCAATAATGGCCATTAATGAAGCAGAAAAACATGTGGAACTGATTAAATCAGTGTTTCCTTACTCTCTTCTACTCTTGTGAAAGGCATTCAGCATTATTAATATGTAGAAAGCATACCAATGTACCTAATATTGACACTAACCACTTTTATCACAAACAGAACACTAAAACCTAATATTACCCATGCCATAAACCCATAATATTTTACATTGCCTTTCCAGAAATATATTGTTTTGAAGATAGCCGTTTGCTGTTATGACAAGGTGGTGAACATCTACATCACTTAAGCTTCAGAACAAGTTTTTTGAGTGTCATTTAAGCCTGATTTAAGAAAGTGAAAGAGAGAAACAAAAATTGAAAAACAGACAAACAAAGCTTCTTGCAAAATGTGATGCTTCTACAAGCAAAAGTGGATTTTTGCTGCCATTTATTGTCACAAATAGAATCTTCCAAAAGTGCATGCCATCCTGCAAGTTACATATTTGTGGCCACCAGGCTGTGATTCTACATTATTTTGGAACTGTATATACATTTCCAAACCAAACTGCTGTGAAACTCTTTGCGCTGTTTCCCCAATAACAGGATGGCCAATAAATCTCAGCTACATAATTAAGCAAGTGAGGACTTTCCTGTCTGTCACAGCATCATTAGAACATTACAACTGCAGCTTTTTACTTTCAGTTTTGAAACAGTTCATTACATCATACTTTCTTGCATCCTCCCAATTCGCTGAAAAAGAAACAATGGCCAATATTTGTATGCGTTTACTCTTCTTCCAACCAGCACAAATGTGATGTACTTAATGACTACAATAACAGTTTTTCCTCTGAAATGACATAATGAGAGCAAGCACAAACGTATTGACGACACATTTTCTGAATTCTGAATTACAAACAACAAAAAAGCTGCACCAACGTTATCTTATCAAGCGATAAGCACTATTCTTCCTCATTTACTTCATTGTGTCATCTATGACAAATCCTCTAAAACCAACAGAGTACTCAAGCTGAGTGGAAACAATAGCTTATTTAATGAGATTTCAATATGAGTATAACTATATGTTGAAGTGTCGCTTGACCGACGATGATAAATTGACCTTTCACTAATTTAAAAAATTTTATGGGCCCTTCAGATTTGATTTTGAGTAGCTCTGCTCTAAGACTTTTGTGGAATCATTTGGTGAAATATATTGTATTTCAGGTACAATATAATTGGTAGCAGGTTTCTTTCATGCAAGGCAATTTTGAAGCAAAGAATTATGGCTGCAAACTTTAAAAGGAACTGCTACTAACACAAGATGCAATGATTTCCATTGCATCTACCTCTTTTTTAAGCCATTAGCCCAAAAAGTTGTTTTTTCTTTGTCTTTGAAGTATTGACGACAGCGTGATAAAATGAAGTCCTCTAATGATTAAGTGTCAGGACAGTGATATAAAGTTTTCAGCTAAGAAATCTCTTTATAGGGAATTTAAATTTTGTTTGGTATAATTTGATTACTTTGCTGATCAAATCATCTGGTCTAAGGTAAACTGAACTGTAAATCAGAGTTTAATTAGTTTCAGTAATGAATCAATGCTGATTTATGTATTTTTAACATGTTATTCTTTCACTAATCTCTTTCTGTGTTGATTTATGATCCTTTGTGTTTACTATAATGTAGTTCCGATTTTACTTTAGTGTAAATCCTTTAAAGTCATATTTATTTCCACAGGTTTTATTTTTTCTTTTATTTTGGGTTGTTTTTCACAATAAACTCTAACCCTTATTATAGGAGAGCTGGTTGAAATCTTTGATGTGATTTATGATCACATCATAAATGTGATCAAAACGTCTAGATCAAAAGCAAGTCTAGACATTTTGTCACATTAGAGCCCAATTGGAGATAATGAGAGTTCCCAACTCACATCACAATCAGATCCTCATGTAAAACTTCAAAATTCAGCCTCTTAGGTTTCTTTCAGTTTTGTTTTTTGATTGTATTGTTTGGCATCCTTGCTGGACAATGTTATAGCTCCTCAACAATGGCTGCTTTTCATATTGCGGCTCATTAGTACGGTGTAATTACTATGCGATCCATCTCACTGCACTTTCTTATTGTGGCCTCCATCTTTCTGCTTCCTGCTAATGGGCTCTTACACGGACTACGTGTATGTTTTATGTGAGAGCTTCTGGAGCTACAGAGTGAACAGAACAGATTAGCACTCAAACTCAATTCCCTCCTTTTGCATTCTGTCATTAGGCTTCCTGTTAATTACCAACCTGGTAAAGGATTTAACACTTCTCACATAATTATTTATGGATTAAAACGTGGATTAATGTGATTATGTGACTCAATGATGAAGTATTGTTTAGCAAGACTGAAATTTATTGCATTTCCTGGTTGATTGTTGGTTCATCAGATCAGAATTTGAATTGATGGATCTTGCATTCATGTGTAAAATCTTATGTTATTTATTCTGATATTAATAAAGCACTCATGCAGTTGTTATAGATGCTAAAAGCCTAAAAAGAATTTCCATCTTTTTAGATGCGACAGAAAAATATCACTGAGAAAATTGCAGAAAAAATTCAACCTTAGTTAAGTTATGGGTGGTAAGTTGGGTTAATGCAAAGTAATGTAAATGAACAGCCTTTAACATGCCAAGGCTTCTCTTCAGGTTTGGGGAGCAACCTGGGTGTGTTTTCTCAGAAATCTGCTTTCATGAGTGGCAACATTCAAATAGTCACGTCTTCTTGATTTCTTTAATTTTCATGTGTCCAGAGAAAGCTTAGAATCCACACTTTCAGAATCTACAAATAACTCGAAATTTCCCGAATAGACTTGGGAAATTTTAGGGCTCAAAATTTCAGTTTGAACCCCAAGCACACAAGTAGAATATATGTCCATGTACAAATAACAATCAGTGCATCTCCATTTTTTTTACTATACCTTTTCACCTTTAGTCTTATCTTGCATGCCTTTAAATTCTTGCTTTGTGTTATGTATTATTCCTCTGCTTAGGGGGAAAAGGTGGCGAGTGGTAAAGTGGGTCATCCTGCTCCTAAAGCCGTGTAAAAGACAAGGCTCGCTCTGTAGAGTAGCACTGTTTGATGCCTGGGGCACCAACATGACAGCAACCCAAGCTGATGGACTTAAAGGGGCAATCGAGAATCTTGTGAGGCAATATTTGCATAAATACTGTAAGGACACCCTGAAAACACATGACATAAATGGAACAAGGACAGTTGAAATAAATTAGATTTGGAAAAGTTTCTTCATCACAGTTGGCTCCTGCCACAGATGAGAAACCAAAGCGCGAGTGGGTCTGGTGTGGGACTGAATAAACATATGGAGCTAAAACCGAATTGCTTTTTCTTCTTAACTTAAAAATTGTTCCAAAATCTGAGAGACATGACAGCAAAAGTGAAAAAAGAAAACCCAAACCTTGGCCTCATTTTCTTTGAACTAGTGCAACTCTGACAGATATGATTTGTAGCTATGAACTAGACTCCCTGCTAAGATTCAGGCTCCATTGTGCTTTGAAAACAGCCCGCGCATCTCTTGCACTAAAGTTAAAATTGGTTCTTTTTATGCAATCCACAAAGTAATTCTCTATCTATAGTTGTCTTTCAGTTCTCTCACACACTGTGAAGCGAAGATAGCCGTTCTCATGTTTTGACAGTGTATCTTACTACATTTCTATATTTTCTATTCCTGCAGACAATATTTCTAGGCAGGAAACTTAAAATAAAGATGAAAGAATAAGATATTTCATGAGAAATTACAATGAAAGTATCACTCTCACATATAGATTATTGTATAGTGTTACACCACTTTCACTTCATTGTGGAGGAATAAAAGAGTACCGAATAGAGTGTTTTATTTTGCTGTCCAGTTACTGTTCATTAGAAACCTGTCAGTGAATTTAGTTTGGATGTTGATTGGTATGGAGAATACTTTTTTGTTTAACATACATGTGTTGGGATCAATTGCTGTAGATTATCACAAAATTCATAGTTTTATTTCAACGACTGCATAACTTTTATTTGAAAAACACTAAATATTAAAATAATACATCCTTACTGTCTTTGCCTCCATCCAGGTAACTACTATGGGACCCCCAAACCCCCCGCAGAGCCCAGCCCTGTGCAGCCAGACTTGGTGGATCAGGTTCTGTTTGACGAAGAATTTGACACGGAGGTCCAACGGAAACGAACAACCTCAGTCAGTAAGATGGACAGAATGGACAGCACAGCTCCAGAGGAAGAGGAGGAGGAAGAAAGACCTCCTATGGTTAATGGTGTGGGAGGTGAGAAACCCATCTGTCTTTTGTTATTTTACAGCTTTTTCAGCTCTTGTAGTTTTTTTTTTTGTTTTGTTCTTTTTTTAGCATAGCTGTGCTTGCTTTCTTAAACTTGTTTGTCCTTTTTCCTACAAAGTTGTTTCTGTTGGCTGTTATTATGCAAGGTCAGCTAATCACCTCCATGTTAAGCAGATATGTTGTCAAAACATCTCTGAGGGTAACTACTCTCTGAGGTAGAGATTGACTGTTGTTTTCTGAAGGCTGACCTTACATGGTACACATAATGATTAGAGATCTGTCCTTCAATTGAAATTAGAAAGATTTTAATGCTTTGTTCGTACAAATATATTCATACCAATGGTTATTTTCCACTTAAAATGTGCTTTTAAGAGTCTTTGTTCATTCTAAAATAATCAGTTCACTACTTCTTTTAAATGTCTTCAAATAGAGGTTAACTAATTGTCATATCCATGGCTCATTATGAAACTCACATTTATTGAATCAAAGTCACATAATGGCAATAACAGGATGGAGCTTTCAGTTTGACTTACCACTTAATGACAAAGATCGGAGCCTTTTAATGTTGAAAGACCTAATTACTCCTAGCAAAAATGTCAAAATGAGTTAAGGCTCGGGATTTGTTGATGCCACTGTCACAGCCAGCTCAGAATAGATAAGTGATTATTCAAACGCTGAAAACCATCCATGTGTCCTCATGTAGATGGTTTTGGTAGTCAAACACAGCTGTGTGATAACTTAAAGGTAGTCAACCCAGGCATTACTGCGAGTCCCATTTTTCCTTTGTGGTTCTTTAGAATTCATGTCAGTTTTATGAGGCTCACTTTGTCACTGATTCTCTTCATGTATCTCCACAAGGGCCTAAACCCACTGTAACGTACGGTGCATGTTTGCATCAAGACAAAATAAAGAATAAAAAAAACTCAGTGTAGTAAAACCTCCATGGTTCCGCTATTAAAAAAGGCCCCAGCTTTGGCAAGATCCTTACGTCCTGCAGTCGACAGCCATCACTTTCTGCTTTGTGCCATTCATTCAGTCCTGCCAAACAGAATGAGCATTCAATGTCATGTTAAAGCAAGGTCACACAGAGCCAGATGGAAACCTGAGATAAGACCCTCTTGCATGCAGACTAGGCAAATGCACACACCCAAACACACACACAAAGCAGCAGTGTAATACTAACAGAGCAGAGATGTGGCGCTCCTGGTTGAGCTGAAGCGTTCTGCCCTTGCCTCGGAGGCAGCCCTTGCCTCGGAGGCAGCACATCCTTGCTGACATGCAAATCCTATGGCAGTTGTGGTGCTTTCTTCCTCTTTCTGTATACTCTCTGTGTCTCCCTCTCTCGCTTTCGCTCTCTCTCTCTCAACCCCTATAACTCCTGTTGATGTAAGCGTTCACACAGCGTTGAGGGGAAAGCAGCCCGAGCGGCGGCAGCAGCAGCAACAGAGAGACATGCAAGGAGCCCAGACGAGCTCCAATGGCGCCACAATCTCACCACCTATCTCTTTCTCCTTCTATCACCTCCCACACCCTTACACCCATCCCATTCCTATCACTGTATCCGTCCCCGTGTCCCTGTCTTCCTGTCGGGATGCAGAGCACAAGGACAAGGCAGACTGGAGGAAGACTGTGCCCAGCTACAACCAGTCAGCAGGAGCCATGGACATGCGTGTCTGGAACACTCTGGATGAAAGTCAAGAGCCTTTGCCTAAGAACTGGGAAATGGCCTACACAGAGACTGGCATGGTCTATTTCATAGAGTAAGTAGCCTTTCTGCTGGTGCCTGTCCTCCTTGTTTTTATAACACCTCTGTGTTTATCTACGTTAGCTCCACTTCCTGCTCTCCCAGTTTTTCTTTCATGTCTGTGTTGACCATTGCTGAAAGTTCTGAAAACGAGTCCTTACCAGAGCCTTCCTCTTTCCAGTTTTTGCTTTTAAGGTGCAGAAGGTGCACAAGTTGCTTTTAAAGTTAATATTAATATTTTCCATAGTTACATTTGAATGGTTTAAAACCTGACTTAATGATCTGTCACACAGCCTGGAAATCAGTCAGGAAGGCACTTTAATCTAATCCTATCCACCTGGGTCGAGTCGCCAGCTGTGTGTGATGGCCTAAAATGTGGCAATCCCCTGAAATGTCCTAATTTTTTTCTCACTCTTTAGAAATTGTCTTTTCATGATATAAAATAGAAAACCAACAGACCATACAGACCTTATGTTAATGTAACCCTAGCCCTTTCTTATGACTTTTTTCCTGTAATTGACTCCTTTTTTACTGTTACGGAAAAATGTTATAAAAAATAGACTTTTCATGTAACAAGTCCTATTCAACTGTAGCAGAAACACAATTAAATTTCAGGCAATTTTGTTTAACTCTAACAACATTTCAGCCATCAAAATACACCTTTTCTTGTTTTTATTTTTATTTTTGACACCAACAGCCACGAGGTGACAGTACCACCCAATGGTCAATGGGAAGAGACGTCTTAATCTTTGTCAGTTACTTCACAGAAAGATGGGCAAAGAGGCATTTGTGTATAGTAAATGTCTCAGGGCCTTGAATTGAAGCCACAAAAGCCTTATTGATGAATATAACTTTTATATATCAAGTCAACTAAAGTTTCATTGCCTTCGCTGAGACACTCTGCATCCATATCAGAAGACATCTTTATGTAATTTTGCATGTATCAACCTAAGTTTCTTTGTTTAGATAAACAGTAACAGTAACTTTTCAACAAAATTGACAGTTTTCTCATTTTTACGGCCGGTTATGCTGGAGCGTTGCTATGTTCAGGTGTTTACTTGTGTTGCTTTATCAAGCTCTAATCATATTCTGAGACATTACAGCTGTTTAGATTCCTTCACACCGACCATTGTTGACAAACTACTTGGAGAAGCTGACATCACTTTATATCACTGGCCCTGCAATAAGCTATTTATTGCACTAGCATGTGGCTATATAGTCTGGCTAATTAGGCACATTTGCTTATCAGACTCACAATCTTACTACACAGGTCACACGAAGGTAGAATCATTATTCTGCACAATAATTTCTCCAAATTTAATTGTACAATTACATTTAATGTGCCTGTGCTTGTAAGTCTCACAATTTATCAACAATAAAATAGTTGGATAACTTGGCTGTAGTAAAGTGCTAAATTTGGTTATTTTGAAATGTATTATTGTTTGTATCATGTTTATTTATTGTTTAATAAACTAGATTACATCGTGTATTCAAAAAAAATGAAACCGTTTTATTTTACCTCAGTGTTTTTGTTTTTGTCTCTGGCTAACTTGATGCAGGTCCTTTGGACCACCTGCATTCTCACCGATGGCAGCTACATTTTTCACAATTAAGTTTTCTTTCCCTTTCCCCCCTCTCCCCTGAGTTTGATGTGCAGTTTGATGGCTGACACTGGAAGCAGCAGGCCAGCATTGTTTACCAGGCCCGTTAGAGTGGCGAGCCAGTCAGTGCCGAGCCTCAGAGAGAGCCAGGTGCTCCTGTTTGCTGCTAAATCAATAGCTCATTCTGCCAGTGAGAGAAACAACAGGCTAAGTGGGGCTCACCACCCTTGACCTGCTCTCTCTTTTCTGCTTTTATGATCTCTGCAGTGGCTCAGCCATTCCTTTTCTTCTCTCTTGACTCTTACACTATCTTGCACTTGAAAGCCTATGAGCATTGTTAACATTTTAACAGGTATTGTTAAAAGTGTCCTGAGTGAGCAATTACAAACGTTTGAATAGCTAAAATATGAATCTTTCTCTCTTCTGTTTGTATTATTAGTCACAACACAAAGACCACCACCTGGCTAGATCCCCGTCTTGCCAGGAAAGCCAAGCCTCCAGAGAAGTGCGTTGAAGGAGGTGAGTTTTTGCATCTCTACTCACATTTTTGTAACTTCCCGTCACACATGGCAATCTGCTCGCGATCCCCATCTCTCAGGATGGGAGCGCAGGCCAACAGACGGAGGCTGAGCAGCTGAGCAGCCCCGTTCGCAGCCTTGCTGGTGACACAGCACAAACCTCCCGTCTGCCTGCCTTTCCTCAACGGCTCCACGGACACACGCAGAGAGCTAATCAGTGCAGCATCTCTCAAAAGGCAATTTTCTCCTGCCCTCTCTTGCGTAAAGATCCCCTCTGCTCTGCATGTGTTGTGTCAGACAGTTGTGGAAAGTCAGGATGTTGCACACGTACAGTAAGCACCAGCAGAGAAAGAGCGAGGAAGGGGGTTTGGTATTATTGGAGAATGTGTGGACGTTGGAATGTATTCTTCCTCATTTTGATGGAAAATGGAAATCCACTGGGCAGCTGTACATCCATCCAATAATTTATTCATCCATCAACCCATCTGTCTGCCCATCTCTCCAGTATCCTCTATATTCAAACTTCATTTAACAACTCACACTCCTCACTGATTTCACTAGGTGTATAAATCAGTGAACATGTGGATTTGAGTAAAGACGACCTCTTTTTTATGTGGCTGCACCACCCCTGTTGTTTCAGTTGCAGCTGATTTATTGTCCCTCTATCTGTCTCTTCTGCCCCCTCAGAGCTTCCCTACGGCTGGGAGAAGATTGAGGACCCCCAGTTTGGCACCTACTATGTTGAGTGAGTAAAACCCTGTTCTGTTCTGGGGTTTGGGGAAGGAACCCAAAGGCCTGCAGCTGTGAATCAAGGCTGATGTAGATGAAATAGCATGCTCCTAGTCTGACTTTTTAAGAAAAGCTGCACCTGTGTGAACCCTTTTACAGCTGTTGGGCCAAATCAGGTATCTTTCATTAGGTTAGATTACTTCCAGCTGTTGTTACTAGCTTTTCTTCTCTCTTGACTCTTACACTGCCTTGTACTTGAAAGCATATGAGCATTAACATATTAAGAGGTATTGTTAAAATACCTTTTAACAAAGATACGCAGAGACTTTGTTGATAATCTGCTAATGTGTAAATAGCACAATTTTGAAGTTGAGGTGTTTCCATTAAATAAGACACAATTAAAAATGTAGTTCTCGCAATAAGTCATTAAAAACATGCTGCACCACATTTTCTTCTTTGTCTTTTCCTCCAGTAGTAACATCTAGTTGTTGGCCAGATCAGGATATGCCCCGCATAGTCAAATCACATGACTTATATGATGGGAAAAAAGTGCAGCTGTAAAAAAAGTGTCTCCATTTCAGTTTTGCAAATCCACTAACTTTGATGTAGCTAAAAAAAAAAAAAACAAGTTCGTCCTAGTGCAAAAACTTTTTATTGAAAATCAGTGTGTTTCCATTCAGCCAATTTGTTGAAATTTCAGTTTGTGCAACGTTAAGGTGAATAAAAACACAGCAACTACTGGATCACTGAAGTCCAAATGAGCTTATTTATTAAATCTGGTTTTAACCCCGTACACAATGGGATGTGGTTAACCTAAGCTGGTTTTCAAACTTGATTTTCCCACAGGCCTGCAGGGAACAATTAACCACAACTCTGCTTTAGAGCTTTGTCTTTGTATGTGAAAGAGAATCTAGAGAATGTAGCAGACAATGAAGGTTCTGGGGTCCCAGAGAGGGAAACAGAAGAGAGATCCCATTCTGATGGAGAGTGTAAACAAGAGGACGTTGTTTCATTTTAGTCCCATTATTGTGTAGAAAGAGGGAGAGACGTGCGGGCACGGGGGAAATCATCATGCCGGTTCATGCTGGAGGGTCACTGAGAGCCGTTCACTCCTCTGCCACCGTCCTTTTCTCATCCGGCTATTTTTTATTCCAAATAAATGACCACGATGTGACACCAAGTCCAATTATTTCCCCCGAATCGCGAGGCGTGTCAACTAGAGAGTGAGAAAGTGAGATGGTGAACTGGGAAATGACTGAAACAGGGGTGTGAGTGAGGCTTGGGCGGGGGTGTTTATCTCCTCAGACTTAATGGGCTGGGCATCTCTGTGCATGAGTCATACACAGCAAGAGCGCTTTGAGTTGAAGGCACACACACAGCGTAGCATCGGCGTCTCAGCATGTGACTGATTCACCGTGCAGTGTCATGGCTGGGATTTCTGCCTGTTAAAGCTCATTATGCAAATGAGCTACAGACATTTTTTTTAAATAACACAGATCTTGTTTTAATTTTAGGGATTTACAGAACAAAAAATTATTGGGTCTTCACCAAGGACCTACAAATATTTTAGTTTACCCGCATGTGTTTGAAAACACAAAGCAGATTCCCGACAGACAGCCCGGGTTTAATCCAGGGAGCAACACCACTTCTCTCTGATGAGTTCAAGTCCTCAGTCAGATGTGAAAAAACTAATTACACCGCTGTAAGAGCTGAAACAAGTATTCAGATTAATCATGATCAGTCATTGGAATACTCGTCTACTAGTTTAGTAATCGATTAATTGTATGTGTAGATATACTAAAAAAGGCAGTTTGCTTAAAGAATGCAATGAGAGCAATAATTCAGCCAAAACTGTACGACCATTTAACATGAAAAACCTCCTGTTTATAAATATGTGACTCGTTTCTGCTACTTAAATGATTTTGATTAACTGATGATCAGTAAAGGTGAACATGTCTACAAAGGCAGGAGTTTTGCTTGCCTTAAGCTTGTATATGTGCCCGTTGTGGGGATAAGCACTGTGAAAAGTGAAAATCACTCAGTCATGTTTGTTTAATACATTGTACAAGAAGATAGCAGTATGTCAGAAATTATCCATCAGTGTCGGCTCTGACTTACAGTTGTATTTATTTCATTTATACATCAGGATAGAAAAAGTGCAAAAAAGACATGCTGTGAGATCTGACTTCTATTTATCTAATCCTTGCAGCTGCAGACCCAAGCTCTGTCAGATGGGCAGAGAACCCTGTATTATACACAGAGCTTGTAAATATAAGTGAAATAAAGACATAACGTAAATACAAAGATAAAACGTTCGCGCAAGAAATAAAATATTTCAATTCAGTGTTGGGGTAAGAAGACATGACCTGTGTCTGCTTATATTTCTGAGAAGAGTTATAAGAAGAAACATTTTACATTCTAGAAAGATTTTTCCAAAGTTCTTTTGAGCATCAGTGTGTATCAGTGGAGACTTTGTTTTGTGTCTTTTTGTTTTTTAGAGCTACATCTGAATGGACCACACTAGTTCTATGTCTTCTGGATTCTTATAGAGCCAAAAGACTAACATAAAGATGCTCTTCCAGTAGATCTGCTTCAGAAAAGCATGTTTAATTACAAAAAATCCACATTTTGTCATGCAGCATCCACAAACAGATGTGCTTTTCAAGGGATTTTATGTGACAAATCACAAAATAGTGTATATTTGTGAACTAGTAGGAATGTTATACATGGTCAATAACTGAAGGTTTTGTATGCATTTGTATTTACGCCCTCTTTATTATGAGGAACTCCAGAACAGCCAACGACCTTCATAATTCACAGCACTGCCAAATGTATGTGCATTTTATTCTCAGTATAAAGAATAGAGCGCAAAGATTATCAGGAAGACGGAAGAACATGGTAGACAGGTCAGGGATAATGTCAGGGAGACTTTAAAACAATGTCAATTTATAAAACAAACTTTGAACATATCGAGAGCAACTGCAGTATGTTTAATTTCCAGCCGTTCAAGGCCGCTAAATGCATACCTGTAGTCAATCTGTAAATTTAAATTAATGCTAATATTCCATCAAACTTTTAAACTTTAGTTATTTTGTAAGGAATGGGCCAAAATTTTAGCCTCTAGAGGAGTAAAGCTGGTAAAAACACACGCTTAAGTACTTCCAGCAAAACAGCTTTAGTTGAATGCAAATGCACATTTTACTTCTTATATATTTGTCTGTGAAAAACTCATAACTTTTTCTTTCTGCTTTACATTGTAGCAAACAATTTCAGTAAAATACATGAAAGTTTGCAGTTGTAATGTGACCAAATGTGAGAAAAGTTAAAAGGATTTGAATACTTCACCAAGATACTGAATCTTCCTGGAAATGACGCCACGCCAGCAGATTCTTGGTCCATCGTCATCTCGAAATCATCTAGCTTGTCCTTAATGACATCTGCCTCCACCTCTTTATCACCCGACTCAGGGTCAGAACAGATTGTTCTCTGGGTAAAATGGAAGAATAGTCTGTCCTCATTTCAGTCTTTTCACTTGTTTATATTATAGTAAGTGATTCCTGGGCTCTTTACTCTCTTGACTGTCCACGGTGTAATTTTTGACCTTAAAATTTGGATGAATTTTTTTTTTGTTTGTTTGTTTTTTGGCTGTGAAAAGTTTTATTTCTTGGAAATTTTTCCAGACACTTTTTTTCCCTTCTCTTATTACTCTGCAGATTATTTGTCTCCAAAAAGTGTCACTTAAATGTTTGAATCTGTCTAAAAAGCCTTTAAAAATTCTGTTTTTGTCTCAAACATTTTCTTAAAGTGATAATCCTGAAGAAAAATGTACACGTCAAAATAAAACACAGCTTTGCGTCCTTTCCTAAAACTGTTTAAATGATGTTTATGTGTTCAAAGTGAAGTAAATGAGCTGCTCTTTATTTAATATTTGTGCCTTTATTACTTTTGATTCTGACATGTTTGGGCTTGTGGAGCACATACTGTTTACATGTTTAGGGTTGTGCCATTGTGGCAAGATCAGGATATTTCCTGCATAGTCAAATCACAGCTTTGCATCGTCATCACACAGTAGCAACAACAGTGGTGACTTTTTATCTAAACCAACCAGATAGAGAGAACAGAGGGATGAAATGAGTGACATTTTAGTTTTTAGATACAAATCTGTGTAACTGATTAGCAGTTAAGAGCTTTTCTCAAAATTAGGAAGACAAATGTGCAAGTATTTGGGATGTATATTTGATCATTACTCTATGTTTTGTCCTATTTGCAGTTCTTGTAACATAATGTTGTTTTCTATCGCTTGTGCAGCCACATCAACCAGAAGACCCAGTTTGAGAATCCGGTGATGGAAGCAAAGAAGAAGCTAAGTGATGACACACCCAGTGCAGTTCAGCCACCAGCAGCTGCACCCTCAGGTAAAACTCTCAGCAAAAAAAATGCTGACATTTTCTCTACACTCACAATGAATCTTCTGTCACATGAAACCTTTGTTATGTCCGTCTTACAAGTAGAAAATCCACAAAGATTTATGTAGGAGTTGATGTTTTGTAAATCTTCAAATTGTTGCCTTGTTGACATATTCTAATCTAAAGGAAACTAACTATCAAATGCGAGCTGTACTACTCTGTTTTCTGGCAAAAGTTATTTGTGGTTTTGGAAAGTTAGTTCCAAAACCTGCTTGAATAAGGAGGTTAGAATATCCACTGCCTGTTCAGAAAGGAGCTGAACAGAAAGTGAAATTGTTTATTTGCATCTTGTTTTTGAAGAATTATAGAAAGAACATGAAGTGGGAGATAATTGATTGGTCTAATTTATTTTATGTTTTTAGCGTGTTTTTATGAACATACATTTCTGTTTTTAAAGCAGATTTTTAAAGGTTTGTTTTCTACAACTCAATGCAACTTAAATGTTTTGAATCGGCTGTTGAAGGGTCCCAGAACCAGATTATGAAAGCATGTCACTCTCATGCTTCCACTTCTCAGCATCCTTCTGTTGGTGGACCCATGTGGATTAGACTTTATGTTGCTTTCTGATGTTGGACTCCTTCTAATTATTGTCCATTAGTCCCAACTGGACACTCAAGGTTGGGGTCAAACCGTCTCAAGCGTTCAAATATCCAGAATAAGCAGAAAATTTAATAGATAAACTGTGGATTCATCTTCAGTAATGTGGCAGGGAGAGCTGAACTTAACTGCGAAGCTCACAATTTGCATCTGTTTCATGACCAAGAGAAGCAGATCCTGTACACAGTTGGCTGAAATGAACTTGGTAATATGTTGAGCTGAAAGTTAGGAGTGAACATTTCATGCACACTGTAACTGATTGTAAATAAGTATGTAATAACTTTGTGCCCCAAATTAAACTCTGCTTACTGCATGATAGAGCCTTGGGCCGGCCCTGGCTGCATGTATTTTTACCCTCCTATTCAGTTAAGTAATCACTGTGGATTTTAACCCCCACAGGCCTTGTCAAAGTTGCTTAAATTCTTCCTCTTCCTCATTTTAATGTTTGAAAGAAATCTTCAAGGACAGGCGCTTTTGCTCGTTTCCACACAAGAAAAATTGTAAGAGATCCTCAGGGTTTTTTTTTTACTTTAACTGTTAAAATGTTGCGGCTTATTAGTGTAGCTCGTAACATGCAAAAACGTGGCACGTTTTGCTTTAAATTCCAGTATATTTACTGAATAAACTGCTGCGTGGATAACAGCGTTGTTAACACAGATGTTCCATCATTGCACTTCTTAAAACATCACATTATGCGTGTTATCCAAACACTGGGAGCCCTTTAACCGTCTGCTTTAAGATGAAATGTCTTTCTGAGGATGTTCTAACAGTTGACAGGCTGCTGATAAACAGCTTAAAGCCTCGGAAGCTATGATATTCAATTTGAATAATGAAACGACGCTTCACTGGGCGGCAGAATTCACTTTGACAAGTAGATATGAAATAGGGAAGGCTCTGAGGTCTCTTTGAATGCTGCTTTAGCCCCCTGTCATTCACAACTGCTTAAAGATCTCTGCAGACCAGAGGAAGGGACCCACGGAAGAGGAATGGGAGGACAGTGGGGTAACTGCAGTGGTGTGTGACTTATTGTCATAAATTGCCTTTCTGCTACTTCTCATGTAAGACATGTGGGCAATGCTGCAGCTTGACTGATATAATCACCCGCCACACCGTAAACACTAGAGTCTGATAAATGGAGGCCCCCGTGTTGTAAAAGGAGCTGGTGCTATTACGGTCCTCCAAGTCTGCATACACAGAGCATTTCCATATTAGTATTCAAGTCAACCTCCGTGTTTCAGACACCCCTCGGACAGATCTGTCCACCTCAGTCTGCTGCGCGCAGATCCCACCTCCCATAGCTGAGTCTCTCTGCACTCTGTGTGCCGCCGCCGCCTCCAGCTCTAACTGCCCACCCTGCACCTTCCCGCCCTTGTTAATGAGAATTAATGGCCAGTGTGAACGTGCGTGAGGTTGCTCCTGAGCGCGATTCTGACGAGGCTTCCTCAGCTGCCTCGGCTGACCTGTCAGATAATGGCGACGGGGCACAGGAGCGGAGCGGAGCACGGCACTGCGCTCAGGCCATAATTACAGCACTGACAATCCTGTCAGACATTTCACATAATCACTTCGCCCCCCTGAGAAAACAGACTGTCCCATTGTTGCCCACAGCTTAATCTGGGCTGTGTAAACATGGCTTTGGTTTGTAGCCTCTGCTTCCCAGCTATGGTTTCTGTCCATGCTGCTTTAATGGGGATCATTTAGGAAATAGTTTTTCAGGCATAGCATGGACATGACTGAGCAGGTTGAGTGTTTTACCTGCAGCAGACACGTTTTAACATTCATCAAAACAAGCTGTAAGGCCCATAGAACTAAATGTAGGCCTTCATGCCATCTTGAAAAGTCTGTGAATGTGTGGAAAATAAAACTCTATTTCCAATCTGAGGAAATGTGATCATATCTGAAGTAGGTGTGAGCAGGAGCACCGTTTATGTTGGTTGTTATTGAAAAGTTCATCCATCCAAGTTCTGTATTTAAATTAGTACAGTTGATAAATTGATTTTATGGACTGATTGAATTTTTGTTTTTTGACTATTAATTTTTTTGTTTTATTATGACTATATTTTTGTAATTAATCAAAAAGTTATTGTAGCCTTGCTCTGATACTGTCGTACAACTCAAGTAGGGATGATCGAAATAAAAGCCACTTTTGGAAAATATTTTCTGTCATTTTTAATTTATTTTTTTAGAAAAGAAAGCGAGGGGAAAAAACCAACTAAAAGGTAATCTGGTGGGAACAACAGAGTCCCCGAGTGAAATTCAGGGACTCCGTACACCTTGCGCCGTACACCGACTTGTCCGTGCTTTTCACTTTAAAAGCAGTCACGTCCATAAGCCAATTGCATAGCAGTTATGCAAATCAAAATCCCATGACACTACGACACTGAGAGAGAGAGTGGTGTGGGAGGCAGGGAGGACTCCTCTCTGCGCTGCCCCTGTAATGAGATTGATGTCGAGCTGTCTATCAGTGTGGGAACCAGGCAGGGGCGAAGCCTGACCTGCAGGGACCCAGTAAATAACTGGCGCTCTCACAGGGGAAGAGGAGCCTAGGATTTAGTTAGGATTCACCTCTTCGTGTCAGGGCTAACTCTATTACTTTTCTGTCTCTTTCTGGCTCATCAGTCCTCCCTTTCTCCACTCTCTCCTATAGTCCAATAGAATTTATTTTCTGTCTTCTGTGAAGTTGCCTCATATGATCTACACAAGGGAAACTTGCTATGAAGTTCACAGGGAAAACAAAACAGATTTATCTCACGTAAAGTGACATTGAATTGTTTACCACTTGTAACTGGCAGGGATGTCATATTATTTTAGTCTTTTCAGAATCAATTATTATAGTTTTCTAATCCACAAAGGAGAAAAACTATGCATACAAAGCAGACTCTAAGATTTGAATCGCCCAAAGGTGACAGTTTAGCTTAGATGGTTTAAAGTTAAATACCATGGGAGTATTTCAGTCAGATGAAAAACCCAGACACACACATCAGAACATGTTTCCTAATGCATGGGATAGGCTAAAATTAAGTGTATGGAATGACTAGGTTTTTGTTCAAGCCAGTTGAGCAAAAAAAAACCTAACTCATTTTGAACTTATTTTGACCCTAAATTGATTCGATAAAATCAATAGTAAATCAACAATAAATTCAAACTTGTTCTAGTTTGTGGAGCTTTTCTAAGTTGCTTGTTGCTCAATTATTCCATGTTATAAAGAACTGGCTCAAATTTGTCTTTAAGCAGTAGGTCTTGCAATCAAAAGATTGTAGGTGCGATTTCAGCTATCCCCACATGTGGACGTGTCCTTAGGCAAGATACTTAACCCCAAGTTGCCTTTCAATTTGCATATTCATGTTTAAATGTTTGGATGTTTACTGGGTTTATAAAAGATTTGTTTGAACTTGCATTAAAACTGAGGGTTCTTTGTTTGCATAATCACTATCAGTGAGCGACATTCTGACAGGCAGGTCATCAGTGCTTGAATGCAATTATGAAGGAGACAGATGGCAGATTAAAGAGAAGCTCATCATTTTACAGAAACATTGTCACCATTTGCTCTTTTACGAGAACCTATTTTTATGAGAACCTAATTGTAAACTGACTTTACAAGAAGATTACCTGGTGCACATAGATACTATGTGCACTTTAATTTGGAACTAAATTTGTATCAAATTTCTAGAATTCAGCAGAAGTGTCTGCTGGTGTTTTTGAGGCACAACAAAAAGTTTGTATTTATTTGACAAATACATCTAGAAAGAAAAATGTGCTAAATATTAACACATTCATTAATGATAGGTGAGTGTGTCACAGTCATGTGACAGTAAAGATCAATTACTAAATCCCATTTTAATCTTTCAGCCTTATTCTTAGCCCCTTTTTAGCATCCTATGAACGGGATGCTAAGACCTTTGGTTGTGCTTGGCGCATATGTCTGACAGTATGTGAAATCAAATTAAAAAGAGAATGTGGATCCCAAAACCAGTTGGAGACAGTGGAAAAACCTGTGTTGAAATGTAGGTCTATATGTTGAGGAAAGTCAAAAGTGATACTATATATTTGTTGTTTGCGGGTCTATGAAAATGCTGTGTCTAAATAATTTTTCTATGATTTTATGTTCTGATTTTTTGTTTGCTGTGATACAGGCCATAATTTGAAATAAAGCCCTTTACTGTTCAACTGAATGTCGGCCAATCAGTATGCATGCAGTAAATGTGTGAAGTTATTCTGGTTGTAATTTCTCGAATGCTAAAAGGAGAAATGGATATGGCATGAATGTGTTTTGCAGCTTCGCATAAATACAGGTTTGACTTGCAAAACAGCAACAGTTTATGTCGTCATTTAGTGAACAATAAAATGTGTAGTTAAAGATAAGCCTGAAACAAAATCGGAGTCCCTCCTAACTGCTATGAGTATGTTGTTGGGATCAAATTCATGTCCACCTTTTGCATTCTCTATTTACTATATCTATTTCCCATTTTTCCATACATTTCCACAGAAGAGGAGCCTGCTAGAGGGTTGCGTGGCTTCACTCGAGATCCATCTCAGCTACAGGGTTCCATCTTGCAAACATCACTTAAAAAAAGCCAGCTGGGATTTGGGTTCACTATCATCGGAGGAGACCGACCGGATGAGTTCCTTCAAGTCAAAAACGTCCTTCCTGATGGGCCTGCAGCACATGACAACAAGATTGCCCCAGGTAAGTTTCCTCAGAGCAGTGGTTGTGTTTTCTGAATTCTGGACACCAGCTGATTAGCTGTCAGACTGATCTAAAGAACCTTCCAAAACTGTTCAGACTTAGAAATATTTTCTTTAGACCTACAGTGTCAACTCAACATAAAGTAGCGTATAATTGAAAAGTGGAACAAAAAAATTCATGGTTTTCACAATCTTTTTTTTTTTTTACAAATAAAGATGTGAAAAGGTGTGGATTTGTATTCAAACCTCCTTTCTTGAATCACAGAACCACTTTTCACTGCAATTAAGTCAGCAAGCTGCATTTGCATCAGGTTTGTAAACCTAGACATGATGGTCTTTGCCCATTTTCTATTGTAAAACAACTCAAACTAAATCAGATTACGTAGAGCCTCTTTGGACATTAGTTTTAAAACACTGTCTAAGATTCGTGTTGGGACTTTAACTAGGCCATTCTAAAACATGAATGGTGTTATCTAAGCCTTTCCATTGTCGCTCTGATTGCGTGTTAAGGAATGTTGTTCCCTGCTTCAATGATACGATCAGGGTAAATTAAGCTTTCCATCTTGCATAATGTTTTTCATGTTTTCCAAAAAGCTCAGTTGTCTGACCAGATCACTACTCTGTCAAATAAAACACTTTAAAAACACTGTTTGTGTTGGAAAATGTGTGCAAGGACACTAGTGACACAAAAAATAACAGATACAATAAGTCCCAAATCATGTGCATTTGACTTGTGCATTGTTTTCTTGATCTTTTATATGTGGTATAGGCAGCTATTAGTAAATAAAGCAGATCATGGATACTTCACACTGAATGTCACATTGCTTAATCACATAAGGCAGTGTTATGGTCATTAATAAAAATAATAAATCATTAATTAAACAAGTGTCTAGTTTATAGTTTACGGTCAGAGTTTATATCCAAGCATAAATTACAGTTTTAATTGGCCTGTCTTATGTAGGTTGAAGGGTGAGCGCTACATGAAGCCATTTGGGAATCTTTCAAGTAGAAGGCGTTGCAATGGGGTAGTACAAATATGCAGGAATTTTCACCTTTTCATTCGTCTGTGGACATTGTGATCACATGTAGGGCTACTGAATTCGTTTGAATAACTGTTGTGCAAAAAGCCTTAGGATTCATATAACACTAATATTGATCGCCACACAAGCACCGCTGCTGAGAATCAACGAGAAAGTGGAACAGAGAGAGTAATTATTTTCACTGTCTCATTTCCCTAGAGGGGGTGTGGGGGGGGGTAATTGACTGTACCAAAAGATGAATGTAATTAATTTCATTGGGTTTTAACAGCGAGCATTCGACTGGAACAACTTCCCCTTGCATCTTAACAGTATGGACCTGCTACATTTATTCATGGCAGGATGTGCAATGTTAGAGCTCTCGAAGAATGTTTATTCCACTTGTGTTTTGGGATGTTTTTAGGTAAAACACTGTAGTACCATATAATGAGTCAGAGCCACCATGTTAGTTTATGGAGTTCATTTAAGGAGTGCAACTTTAGCTGTGTTTGCTTGGGGAAGGTATTGATTGTGTAGGTGGGAAGGATCTTCTTCTGGGCTTTTAGCCAGCTGGCCAGTCAGCGGTTCAGCGGTTTGGCAGGTCAAGAGCTCCAGCTTTTTCAGGGAGAAGAAGGTGGAAAAGAATGAGCATGTCACTTATCTTGTTCTGTTTTACACTTTCCTGTTTCCTGTTGACATCATAAAATGATGCACAAATATATACTCTTGATTGGGGACACATTTATGTAATATAGCAACATACTTAGAAAGTGGAAGGAAAATTCAAATTATTCCCAATAAAATTCTGGAAATTGTGGAGTCAATACTGTGAAAAACTAGTTTTTGTCACGATTACAGTTACAGCTATTTTGGGACTTGTCTTCCAACTTTGCATATCTAGAAACATAAAAATGTATATTGTTGTTGATTAATGTTGGTGCAATATCTCTTGATCAAGCCTTTTCTAGCAGTCCACACTAAAAAAAAAAGCAATAAAAGTATGTATGACTCGTGCTGATATTGCATGGGGTCAACATCAGTACTTTCTACACTCAGAACTGCAATATGTGGAAAAAGTTTGACTCCCACAAGTCTGTTGTTTACCAGTGACTTAGAGTTGTGATTGTATTTGTTCCGTATTTAATTTAGCCATTTTTCACTTTTGAGAATGTTAAAGCATTTTCAGCAGCTGTAGTTTTATAAAATCTCTGTGTTCTTCTTCGAGGTGATGTCATTGTGGACATTAATGGGGCTTGTGTGCTGGGGAAGACTCACGCTGATGTGGTTCAGATGTTTCAGTCCATCCCAATCAACCAGTATGTGGACCTGGTCTTGTGTCGGGGTTACCCTCTGCCAGAGGACTCTAACAGCAGCGAAGATGCATCAGCTTCACTCAGCGCCTCAAACGAAGCTTCCCCTTCCCCATCCTCCTCCAATCCCCAGGAGCCCCATTTCACAGCCCCGGACGGAGGACACCTCTCCCGCCAGGCTGCTGCAGTACCGGCCCTAAGCAACGGTGGGCGCCACCATCATCACCCTCACCCACAGCAACACCAGCACCTTCCTCTCGCCCACAACCAGGAGGGACCAGACCCCACCCTGTTACAGCCGGAGCTAGTGAGCGTGCCCTTGGTGAAAGGGCCAGGGGGGTTCGGTTTTGCCATTGCAGACTGCCCCTTGGGGCAGAAGGTCAAGATGATCCTGGATGCCCAGTGGTGCCGTGGCTTGCTGAAGGGTGACGTCATCAAGGAGATTAACAGGCAGAACGTCCAAACGCTGAGCCACGCTCAGGTAGTGGACATCCTCAAAGACCTTCCGGTGGGCAGTGAGGTCAACGTGCTGGTACTTAGAGGAGGTGAGTGGCTGTAAACATTTGGAAATCTGGATCAAGTTAAGTTTATGTGTATAGGACATTTCAGCAACCAGGCAGTTCAAAGCGCTTCACTTCATGTAAACATCTAGCCTGGCCATTGCTTTTCTGCACATTTTTGCTTGATTCAAATTCAATTTCACATCTCAGTATAGACTTTCACCCATTGACTTGGATTTCTCCAGTAGAATTTCAACCATGTCAATGAGCGAACAGAAGAAGTTGTGAAGCACTTGCAGTGGAGAACGTGAACAAAGCCATTCAGTCCATGTTGGTTTTGCTTACAAATATTGAATTAACATCAACAGCTATCTTGCGTGGCTCAGCACTTCTCTCTTCTCAGTGGAGGATGGTTGTTTATATTACAGTGCAGGCAATTTCCAGTTACATACATCATGGACAAACATTAGAGATTTAAAAAAAATTAAAACTGTGATACAGTCCACGCTTCCAGGAAGCAATTGTTCACAGACAACTCTAAAAAGGCGTGTTTTTTGTCTTTGTTTAAAGAAACTCAATGTCTTGGCAGTTTTCTGGAAGTTTGTTCCAGATCTGTGGTGCGTAGAAGGTAAATGGTGTTTCTCAGTGTTTTGTTCTCTTTCTGGGATGCAGATACAAGGTTGATACAAAAACAACAGATCTGATGTATTTCGGTGCTAAGCCAGTAGACTCGGGTGGTAAGTTGCTAGCACCACAGTGTGACACGCTGTGAAATCTTTCTGAATGTTAATCTACAAGTATTATGTTCAGACAGTGCACAGGTATTATAGCCTGGAGGCAACGTGACAGTTTATTCAAATTCTTCTGAAATCCTTTTAATCCCCCTGCAGATTTCTATCCTGCTTTGTGCTTTTGACTCACTTTTTTTGTGCCATCAGAAAGAAAAAAACAATATACAAAATTCCCTTTTAAAATTAATTCCCTAGGAGATTCTGACATTATCCTCCCTTTTGTCTGAGATCTATCAGCTGTGGAGGGGATGAAAGTTCCTGTACTGTGTACAATGTTTTAATTTATAAATGACAGGACGGATTGCGTGCTGCCTGTCTTGCTTGAATACACGGACTCTCCCAATGTTTAATAAAGCAATTTCACGCTCTGGCCCACGCCAGCTCTGTATCATCCACTGTGCACCTTCCCAAACGGGGAGGAAGTGGAGCTCGGTCACATGGGAGAGAGCTCCGTTCAGAGGAGATGGCAGCTTCACTGAACCACTTTCTGCCATGAGAGAAAGAAAGAGAGTAGGCAGGAGACTCAGAGCGTGGTGGGTAATCACCTCCTGTCTTCTTGCTTCATGCTTTCCCTGATTTGAAGGGCTTGTTCCTTTTTTTGCCTTTGCTGCAGTGCAGTGTAGCCCAGATTCAGAAGATCAGTGTTGCACCCACATATCAGATGCGCTGAGCCGGGTTCTGCTCTACGCTCCTGGGGGTTTGTCGTGTATCTGCATTAATCGCACACGTGCATATGCTGCATGTGTGAGTGTGTGTGTCACAGCTTTAGGAAAGCATAGGATCGCAGCTTTCCAGAAATCAAAGATGAAATGCTGCTGGGGTTTCTCAGAAGACCGCTGAAGGCTTGGATTAGGATTGTCTTCAGTTTCGACCAGCAGTCAAAATTGCAGATGATGAAAAGTTAATAAGGAAAATTGTGAAGATTTTCAAAATGAAATTAAGCCATACTGCCTTGTAAAACTATTCACACCCTTTCACACAAAAGTCTGAGTGTTTCATTGAGATTTTATGTGATGGACCAATACAAAGTAAGGAATAAATATGGTGTTCAAGAAAAATAATAGAAAGTTTTACTCTTTTCTAATTGAAAAACATCTCAAGCTCAGTGAGATTTGACACAGAACATATGAGCATTTATTTTCAAGTTGATTTTCACATGAGTTAATGTCTGAACTTTGACAAGGCCTTTCTGACACATGAATATAATTTGGTTTTAACCATCCAATTGTAGCGCCGGCTATGTGTTTAGGTCCACTGTCCTGCTAACAGGCTGACCTCTGCCCCTTTTGTTTATTTTTTGCAGCCTCCATCTGTTTTTTTGCTCCCGTATTTAACTCCATTCATTTTCTCATCAACTTTACCAGCTTCTCTGTCCTTGTTAAGGAAAAATGTTCTTCTATGTATACTGTATTCCATAGATTATAAAAACATTTAAACTTTATGTTTTTGACAATATAAATGCAGCTCTGGAAAAAAAAATAAGGCGTCCACTCTACTGAACCCCATTAAAAACCTCCTGGTTATCCACCAAATATTGATTCTTGAACTCTTCCAGAGTTAAAACATTAGTTTTGGTGTTTCTAAATGAATATGAACTTGTTTTCTTTGCATTATTTGAGGTTTGAAAGCACTGCATCTTTTTTGTTATTTAAACCATTTGTCATTATCTGCAAACAAATACAAAATCTTTTCTTGGAATTTGGGAGACAGTAGTTCACAGGATAAAAGAATAATCATTTCACTCTAACAGATACCTATAAAAGGTAAAATCAGAGGAACTGTTAATTTTAAGTGGTCTCAATTCATTTCCAGACCTGTATATTATTAATGATATAAACATATTTCAATAAACATACAGTTGTATGTTTTAATACAACATACTGAACATTAACACATTTATTTGTGGCAGAACAAAATTGTAAACGTGCAGACTGGAGGAAGCAGATGGAGAATTAACATACATTAATTAGCTTATTGAACAAAGGAGCAAACAGAGGCACTGAGGAGGCAGGAAATCCAAATTAGTCCAAGCATGAATCCACACCTGAACACTTCAAACAAACTAAATGAACTGGGCGGGGACAAACAGACAAGGAAAGCATCTGGTGGACCAAATGAGGAACAAAGAAGACAGTGGATATACTTCCAAGGAAATATTACAATACCTATAAATGGAAGAAATGTGAAGCAACACTAAGAAAAACTACTGATCAAATGCAAACCACAGTCTGGGATCATTTTTGTGAAAAATCGGACAGCTTCAGCGCCTCTGGGTTGCAACAGGTGCCTGGTTTCACCCAGAGAGGGGTGGATGTTTTCCTAGGGCTCCAGATCTTCTTTGGCCCTCCTCTTCTAATTACACATCAAACATCAGTAATACTTGAGCCTACTGTCCCCTGGTGGTAATAGAATGCATTGCTTTCCACACCCCTCCCATTTCAATCTTGAGAGAAGCGGAGAGGAAAGTACTGAAAACATGTCTAGTAAAGGTGAAAATGGAGAAATGGGTTAAATCCACAAAACCTATAACTATATTATATTTTTATGATTCTCACCTTTTGTCATTGTTATATTTCATAATGTGTTAGTTATGTTTTCTTAAGGATTTAACCTTCATTTCACTTCTCTGCCGACAGGTCAAACTTCTCCTGTGAAATCACTAAAACCTGTAAGTAAAACACTTTTTATCATTTTTTTTCATAAAAGATGGTGTAATAGAAAACCCATTTTCTGTTGGATTACAAAATAGAAAGCATTTTTTTTTTCTGGTTTACTTTTGTCTCTGCCTCCCACAAGCAATGCTGCATTATCCAGGTTATTTCTGGAGTTGTGTGTGGGTAAACACACATGCTCCATGCAAACAGCAACTTAACATCATCCTGTGCATGGGTGTTGTAAGATGATATGCCTCGTTCAACAGCTTGTCACTGTGCTGCGCTTTGAAAATAGAGAGGAGATGAGGCAGAAACAGGCTTACTCACTCTGCTTTGTTGGTGAAATGCAGTATCATTCTGCTCAGATGTGCTATTTGGGGAATTTTTTTTGGGGGGGGGGGGTAACTAAATCCATCCTAAATTTATCTGCATCCTGGCTGTTTTAGCCTTGAATCATTTAGATAAATGCTCTGTTGTTGCTGTTGTTACGCACAGTAACCGTATATGTTCCAAGTGATCTGAAAATGTGCCACAACTAATGGATGTTTCACCCACCTGAGGACTTGCACCTCTGTTTACCCTTTCCTCCTGTTATGTGTAGCAGGAGAGAGCTAGCATGCCCCACTCTACGTCCCAGCACAGCCTCCAGCATCCTCCGCACGCCGTCTCCCACCAACTGACCCACCCGGCCTCGCAGCCCGTCGTGCAGCTGCAGCAGCGGCAGGAGATGGCGAACAGCACAGAGACCCTCAGTCAACCGGAGGTGCTCTCCAACGCGCTCCCTGTCTCTACCAACACCCTGCGGTCGTCTTCTCCTAAACCGGACCCATCTGAACTCTACCTCAAGTCCAAAGCTATGCTGGACAGCAAGCGTAAGTTGATGACAGAACTTTTTCAGCTCTACTTGAGCATCTCTCTAATCAACTTCACAATATATTTTATTGGTTGGATATGTGAGATTGATTCAAACCCGCTTGGAAGTTACAAATGTCTCTTCTGGAGCTTTAAAATCACTTCAGTATTCTAGTATTAGATCAAGATTTGCACATTCAGCTGAGAAATCTTCAGTATTTGTACTTTGACCTGCCAATACCGATTTCACTTTTAAAAGGACTTTTATGAGAATCATTTTTGACCATGTTAAAAACTTTCCATCTTTTCTTCTTTCTTTCCTGTCTTCAGCACCGAATGCCAAGGATCTGGATGTGTTTATCAAACGGAACCAAGAGTCAGGCTTTGGCTTCAGAGTCCTGGGTGGCGAGGGGCCAGATCAACCGGTGAGTTGCATAAATTAAATGGGATGATTGGAAGTTTCCGAAAAAAAACAAAATAGACTATCAGTTAATATAAACTCCTTATAATCACATCAACCAGTCGATGTGCTCTTTCATTTTGATTTCTTCTTCAGGTGTACATCGGAGCCATTGTACCACTGGGTGCAGCTGAGAAGGACGGCCGTTTGCGCGCCGGAGATGAGTTGCTGTGTATAGACGGCGTTCCCGTTAAGGGCAAGTCGCACAAACAAGTGCTGGAACTGATGACCAACGCCGCCCGAAACGGCCAAGTCATGCTGACCGTCCGCCGAAAGCTGACACACACAGGTAGGTCTGCTGTGTATAATCAGCTCTGCATTCCTCCAAGGGCACTCGCAGCACAGTTCCTTCATCTCCTCATTTGCCTCAGATCAGCTTGCTGGAGGAGAACCTCTGGGAAATGGCTTTGATGTGGGATTTGCTCAGTAATCCTTTAAATTCGCTCTGGGTGACTTTCCTGTTGGAAAAAATTTGGAATAAATGAAACTCGATTAAAACAATGACTTTCTGCTTAGAAGGCATTTTCTCTACCTTTTGAAAGAAGTGCATTTAATTTGATTTCATTAAAGATATTAAAACAATTTTACAAAAAGGTTGAAATAAGACGGTCGCTTTGTTGCGACATTAAAAAGCTGAGCTGATTTACATCTCAAAGTACTTTCTGAAAGTGTTTTTGCAGCAGCTCATACCTCCTGCTGAAATAAGGCCGGTTTAAACCCGCAAATAGCCACTTTATCCTTAGCAGGAGCACTTTTTCTAATGACTGTGCAGAAAATAAGCATCTGTCATGAGGACTCTCTACTTTTATTGCTGGGTTTCAGAAAGATGAATAGGCTGGTTAAAGATCACAAAGCAAACATTCAAAAAAGAGGGACTGAGTTGAATCCCCATCTGCTATTTCAAATAGCCATGGTCTGTTGTTTTTATCATTTGTTTTCTTTTTTTTTCACATATCAGTGTCTCAAGAGAAGCAATAAATCTCTTGAAGACCAAAAGCACATAGATTATATTTTACAAACTATAAAAGTTTGTAAAATATATCAATATATTTGATATTAAAAAGAAAAATGAATATAAATAGATATATTCATATTTTATTTAAAAAATATATAAAAGACAATTAGAAAATAAAATGAGAAAATGTATAATTCTATTTCATTTGACTATTTCAAACACCTGTGTTGCTGTATATCAATAATTTATTTTAGATAATGTGACCAAACCAATCAAAGTCACTGCTTACTTTTAATTATTTGATAATGGATTCCACAACAAAAATTCAGAAACTAATTAAGAAATGTCACAATAAAATATGTGATTTAAAGACATAATGAAGAAGAATAGAAATTATTTGGATTTTCTCTTGTTTTATGCACATTTCTTTGTTTTAAATACCATGCAGCCAGTTATTCAGTGACGGGACGGCCCTGATGCTCTGTTGACATTTAAACCGGTCTGTACAGACTAGCCTGTATCTGACAAACATTGTCTTGTTTGTGTTTTGTCATTCTTCAGAGACTGGTGAAGAGGAAGAGAGCGGCCAGCAGCCTCAGCAGGTGGCGTCGGCTCTGGTCAACAGCTCTCCCAAAGTGCCTCGCGTTGAGGCGCCAAACGCCGTCCAGCCTGCTCAGCTCCCCAGACCAGAGAGCTTTGATGTTACCCTGCAGCGGAAAGACAATGAAGGCTTTGGTTTTGTTATCCTCACATCAAAGAACAAACCCCCACCTGGAGGTGTGGAGCTAGCACAAACACGACGCACGCATGATTTTTGTTTTCATAGATCAGATTTGGAATTGATGCAAATCAGCACAGCAATGGGTCAGGATATGCTTGAGGGTTTCAAGAATTTACTTCAAGTTTCTTATTAGAGCAACAGTTTACAACAACATTAAGAGCCAAAGATCCAATTTAGGCCTATCTATATCAACACTAAGTCCAAATTCTGTTTGTTTCAAATCCATTCATTTCAATGTACATTATTAATAACAGAAAAGAAGCACAGACACAGTGATTCTGTAGTACTGTCTTTGGGAAATTTATGACTATACATAATTAATGGCAGCAATATGTCAATCAGAAGTGTTTTCTAGAAAAGAGAAACAACTGATAATGAAATCACTGAGCTGGGAATACTTTCTACATGAAAGAAAAACAATTAATTGTGATTAATCAATTCTTGAATGATCACCAACTAATTTTGTAATTGGTTAATCATTAACTAAAGTATACAGACGCAACAATAGGCAATTTGCTGAAAGAACATCATTATCAGAGCAATAATTCTCTTATTATTGGTTTTAATAATAAGAGAATCATTTTAAAGAATTTTAAAAACCTTTTAAAATGATTTCAACTTGAGTAGAAATGGATGAAATTTTCATGGGGTAGAACAATAACTTTATTGTTTTGTTTTTTTTAGCTGCAGATGCATTCTTTGCTACAAATGGTCATCTGTATACTGAAGGCATATACAGTTGAACATTTGCCTAAAATGCAAATGTAATTGGATTTTAGCCAATCAATTTTTTTATTATCTTATTTAAAAAAGGAATTGATTAATTTGCTTTTTTGCATCTTGAATTTATATTGTATAAAAATGTTTAAGTGATTAAATGAAAAATCTGCAGAATGTCAATTAATCAATTAACCATCTGAATAATTAATAGGATAACAAATTACTAAAATAATTATTACTTCCAGTCCTAATACATAATAATTACTCTGAACTTACCCTATTAATGATTCCATTCAGAAAAGAAAACCAGAAGTAATGGCAGTAGTATTTCTATCAGTGATTCATAAAAGAGAGTTAAACACAGAAGCGCTGGGACAGGCATAATTTCCAGAGGAAGAAAGAAAAAACAGATGATGCAAAGTAAATGACTAAAAGCTTTGTGAGTCACACATTCCAGGAAAGAAAGACAGCTTATCACAGCATCACTGGCCTTACCTTCGACGCAAAAGTCATAAAGAATGGTGCATTTCAATGAACATGCTGCCTAATTTGACTTCTTCTGAAAGGGATGTTTGTGGCTCGAATTCAATAAACGTCATTCCAATAAACACGCCCTTGATGTTACAATGCTAGAACCACAGCTGACTTCACTATTTTTTTTTTTTTGTGCAACTCTTAAAACACAGAGAAAAAAGCTCTTTAACTGTATTGAAATATCAGACATTGCTGTTCTGCGACATACTTTATTTTAAGCAAACTCTTCCTTTGGATGTAGAATCAGGATGCACATCACTGAATTATTGCTATAGAAACATGCGAAAAGTCCGAATTTTTCCTTTCATCTTTTTTAATGACAGTCATACCGCACAAAATCGGTCGTATTATCGAGGGGAGCCCCACAGACCGCATAGGTCGCATGAAGGTGGGAGACCGTATATCTGCTGTCAACGGCCAGTCCATCATGGAGCTGTCGCACAACGACATCGTTCAGCTCATAAAGGACGCCGGAAACACGGTCACGCTGACTGTCGTGCCTGAAGAAGGTAATCAGGCGTTACTCTGATTTCTGTCCGGCTTCTTCTTTCTCTTGCTAATGGGTTAACAGAACTGTTGATGCTTTCTCTGTCCTTGTAGATGGTGCTCCTCCATCTGGAACAAATTCAGTAAAGCACAGTCCTTCAATCCAACATAGAGCCGTGGGCCAACAGCCTTCCAGTCATCCAGACAGGTAGAGTAACACACAGCGATATGCAATAGGTTAAGTCGGCTTGACCAGAAAAAATATTTCAAAAATAAACACCAAAGTGCTTATAATCTGGATAAAAAGTTCTAGTAAATTTTACATAGGTCATGTTTATTCTTTGATTTTGAGTTGGCCACAGCTAACTGCTAAAAAGGTCATCAAAATTAAACCATACGGTTCCTGTGAAGTGGATTAAACCCAGCCATTTTCTAATTTTTAGATAAAATAAACAGTGATTGAATCTTTTGTGCTGTAGTTCAGAGGAACAGTCCAGTTTGGAAAGCCAAGAAAACAGAATGTTGCTGAATAAGAAAGACGAATTAAAAAGTCCCAGTTGACTGTCTTCTGGAAGATATGGCTCTGTTTGTAGTTGTCATGCCATTTGTCTTGTGTCCTCACCAAGCATTTCCTTAACAGACCGCAAATATTTGAACAAGCCCCAAGCCCAGACAGTGGAAGAGATCAAATGCAGTTGTTCCTTAAATGAGCAGAGTGGATAGAGAACAAAATATTTCAAATTTTTGTTTAACAGGGGGAGAGTTCTCTGACCAACACTGTTTCTTTACACAAGATATCCTCAGTATGCTTTCTGGAACAGTATCCAATTTTATTCAAGTATTTTTAGAAGCAGTTGAGACGAAACTGGAAGCATAAAGAATTTGTAATATTTTGCATAACGATTAAAACATAATTTTTGTAAAACTATGTTTTCATAATAAAACAGAAGAGTGCGCTTTAATCTGTTTTAATGTCAGACATAGAAAAAAACGATTGTGCTTGTTTTTAAACATCTCATTCCAACTGTAAATGTTTTATTTGACAGTTTGGTGTTTTATGACCCACATCTTGTTCTAAGCACCTTGGGGCTAATTCAGATGGCTTCCCTTCTCTGCAGAAGGTTTTGTAAACTCAAGCAAAGGTGTTGTTTTCAGACAACAAACTAAAGGCTCCAAAGAGACTCCCAAACTTCTGTTCATTTGTTTCCTGCTTCGTTATTTTTCATACTTCTATGTAAAAAATGCTTCATAGAAATCATCTCTATCACAACATACCACTGTGTTGAATCAGAGAAATTTGTACACCCACATGAGACACGAGACGGTCCACTGAAATCACAAATTACCTCCCAAAGTCACAACTCTCGTCTGTTTCTGCACTACCATGGGGCTCATTATCATCTCCTGTGGTCTGCACACGTCTTGTTACCGAAGAGCATAGAGAATCCCCCAGTGGTCACTCCTTGGACAGAGAGGAAAGCAAAAGGGGAAGGATTAAGGAAGAGGCTTTCTTTTCTTTTTTAACTTTTTTAAACAAGATTATCTCTGCGAGAATCCTCAATCCTTTTTCAGTGGCTTCATTTGGACTTTGCATTAATACCTTTTTAATCACCAGAGCATGGCTTGGCTTTGGCTCAGCTCGGGCTCAGATATGAGCAGCGACTGTCGCCTTCAGCTTGGCAGTCAGAAGTAAGCAAACTCTGCTCAGCACAGAGAATTTCTCAGCTCTTCAGATGGTGTGTCAGCGCAGCAAAGTTCCCACAAAGGCATTGTAATGAGCTCTTCGAAGCATTAAAGCGTGCCGCTGTTATCTGTCACGGAAATGTAAAAGCAACACAGCTCTTTGAAGGATTTATAGTTCTCAGTACATGCTGTAATGAAAGCAACAGAGAGAGGCTACACTGCTGTAATCAGAACATGGGAGTGTGTAGATATCAACACCACTTCTTGTTTTAATCCAGTCTTCTAGTATTTCTTCTGTTTTGTGGCTCATTATAACATGTTTGCTGTCTTCTCTGGTAGGGCCGCTGAGTCTGAGATGAGGAACTCTCTTCAACCGAACGACATGGGAGCAATCGCCACATCTGGACCTAAACAGGTGAAACTGGAGCTAGAATTGCACCTATTAAGCTTTGTTGCAAAGTTCCTGAGGTGACAAAGCTCACTTCCTTGTGTTGAAACTGCAGGGCTGCTTCGTGGTGGAGCTGGAGCGCAGTCAGCGGGGCTTCGGCTTCAGTCTGAGAGGAGGAAAGGAGTACAACATGGGCCTGTACATCCTGCGCCTGGCCGAGGAGGGGCCTGCGCTTAAAGATGGGCGGATACATGTGAGTTGGTTTAATAATGTTTCTCTGACATCCTGATAAGCCAGGTGATACCACAAGCTGGTCCTAATAAGCAACACACAGATCAGGCTGTCTTTGCATCCTGGAATAGTGTGGGATGTGATTAGTGTATTTATGATGAGAGGAAAAAATATCTCTTAAATATCTCTGTATTTCAACACTTGTTTGACACACTGTCTGTAATCCATCCATCCCTCCACCCACCCATCCATCTATCCAGCAGTTTGTCTATCTGTCCATCCATCCATCCATCCATCCATCCATCCATCCATCCATCCATCCATCCATCCATCCATCCATCCATCCATCCATCCATCCATCCATCCATCCATCCATCCATCCATCCATCCATCCATCCATCCATCCATCCATCCATCCATCCATCCATCCATCCATCTATCATAAACTTGTGGTTATAGTGAAAGCATGGGAAGTATGCTTGTAAACTGAAACTATTGTAATTTCAGGTTGGGGATCAGATCGTGGAGATCAACGGCGAGGCCACTCAGGGCATCACACACACTCGGGCCATCGAGCTGATCCAGGCAGGGGGCAACAAGGTTCACCTGTTACTCCGACCCGGCCAGGGCCTTGTCCCAGATCACAGTGAGTCACAGCGTCCATCCGCCTGCACACACATCAGATCAACAGCATATTAACCAGGCATACATTGGAGCAATTTGTTTGGCAGGGAGCTGCATCCTGATTCACATGCATGAGTTTCAGGCTTCTCTTTAACCTTTCTCTCTTGTCATTCTCATCCAAAACTTCTAACTCAGTCTGCTTGTTGTGCTGTTTATCCTTCTTGCTTTCTCCCTGTTTCCTCTCTGGCACGGCTCTCTGTTTCTACCTTTTTATCTCTTCCTCCAATAGGTTCCAACTCTTCTTCCACCCTGTGCTTCTACATGAAACCAGAACATCACTAAAGGCCTCACTGCTTTTCTCGGTCTGTCTCTAATACGCTTGGTAAAACCTTTTGCCTCTAATTTTCAAGTCTCTCAGTTTTCAAGTGCTGTCTGTTGTGTACTTTTATGTTAACTGAAATGATTACAGTGTCATGCAAAAGTATTAACATCCCTTAAATGTTTCTATGTGTCAGTGTGATTTTGGGTGATAGACTTGCAAAGAAAAATGATACACAGTTTTTATTATTTCAAAGACATAAAAATCTGAAAATGTGGCCTACATATGTGTTCATGCTCTTTTACTCTGATACAACTGTTGGTTTCATTAAGGTGTGCTTTGCAGCAGAGTAGCACTGAATTGTGGCCAAGGAGAAGTGCAACAGATTTCCTTTCACAAGTGGTGCTTCAATGCTCCACTTATGAAAAAAGTGATAATAATACTACCCCAAAATTAAATCCACTGCAAGCAAATTCTGCCAGAATAGCTAGTTAATACAGAGAGCTCCTGAAGAAAAACCAGGAAGTTTGTTTGAATAAACAGCATCGTGAAAAATAATAAACACAATAGACAGGTCAGGGTCATCTGTGTGTTAAACCAAAGTTAGGTGGTAAAATTACATTTTATGCTTTGAATATAAAAAATGCAAACCTGATTAATCACCTAACCTTAAAGTGTGGTGACTCTGGAATAGTTGCAGAGATCCATTGTGAGTCCATTGTCCAATCCAGTGTCCAAAAAATATATATATTAAAGTTGGTGGTTATAACATGAACAAATGTGTCAGGAGCTAAAAATACATTTATAAAGCACTATATGAATGACTCCTGATTTAAAGCTGTGAGTCCTGTGGTTAAAAAAAAAGAACCAGAATGTGTCCACAATGCCCCTGAACACACGACATTCTCCTTCAAAAAAAAAAAAAAAAAATTATGGAAAAGTTCTTAATCTGTTATTGATCAAAGAGTGACAGGTGATAACAGGGTCTGTGTGCATTCACTGGCGTCAGCCTTTTAATTTCAAAGACAAAAAGAAGAAATAATTCGTATGAGTTGCTGCTCCGAGGAATCCAAAAGCTCATTTCAGCGCTGTTTGATCCATCGCTTGGCTTTTTTTTGTTGTTGTTCCTCTCTTGAATTTTTCTATAGCCTATATCAGCTCAGAGCCACAGCTATGCGCTTCTTATCAGCTCAGTGGAAAATTGAAATGTCAGTCCCGGTTGAACCCTAGCACCCTTCCAGCTGATGCATATCTGAAGCTAGGCCAATATTTAGATGGAGATTGGAAAGGCTTATTGCAGAAAGGATGATGCTGCTTCTGTTGCATGATAGTTTTATTTGTCTTAATAAAAGACAGGTGCAAAGTCAGCATGTGCTTCATGTGCTGGCCTTGCAGCACATGAAGAGGTTTTAGTTTTTACATGATGTTTGAATCCCAGCAGTAATGTCAGAGTGGTTCTCAAAAGTTTAGACACCCCTAGAAAAATGCTTAAGTTTTTATGTATCCAAAGAGACAATGAAACTTTTTCCACCTTAAATGCTATTTAATCTATTCAGTCCTGCAATATGTGATTGTCTATGATTGCACAACCTTAAACTAACAAGTTATTAAATCAAAAGCAGCACCCAGACTCTGTTGATATAACCTTATTAGCTTTCAACATCTTGACTTAGTAAGATTTGACCTCACTATCTTGCAAAATATCAATCAGATTACGGAGACGTCTCTCTTCTACTGACCCAACAAATTCAGATCTGGACTCCAAACCCTTTATTCTTCATGTGAAGCTTTCTAAGTAAAATCTTACCTAATCTTCAGCTTCCTAAAGGTTTTGGGCCAAATTTGATTCATTCAGTTAGTTCTAGATAAAGAAAACAACTACCACCACGTTTCTTGTTATTTTCTAGATTATTGCAGGGATTTTTGTTTTTTGTTGGAATTGTATGGAATAAATGTCACCTTTTAACGTTGGAAAAAGTTTTGAGATCATTTGAAATAAGAGTCTAAACTACTGACATCCAATGGGTGCTTAGTAGAAATGTTTTTCAATATATATGTTTTTTTTCAGGTACAAAAGACAAAGTAGCCATTCCAACGACAAGCTTTCCCAGACTCTCTGCATCCGATGACCAGTCATCTCCAGCTTCCCCGTCCTCTATCTCAGGATGGTCACCATCTTCCTCCAAAGGATTTGCCCCGGATGAGCCATCAGCTGGGGATTACAGAGTCCCTGGTTTCCCCAGTGCTGGACAAGAGCACGGAAGGCAAGCTAACCGATCAAGAGGACAGCAGGTCCCTGCTCACAATCACAGACGTTCTACCAGCCCTAGAAAAACTGGGCAGAGCGACTACAAATCTGGCAGTCCCAGGAAAGCAACAGAAGGTCAAGTGGATAATGTGGCACATACCCAGAGCCCCCAAAAAACACTGGAGGAAATGAGCAAGGAAAGAAAAACTCCTGGGCACAGAGACCAGCGCTCCTCTAGTCCAAAGAAGGGCCCCAAGAAGGAGCATGATCCTGTCCTGCATTCAAGGAACCCAGAAGATCCTCAGAACCCAAGACGCCCAGCTGGACAACAGCCGGCTGGGGAAGTGAAAAACTGGAGACATAAGGGGGAGAATGAAACTTACTGGCAGGAGAGGGCGGCTGCAGAGAGTGGAGACAAAAGCTGGGGGGCCGAGGATCATCATAAGAAGGGAAAGCGAGCTGAGAAAGAGGCAGTGGCGCAGAAATCCCACTGGGAGAGGGCAGGGTCAGATGCCGATCCGGCCACCACCGGCCAAAGGGGCGGAAGAGAGAAAGCCGAAAAGGAATATCCAGAGGCCAAGTATCAGGGATCGGCCGAGCAAGCAAACAGAAGGGAACCCAGAATTTCCAGCAGTAGCATCCAGGATCCCAACTGCAACGGGACCAGCACCAGCAAGAAGGCTCCCATCACCCCCGGCCCTTGGAAAGTTCCCAGCTCGGCCAAGATCCAGTCCCACGTGGACTCCACATATGCAGACATCTGAAATGTCTTCAGGGCTGGATGAAGACAAAGCTCAGCCTACGAGAACCGAACACGGGTCGGAAAGATCGGCTCAAAATATAACCAGCAACATACCTTCTCATTTATACGTCCCATCTTCTTTTTTTTTCTCACCCAGTTTGCCTCAGATAGTTTGCACCAACCTGCTGATCTCTGACATAAAACAAGTATTTGAACTTGATTCTGCTGCACGGTCACGTCAGATGAGTTGTGAGCAGGGTCTTTGGATGGAAATCTATTCTGTGCCAATCAGAGACTCCGGTTAAATGGAAGCTGCTCCTGATAGCACTCACTGTGAATCAGTTTGGAGGAGTCCAAATGAAGTGCTCACCCTGTCTACCCGAGCCGCATGAAGGAATCTGTCTTTTTTTTGTGTGTGTGTGTTTACTTTTGAAGGATTACAAGCATACTCAAGCACTCACAGCTTTTAAACCGAGCAGGATTTATTCACTGTTATAGTCCCAAATAGAACCTTAGTTTTCTTCAAATGATCTAATTAGATAAACATTTTTTTTCTTTTCATTTTGAGAAGCCGATGAAAGCTGTGATTTGTATGACTGCATCCGAACATGTGAAGTTATAAATCCCATGTTGGTGGGAGGACCACTATGAAGCTTTATATGCATCAATGAGCAGACCAGATACTTGTGGTTATAGATCTAATGTTTTTCTTTTGTACTTGTGTTGTGAAAATAATGTGAGAATTAAAACAAACAGGATAGTCTACACACGCGTCCATGTCGAGGGCACTTAGGTGGAGGCCGAACATGTAGATACACATCATTGCTTAAACAAATCCCCATTTTAAAAGCCTCAGTCTTTAAATGATATCTCGCGGTCTATAAGCAGCGTTATCCATCATGTTGTTGACTGTTAGCAGCACTGTGCCGATGTGTGTTTTATTTATTCCTTTAGAATCTAATGTATTTAATCTGAAAAATGTGATATTTAGCAAAGTGATTACTCAAATATTGAACATATTTAGGATAAATAAATTAGCAGAGTCTTGCGACTTGTAAAAGTACAAACTTTCCTTTTTTAATTTGCATAAAACATTTTGATATCTGTATTTGTATTATAAATAGAGGTACACAAAAAAACATCAACCCTAGTTCAAATGTTTGATATACAATGCCAGATGCATGCATTGGCACTCCTGGTAAAGATGTCCAAAAAGCCAATAAAACTTTGAATATTGTATTGCAGAGGCATCATCTCAAACCAATATTAAAGAAAATACATCCCTTGTTGAGATAATCATCTTTATGATGATATAAATAATAATTATGTTGTTTTGGCCAATTTCTTTGGAAGAGAAGTTGGCCCACAGTATACATATCCTCCACCATGCTAAACTGTGAGTTGTTTTTTTTCTTTACATATTTTTATGCTTTGTTTTACAGAAAACACACCTAAAGTGTTAGCTGCCAATAAGTTTAACTTTACAAGACTTTACTCTTTGCTGCAGTACTTCAAGGATAATCTTTGCATATCAACTTTCTTACCATTCTCCTCACTGTGAGTAGGAAATTTGCCTTTGTCCAAGAAAGGTGACTCTGTCTTCATACCACTAGGAAACTAAAATTGTTTTAGTAAATTAGTAAAATTCAGACCAACTTAAAAAAAAACAAGCTCTGCTTACATTCATCCTGAAACTAATTGTAAGTGTACTCATAACTATTATTTTGTTAGGTAAAATGTTTTTCTTCGCAAAATAGATGAACTAAAAACTTACGTTTCTTAAAATCGTTCCATTGCAATAAAAACAAACTTATTTTAAGGCTTTTTACACATCTTTTACCAATGCTGCCGATCATTGTGACTGGCGCTGTATTTTACTGTATATTATACTCAAAGTGTAAAACTTAACATTTATTTCCAACATGCTTGTGAAGGTTGTTTTCTACACAAAAACCAGACCCTTCAGAGAATCGAACTAATCTTCAGTTTTGACATGAAAGCTGCTTGTTGTGATTGCAGACACATCTACATAATGTGAAGACGTCTGCTCTGATTCTTTGGTGGAATAATGGGAGGTTCTGATCAAAATGGGATTTAGTTTGGTGTTAAACAATTTAAAAGTTTCGAAAGCATCTACTACAACAACTGTGCTCCACCAACAAGAAAAAAATGTAGCTTTTCGGTATTCCTACTGTGGACTAGAGTGACATCTAGTGCTCCAACCTCTGCTCTGCACAAGCAAGTCATAGCTTTAACCCCAGCCTTCATCCTCTTGCCTGCATATGAAGACGTAACATATGTTTGTCTGTGAGGCCGCTGAATAATTTATTGTCTGTTTTCATGTTGATATGATGGGCTATTGTCATTTTTACTATTCATATCTTTACCATGTCTGATGCTGTGGCCTTGCATTGCTCCAACATATATAAAAGTCATAGTTTTGACATCATTGTAGTTGTAAATGTTTATAAATTGTACAGCACCTGTATAAAAAAAATGCCTTCATGAAGAAAAAAAAAATCTATGTAAATTGTTCCATTATTTTTTTAAGGGAGATGACAGGAAATGTTATGCAATGGGTGACAAAAAAAGAAATAAATTGATAATGGCATACTGTTCATGCACTGATAAATAAAGGTTTACTGATTAAATATAACAGAGTTCAAGTATTTAATTCTATCTCAAAAAACAGTATTATTGTGAAAAGTACATTATTTTTCTGTTTGTGGTCACCACAACTGTTATTTTTTAAATAATTATAAATGCATTTATTTATCTAGTTTGTTTGCTTTTTTGTGGGGGCGGTTATAGGTTCTTGACCGTTTATTTAAACCGTATGTTGTTTTTTTTTTTATTTTATTAAAATTTTCTGCTGATAAACGTTCACTAACGGTTCAGGGTCTGCCGCCTGGAAGCACTCCCTCTCGTGGGTGTGATCAAATTAACCATGACGTCAGCTGAACGAAAGGAGTGCGTGCGGAGCCGCACGCAGTCGCCTCAAGTTCGACTACAACTCCCAAGAAGCCATGCGACAAATGCGAACTACGAAAACCACAATGCAACCACAACGCATGCGCAGCGTCGTCAAAAATGTTTTAGTCGACTACAAATTGTTCGGATAAGAACTACAAATTGTCGCGAGCATGCGCAGTACAAGCCCCGAGCCCTTTAAACACACTGTACGTGCAAAGATGGCAGCTCCAGTCGACTTGCTCCGTGCGAAAGTGAACGACGAACGCATAAGGGACAACTATGACAGATTCATCAAAGAGAAGAAAAAGAAGAAAAGGGATTTGTCTCCGTCAGCTGACAAAAGAGAACAATTTGAGAAAGAGGCGAAAAAGATGAAGCTCCATCATCATCATCACCATCACAACCACCAGCAGCAGCTGCACGCCGAGAACCGGAGCCACCAACCGCATCAGCTGCAGCAGAACCCCAAAGCCCAGAACTTCAGCCCGGATAAACACGTTCTCCACCTCCACCATCACCACCACGGCCACCGCCATCCCGGCCTCACCAACGGCGCCAAGAAGAGCCTACAGCCCGCTTTCCCAGCTCAGAAGCGAGCCGTTCCCCCGCAGCCACCTGCGCTCTTCACTTTCACGCCCCTCAAAGTGGTGAAGGCCCAGCCGCAGGAGCTTAAAGACAAGCACCGGGAGAAGGAGCACAAGCTGAAGCTGAAGAAGGAGAACTCGGAGGCCAACGTGAAGCTTCCTGAACTGAAGAAGAAAAAGGTCAGCTTATTATTTGAGAGTGTTTAACGGCTAGAAGCCGTTTAATAACACCGGATCGTCACATCACATGTCAACAGTAGCTTGTAAACGTCTCATTTTAGCTAGCTCAGTTTATTATGTAGCCAGTTCAGTAGAATACAAGGATGGTACTGTTTACATTTTAAATATCTTAGCTGACTGTTTAAAATTAGCCTTTCTTTTCAGTGGATGAACAATTAATTTTAAATTGGCACTTTTAATTTAATCTCTAAGCACTCGTTTACCTCTATTTGCTGTATATAAGCACCATTATTTTTGCTCTATTCATTTTATTATAAATTATTACACATATGTTTTTTAGTAGCTTTTATTTAACTTTTTTTTTTATATATTAGGTTTATTATCATTTTATTTATGTTACCATTGTCTGTGCTTTGTATTTAAATAATTTCATTTTTTTATTCTGTAGTTATTCTTTAGTAAGAATGTACATTATTATATTTTCTCTACATTAATCCTGTTTAATACATTGACAAATGTGGATATTTTGGGGCCTTCTAACATCTTTTGAATATGTCTTTACCAGTTTGATTTTTAACAGGTTTTCAAACTTATGCAACTGTTTATATAGCATGAAGTTGCAGAAAAGTTGCTACACTGTTAAGGTTTGTTTGACTTATTGATTGATACGTTTTGATTTTGTCTTTAAAAATGGCATATTATGTTTGTGTTGTGGTATCAAGTTTTTACAAACATTTATACTTTATTCTAACCTCAGAATTACAAATGCAGTGTAAAAACATTATTTAAAACAAGATATTGTATTATTACGTAGTAGATACCACTGTATATATTAAGAAAATATATTGAGAGATTGAAGTTGATTATTGTTTTGGAGATATTGATTATGATTAATCCAGTTTATTTCTCAGCAACACAAACCGCGCTCTCCCTTTTTCTAATTTTGTCTGACTTTTTTAATTATATGTTTTCAGAGTTGATGCCCAACAATGAAAACGGAAAGTCTCTAACACTAGAGGAATATCTTCTGAAGAAGAAGAAAAAGAAGAAGAAGCATCGTGACGATGATCAAGGTGCTAAGAAGGTCCGACATCTGCACACCAAAGCGGTTCAGACTGTATGCGCTGGGCTTGGGGCTGACCTCACAGTCCCTATTAACCCTGAAGCTCCGCTGCCCGCCGCGATAAAGCAAGAAAGCACTCGGCTTCCTGGCAGAGAACCTGCCGACAACTATCCACCTTACCTCCAAGCGCTCAAAATGGGCCGCACTCCTTTCCTCTCGCATCAGGACCACTACATCCGCAGCTCCTGCCTCCAGACCGGTACCAGATATGGACGCTTTATTCACGAGGAGAAACAGCCCAACGGAGGTGGATTTGTGCTGCATGCTTATGCAGACGAGTTGGCGTGCCTCAGTCCAGCTGAGATGGAGGGATTCGCCCGGGAGTTCCTGGAGCTGACCTTTGCCGAGAAGCCCAAAGGTGCAGCGGTCTACGCCTTGACTGTGATCCACGGTGCGGCTTCGTACCTGCCTGACTTCCTGGACTATTTTGCCTTCAACTTCCCCAGCACACCTGTCAAAATGGAAATACTTGGGAAGAAAGACATTGAGACCACCACTATCAGCAACTTCCATTCTCAGGTATGTAGAGAAGGGAAAAACAAAGGCAATGTTCTCGACACAACATGGCTTCAAATTTAAACAACCCAACAGTGCTAGTGCTCAGTAGGCTGTGCTGTTGTGTATTCTCTGATACATACACTGAAAAGCACCTTAAAACACATCAGGGTGTCCACAGATCTTTAAAAAGTCTTTAATTTATGTATCTAAAATCAAAGCCTTAAAATGACTTAAATTGATTTTTATAAAGTAAGTTGGTCTTCAATATGCTAATCACAGGTCTTAAATTTTGTCTTGACAGGACTAATTAATCATATGGCAGAGTGTTATACTAAAAAAAATCTTTAAAAATTACAAGAAAAAGTCATAATATTACTAGAATAAAGTCAAAATAACACAAGAATAAAGTTGTAATAACGTAATAAAGTCATCTTAAGAGAATAAATTCATATGAGACTAAAGTCAGTGTGATACTAACATAATGTAATATTACCAGAATAAAGTAATGTTATGACTTTATTCTCGGAATTTGATTTATTCTTTTATTTTTCTTGCTATTAATACTCCATAGTTTATACATTTCTTATGGTATTTATGGGCTTAAAAAGTCTTGAAAAGTCTTAAATTTGAGTTGGTGAAACCAGCAGAAATGTGAGAAGTGTGAGCTCAGTTTTTTTGTCCTTTGGCACAATGGTGACAAAAAAACGCAACTCGAAAAACTAGAATTCTGGCAAGTTTTATTTGGAAGTAACTTCTGCTCCAGTTATGGCTAGCTTTATTACTCTTATTTTCTGCAAAGAAAATTAAACTAGTGCAAAACAACAGGCAAGTCACCTGTCATTTGCATAAAAACAAAACAATTTTGCTTTTCTGTTTAGAAAAACAGCAGCAATAGGTATTAGCATTTCTTATTTGTTTTACTTTGTAGTATGAGAGGAGCAATCAGCCATCAGTCCTCTGTGTATTTAAGGGATATGAGTTCTGGCTGGTGATGATTGTATGTCATTGTGTAATTTGTAATTTTGTTGCAAATGTCTGTCTGACTTTAAAACCTCAGAAAAACTCCTGAGTATTTGTTTTTTTCAAATTGAAAATGTGTAACTTCACAATGTCAATTTTTTTATTCTTTTTTAGAAAATATGTGAAATTAATCTGGAAATATTGAGACTTTGTAGGCCACAAAAAAATGTATTTCTCCGTGGCCACATCTGAATGCTTTTCATTAAGCTACAGTCGCGACAATTTTCCGCTGCACTTGCTAAGCACTTAGAGTTCAGCATGTAACATTTTATCTGTTTTAACAAGCTGGAGCTCATGTGCAAATAACCGGATGGGTTAATGGGATTCACACACTGTGCTCTACAACATTATGGTGTGTAAATGTGGGCGTATCAGAAATCCATTAGTAGTATTGTGGATTTCTGAAGGATTTCAGAAATGGATTTCTGAGCAGAACTTGTCGTTTCTGGCAGGTGATTAACTGTGACCATTTTTGTTCTGCTAAAAAGAAAACAGTGAAGTCTGGATGGTTTCATTCATTCTCATATCATCTGCTTGATGCAACAGCTGTATTTTTATTATATATTCAGTACTAAAACTGTAATTATCGAGAGAAAACTCAAGTTAGTAGTAATGATTGCTATATTGTCATTCCACTGGATGCAGTGTAACTGTGTTTAGCAAAAAAAAAGCAAAAATAAAAAATTGCAATAAATCTAAAAAAAAAAAAATATATATATATATATTTTTATGTCCCTTAATTGCTTTTATCATTCAAATTGAGAAGATTATTATTTTAGCTTACAGATAATTAGCTTGTAGCATTAAAGGTTCCTTTGCTTCTTTCCCCAGGTGAGCCGGACTTATTGTTCTGGAACGTACCGAGCCGGACCCATGAGGCAGATCAGCCTGGTCGGCGCCGTGGACGAAGAAGTCGGAGATTATTTCCCAGAGTTCTTGGACATGCTGGAGGAGTCGCCGTTTCTGAAGGTGGGAGAGAGAATTATTTTCCTGTTCTTGCAATATCTTCTGTAAGCGTTTGTGTTTGTAGCACAGCAGCTTTATCTCTTAAACACAAGTGTCTGTTAGTACTTCAGAGCAAGGTAAGCAAAAAAAGTATGCAATCTGTTGTTTGTAGTGTCAAAGTAACATCTTGTTTTTAAGACATACAAAAAGAAAAGTTATTTAGCTAAATTATTTATATTTATCTCATCTTGATTTTTGCTTTAACTTTTACATATTAACAATATATGCATGCTTTGGAAACATATTAAGAAAATATGGATATCCAAAGTGTCATTGGCAGCTGGAAGACATGATGCAGGCTAAAAGTGCTTGAATTGTAATAAGAAAAATGAAAAAAAGAAAGTCCCAAAGGCTTTACTATATGCATAAGAGTTTCATTCTAGAAAAATCTGAACATGAAGGAAAAAAATGTCTGCAACAACCCAAACTGCCAGAAGAGGGAGACATTCTGTATATTAAATGTCATTCAGATGTTGTGTTTAATGTTAATCGAAATGTACTTTTGATGCCGTCATTTTCAGTAAATTCATTGTATATTGGATTCAGGTTAGTTATGAAACAAATTTCATCAGATCTTGAATATTGTTTCAGTATTCTGGCTTATATTGTCTTGTAGTTGCAGAAATTACCTTGAATCATGCCCATTTAAATGTATTGTCTGTATCTGTGAACGGTTTTCTAGATGACCCTTCCTTGGGGAACCCTCTCCAGTCTGAAGCTGGACTGTCGCTCTCAGAGTGACGACGGACCCATCATGTGGGTCCGACCGGGAGAGCAAATGGTTCCAACGGCTGACATGCCCAAGTCTCCATTTAAGCGTCGCAGGTAAGAGCTTATGCAAGAAAGTTGGACATCTACCTCTAATTTTAAGAAATAACAGCTCCTCATCCGCTGCTGTTCTATTTATTTATTTTTTTCATTTTAGATCTATGAATGAAATAAAAAACCTGCACTACCTACCGAGGGCCAGTGAACCCAGAGAGGTTCTGTTTGAAGACCGGACTAAGGCCCATGCTGATCATGTGGGTCAGAGTTTCGACTGGCAGAGCACAGCTGCGGTGGGGGTCCTGAAGGCTGTGCACTTTGGAGAAGGGTGCGTTTCCTTTAGCACAATCAGATTTGCCTCACCTTTGTTAACTACACTGCAGAAACACTTAATCTTAACTAATGTTTTTTGTACAAGTGTTTTAGTACACTTGTAATGAGGCAAAACAAACTTACAAGTAACTTTTCAGCAAGATATTGGAGCTAGTTTCAAGAAAATAATGTCTTAATATTGGTTTTTCAAAAAAGTACTAGTTCTACTGGCAGATTTCTTTACCTAGAACATGGAAAATGTTTTATTATAAGTGAAATAATCTGCCGATGTAGCTATTATTTTTTTAAAAGTAGTTTAAAAACCCCCAAAAAAACTAGTTTATTCTCAACTTTTCTCACTGAAAAGTTACTTGTAAATTAGTGTTTTTATTTCAAGTGTACTAAGATATTTTCACTTCAAACAAGCCAAAAATACTTTGCAAGATTTGATGTTATTGCAGTGTAGCTGATTTCCCAAACCACAATATAAGAAGATTATTTACTTGTTTATTTTTAATGGGATCTCTTAAAGGGATAACCGCCCTCGGATTACCAAGGATGTAGTGTGTTTTGATGCTGGGGACTTTAACGAGGTTGTCCAGAGGCTGCAGCTGGATCTTTATGAGCCCCCAGTTTCTCAGGTAAATTCAGATTCCAGTTAAAAATAATGTCTTTTTTTGTGTGTATATATTTAATAGCATGTGTGTCTTGGTGAAGTGTGTCCAGTGGGTGGATGACGCCAAGCTGAATCAGCTGAGGAGGGAAGGCATCCGGTACATCCGTGCTCAGCTCTGCGATGACGACATCTACTTCATCCCCAGGAACGTCATCCACCAGTTCAAGACGGTGTCAGCCGTCTGCAGCCTGGCCTGGCACATCCGGCTCAAACAGTACCACTCGGCCGAAGACGCGGATGCCACGGAGGAGCAACAACAGCCCAAAGATCTCAGCCCCACATCAGGCCGAGTCTCGTTTTCCTCCCCTGCCAGACCGGACTCCACCCTCACCCCTTGCTCACGACGCCAGCCGGACAGCATCCACGGCGGGGTGGCCAAAACCGAGGAGCCCGAGTTCCAGAGGCCGGCCACGCCGTCGAAGGAGCCTCAGCCGGCCCCTCCTCAGCCCACCAAATCCACTCGCCTCCCCCACCTTTACCCCACCTCGGTCCACTCTGGATGCACGCCCTCGAAGGAGCCCTCGCTGCCAAAGGCTAACGGCCACACCACGGAGATCCCCAAATGATCCCAGTCAGCCCTTCTTTCGTCCAGCTATAGCAGGAAGTCTTTCAAATTTTAGACTAAATTCGACATCTGAGTCAATCAGGAAGCTTTTAAATTATTCTTCTTTTTTATCTCACAATAATGGTGTGTTTTTGTCTTCTTTTTTTAACCTACTGTAATGTTATTGTTTAATGGGACAGAATAATATATATATATATATATTTAGTTTTTGGATGTAAAGAATCTTATTATTTTTAAACTGATATTGTCAATTGCCACATGTGCTGTGTGAAAGAAGCTTTTTTCAATTTCACGGTGAAGTTGTTTCTCAAAAACTAATTCACCCATTAACCCGGATGTGTTCTTTATCATTAACAGAATCTCTTCAGTTGCATGAACCTGCCATGCTATCATGTTTGACCTCTGAAACTTATGAAGATCACCTTAAGCCCGGGATTATGTATTTTTATTCGATTGATTTGGAAACACGGGCAACTGAGTGCAGTGAGCTCAGCGCAGATTGGGCAGGGTATTAATTTAGCTTGGCTGAGGTCACTTTACGTCAAAGTAAGATTGAAAATCCCCCAGAAATTGGATGTCTATTCTTCAGAAAATCCAGTAATGTTTGAAGCACTTTCCTTACCCGATGTGTAAAACTTCAGTGGTTTGACCGTTGTAGCTAATATCAGGGTGGCAGCATTTCTGGGAACTGGCAGCCTGATGGCAACAGTAGTAGCATATCCCTGGTGAGTGATACAAATTCACATCATGGCCCTTGTTGGTGTGCTTGGTCATTAAACCAAGAATTTGTAGCAAGACTGACCACAAGACAGCCTAACTCTGGCCACACTGAGCAGGCATTACTCAAAGTAATTTCTTACAACACCATTTACACCACAGCAGCTATGTGCTTGGTATTCAACAAATAAAAAGGATCACCTGGGGGAAGTTTGAGGTTTTCTGTTGTCTGCAGCTCAATATGTTTGGGAGAATTGTTTTGAGAGACGAGGAAGCGCAAACAATGTCTCATTAGGTTCATGTATTAATTTTTGTTGTAACTAAAAAAGGAGAAATTGTTTACCGAGGTATGATCCTTCACAGCAGCGCTGTACATGGTAGAGGACGTGCAGGATTCTCAAGTTTAAAATGAAGTTCCACATTTTCTGATTTGATACTTGTGGGTGAGTATCTAGTCTGCAGGAGGGTGATGCTTCCCTTTAAACTGAATCCCGAAGGCCGCTATGAAGTGGACTAATTTACCCCTTTAAAAGCATTTGTGTTAGTGAATTTAAGGCACTTAAATCTTTTTTTGCCAGCTATGACTTGTATTTATAAAGTAATAATTCAAACTTTGTTTTATATGTGAACTCGTTTAATTGTTTATACCTTTTTTTAATATTTATTTTCTGCAGATTCTGATTTCTGATCCAGTATCTCGAGCATCTTTTAATCACAAAGGAACTTCAAAAGTTGCACTTAGCAATAATAGTCAGTCATTTTTCATGTTTAGAATGAAAATGGAGTGTAATATGTCGTTGTGATAGCTGAGATTATGTGAATGTTGTGATGGTTTTATTGTTTTTTTTTTCATCAAAATCCTTTGTAAGGTGATGACTTTAGGTAGTTTTAGAAAGATTGTATAGGATGAAGGCTAGAAATTATGTTCCACAGCGTCCAGACATTGGATTGAGGTTGATTCCTTCAGTTTCTTGTTTTCAGAATGATTTTTATAAGGAAGAAAGTGACGTCGTGCTACTTAGTGCCTTTTGCATGAATAGCCGAACTTAACACTGAAGGCTTCTATTTTTTTGACGACTGAAATGGGAAATAAGTACCTGGTAGCAAATACATAATAGTTTGGCTTTTCTAAATCACAGAATTGATTTTTTGCTATGTTATTATGGCTTCCATATAGTCTTGACTTCTTGTAGCTCTTCTTTCTTGAAGATTTTTAGATTTAGTTTTTTTTTTTCCCTTACTTGTTGGCATCATAAATTACAGACAGAAAGATACAGGATGCATACATTGTTTACCATTGTAAAATAATCAAATTATGCTTAAATAAGAAAAACACAATTGGAATGCAGAGATATTTTTTAATAAATAAATGTGCAGTTGCAGCATATCCATATGCATGACATTCAATATTTATCAGAATAACCGTTTTATCATATGTTTTTAAATAATATGGCGAAGAAGGACTGAACGATGCGAAGTGCAGCACTCATGAGGGAGGATTTGTTATACCCGTTTTCCTGTTTCACACTGAAAGCATACATGCAATCACAATCATCACACACAGGCACATTTAAATTTAGCCCTATCACAATGTAACGGCTTTGCCTTCAGCACAAATAAAACTTAAAACTATAGAAACTCACTCCAAGCGGTTTCTCATATCCAAATATTTAAAGTCCCACTTGAGTCGATGTTGCTTTTTGTTTTGTAGAAGGCACTGTTCAGTAGTTAAAAATTTGCTTTACTTTATAAATTGCACAAAGACTGGGCCCTTCCTGTGTGTTTCCTGATGGGAGGTGCTGCTGCACAGAAACTCGTTTCGGCTTTTCTTTGCTCTTCTTCTGCTGTGTCGGATGTTTTCTTGACAAATTTGTAATAAACCTGCTTCTGTCCCAAAGTCACCGAGTAGTGCAGTGTATCATTTTGAGGCCAAGTCTCTTCAGATCCAGGTCTCCGGATAGCTCCGAGGACCTTTTGGCTTTCCAAAACGGTTCCCAAATCCTGTGGAAGGTAAAGATGATTTCAGAAATTAGATTTGTGATGGTTTTGTTTTATCACCTTGCAAAAGTATTTTTTAACCCATTAGTTGTTTTTTTATGATTCCCTCTTCACAAATCCAAACTTCAGTGTATTTTTAATGCAAATTCAAAGAGTACTTTATTGAGCCAAAAGAGTATGAAGTAGTAAATAAAGCAATGAAAGTGGGGGAAAATCCATGTGGTCGACAAACACAAAGATAAAATATTATATAATTGTGACGTAGAAGTAAAACTATACATGGGGCACAACTACTGACTTGCCATCAAATGATGGTTTCATCCAGGGCAAACTATTTTTGGAATATGTCGTGACGTTCATGAGCTTGACAATCTCCAGTCAGAAGATTCATTGCAAGACCAACTGTTACTGGAGATTCTTCCAGCCCACATCACCATCCACAGCGACTCTGGTGACATAAGTTCTAATGAGATTTCATTTCCCTTTGGACCATTAAATCACGAGCTCTTTAAAATTCATGTATCTAAAATTAAGGCCTTTGTGTGACATACTTTTTAAATGATATTAAGTTTGCCTTAAATACATTAATCATGCATCTTATATTTTGTTGTGGCAGGACTGTTTAATCATGTAGGTTGTTTTGTTTTTTTCTTCACAGGACTTTTCTGTCATCTACAGACATCGTCATTGCGTTCTGTGGCTTGAGGCAGTTGTGGCTACTGGTATCTAGCTGCTAAAATAATCTAGATAGCTAGCAAGGTTTAAGCGTTTTTATGTCCATCATGGGTAAGTGCAAATTTATTGCCAGTTGGCTGGATGATGTTCATCTAACTTCTTTTGCCAAACCATACTTGCAATTTTCTTTTGTACATTTTTCATTCTTTAGGTCTTAAATTCCATTCATAATGGAATCTTAAATCTGAGTTGTCCAAACCTGCAGAAACCCTGAAAAAAATTCCTGAGTAGAATTGAATTGCCACAGCGTAGATTCTGCCACCAGCATGTTTCAGCATGGAGAAGGTACTGTATGTTCAGGATGTTTGCTCATAATAGCTTTTCACTTGGAGACCAAATAGTCTCATCTGTCTAGAGCACTTTCCTCCAGTGATCTGAAATTAATTTGCACAGATGATCTCTATTTACTTCTTGCTTAAAGGTAGTTGCTGCACTGGATTTTATTTAGTAGTGTCAGACTAAAAAAGGCTAATTATAAATACATGGAACACTTTTTTGGAATATTTAAAAAAAAACATTTAAACCACATGTCATTTTTCTTCCATTGCAATGGACAAAATACTTTGTATTCAAGTGAAATACATTAAAGTCTGTGGTTGTAATATGACAAAGTGTATACTGAGTACAAACTGGCATATTGACTTACCAAATTTAAACACAGTAAATGAGCTACTATGAGAGGTGGAAGTAGCTCCAGCCTGAGTTGGAGGTGGTGGAGGGTCTGTTTTAGCTGGGAATAAAGTTTTCACATAGTTATTTTATGAGAGAAGTGATTTGTTTTATTAATGACGTGAATAACATTACTTACGTTTCAGTTTATGCCTAAAAAGTTTCAGGCTCTAAATAAAGAAAAGAAAATTATTGATCGATGCTTTAAATTATCCATAGCTTATGACATTGCTGCTCATGTCTTACCTTTGATCTCGACATGCTCTTTTCAGTGCTTTTGTCTGCATTGCTTCCTGATCTGTCGCTGTTTGGGGTGGGCTTGTGGTTTATATTCTGTTGTTCCACTTGCGCTGATGAACATAGAAACGGAAAGGAGATGAAGCACATTTTTGCCCAGAGGTTGACATTTCATTTGACGTGATTCTCCACCCTCATGTCTGTGCAAAAAACCTTATCCCCACTCTTAAAAGGAATCTCAGCTTCCTTAGGTGTGCAGCATATTGTGGCTGATTTGCTTTTCTTGATATGTCTGAGGAGCGTCTGTCATTTTGATAAGTGCTTGTACAGTTATTAATAGACTGTGTGAGAAAGGCTACTGTGTAGTGTGCTTCAAACTGACTCACCACTTCCTCCTTCAGCTGCGACCACAGGAAGAGGAGTGAGCTGCGGAAATGCACTGAGGGGCTCTGCAGTATGAACACAATGATTAATAAAAACATCCCCTGTTGAATCATATTTATTTCCATTAATAATAGTAATCAGCATGCAGAACTTTTAACCAGTCAAGCCTTAAACCTCTTTATATCTTCTTGTGATGGTGACATTTATTTTTGCTCTCTGCGAGTCTCCATGTTTGTACTGACAAAAAGCTTGTTTCTTTACTGATGAGGGAATCTGATGCAGTGAATTAAACCAGCATGAACTTGTTCAAAGCGCTTCCTGTCGCTATGTGATTGTATTTAATGAATAAATGATCTAATCCGTACCTGCACAGCAAAACATTAGAGCATTACCAGCCTGAGACTTTATTAGCCCAGAATTTGATTCGCGTATATCACTTCTAATTAAAGCACATTTTAAAAACAAGAAATAATAAAACGTTTGAACGTATGTAACTCGCAAACTCAAATCTGTATAAATTTAGTTAAAACAAATCAGTAGCTTGCAATTTTAAAACAATTTTCATCATCAAAAAGAATGTTGAGTCCACTAAAACAACAACAATGCTCTTCTAATGGATTATGACGTCTCTAGTATCGCCTACAAGTTTATATCTGCAGGCCTGGGATCATATGCAGCAGCTTAAATCGTTGATGCTCTACATCCGAGTCACAGATCTGAGCCAACAACAAGCAGGTGGCTGTCTGTGTTTAACTTTTAGCTGCTTAAAGGCTCTATAAGATGAAGGCAGATAACTCACCTGAGCGTGAGCTTTTAGCACGAACACTCTGTCGAGAGATATTAGACATGTTAAAGCTTAGAGGAGAAAAAAATAATTTGGCTTTAGGGCCCAGTAAAAGCTAACCCAGAGTAATTCTGTTGAGCTTGATGACATATTGGAGTTCATATTACCTTGCTCCGGTTCATGACAGCATCCAGGAACTTCTTGGGTTGGGAGCTGCCATCCCACTCTGATGACATTCCTACCCTTGGAAGGGCCTGTGTTGACCCCATGGAAAGAGGGCATTGCAAAGTTTTCTCTTGAGCTGAGAGATCAGACAGAGCGGCAGTTTTTAGACGACTCTTCTTGTACAAACTGAATCAGTGTGTAACAAAGGAATGCAATGCTCACTCGTTTCTGCAGGGAGGGGGAAGGATTCTGGGATTCTTTTAGCAACAGGTGATGCCAGACTGTCCTCAGCTACAAACCCAAGTATAAAAAAAAAAAAAAGCTTAATTCTCCTTTTCTAACCATGTTTGATTCATTCTGAAATTCAAATAACATTCTATAGTCTGTTTTGCACAATGTTTAAACTTTATTTTTACAAATTGGAATGTACACATAGATTTGTCCCCCTTCTAATCAGTTCTGAAAGAAGAAAAATATTAAAATTTCTTAATCTTTAATGTCGGAAAAGCTTACTGCGAAGAAGAGGTGGTGGAGTCGTAGGGACCAGAGGTGAACTGGAATTGTGGAAATTTGTTTGATCAAGTAGCATTACTGAAGTTGGAGCTATCATGAAAAAACACAAAGCTGATTATATTATTGCTCTTCAAGAAACATCAAAGCTTGCAAATGTTAAACTGAGAAGAAAAAATTAAATCACCACAACAGTGCTTTTCCGTGGTCATTTTTTCAATCAGAACGTCTTACCTGAGAGAGTCATTTTAGCTCTGAGGCTCTGCAAGAAAAAAATAAAAATAAAAACTTGCTTTCAGAAAATCTACAGAAACATTTCCTAGACATGCAGCATAAAGGCTGATCAAACTTCATAACTTGACTGAAAAAAAAATCCAGTAAATGAGGGGTACTAAGTCTCTCAAAGTCAGATATAAAGTAAGCTGGTCCTCTTCAGTATTTAAAATACGAACTGTTCCTTGGGGTGTTTTCACACTTCATAGACCAGTAGACTTAATTCAATGGCAGACCAAAGCTGCAACTTTTGCTACATTTTCATCGGGTACAGTTCCCTTTCACGTTACACTGTATAAAACAAAAACCTTTTGAAAAACACCTTCCCCTCAAGAATAACTGAATGAAACAACATAAAAACCAAAGAAGAAGAAGATGAGTGCAACATCATTCTTCATGAAATGTAAGCATGAACGGACTGGATTCAGATTTTAGCAGTTGTGTAATTTCTCTTTTGTCTCTGGGAAAAGATCATGAGCCATTTCTTTCACTAAAATCAAATCAAATTTTATTTGTATAGCACATTTCAGCAGGAAGGCATTTCAAAGTGCTTTACATCATAAACACAAAAACACAAAGTCATGCAACATAGAATAAACAATACATTGTTCCGTCATAAAATTTTTAATTGATTACGTTTCAAATCCAATTCTGAACAGGTGTGTTTTTAGTCGAGATTTAAAGAAAATCAGGGTTTCAGCTGTTTTACAGTTTTCTGGAAGTTTGTTCCAAATTTTTGGTGCATAGATGCTGAAAGCTGCTTCTCCTCTTTTGGTTCTGATTCTGGGGATGCAGAGCAGACCAGAACCAGAAGACCTCAGAGGTCGGGAAGGTTGATTCAACAACAGGAGATCTTTGATGTATTGCAGTGCTAAACCATTCAGTGATTTGTAAAATAACAACAGTATTTTAAAGTCTATTCTTTGAGCTACGGGGAGCCAGTGGAGGGACTTTAAAACTGGTCTTATGTGCTCTATCTTCCTGGTTTTAGTGAGAACGTGAGCAGCAGCATTCTGGATCAACTGTAGCTGTTTGATTGATTTATTGGACAGACCTGTGAAGACGCTGTTACAATAATCAATGCGACTAAAGATAAACGCATGGATGAGTTTCTCTAGATCTGGCTGAGATATTCGTCCTCTAATCCTGGAGATATTCTTCAGGCGATAGAAGGCCGACTTTGTAACTGTCTTTATATGGCTCGCAAAGTTCAGGTCCAAGTCCATCACTACTCCCAGATTTCGGGCCTGATCGCTGGTTTTTAGTTGTAATAACTGAAGCTGAATAACTAGCACTAGATTCAGTTTGTTTTGATTGTATTTAACCAGTGCTGTACTCTGTTTCATGTATAATTGTTGACCATTGTTGAAAGCACTGCCATCCTCTGCTTAGTAAAAAAAAATAATGCTTTGAAAAATTTTTTTTAATCTGTTCCACATCCTACCTTCCATTAAATTCCAAGGATAATGTTCCAATGAGAAGAATGTTTCCTCACCTTGCTTCGCACAAATGGTTTTTCCTGTTGAACTGCATTTTCTGGAGTCAAAGTTCCCGACCACTCTGAAGACATTCCTATTACGCTCAGGTTCACTGCCAGTGGCACTCTTGCCTGAGCTGTGACAGGAACTGAAAAGCAAAATTTGTTCATTTAAAAAGAAATTTCCAATTAAGATAATCTAAAATGTGGCTATCAGAGAGAAAGAGTTGCAATATTACCTGGATCAGAGGCTAATTCAAATGATTCTGGGGTTCTCTCTGGAAGCGGCGGGGCAGGTGATGGGGGACTTCCTAAGAATTTAGAAAGAGGAAGTTAAATATTTAAATAAAAATCAGTGTTTGAAGTACCCATTGAATCAGTACACATTTAAGAAAAATGGCAGCAGACATCTTATTTCATGGATTTTCATGGATTTCATGGACTCATGGATTTTTATGGACGTGTTCTTACCTGCCTGCTCCCTTATTGGTTCAGCAGCAACATTTGGTGGAAAGATAACCGACAACCTTTCACATGGATCTGCCAGCTCTGTCAGACAACATTTTGTTCAACAAATACAATGTGACAAGATTTTCTGTGTCACTCACTTTTCAATATATAGTTAGAGATGATCAGATTTTTAAATAGATAATGGAACGAGATATTTTTCTTTTCATAACTAAACTGAGGAAACTAACCTTCTTCCTCAGCCAGGAAGTAGGATTCAGGGGTTCGTTCGGGTAAAGGTGGAGGCGCCTCATCATCTGCTGGAACTTTGAATGTAAACCAAAACACACGACTGCAATTCAGCAACTCTTTTCTGTTTTTTGTAAGACTAAATCATGCAAACATGTTTCTGCTTACCTGAGGTTGGAGAGCTGGGCTCCATGTTCTGGTCATTCAAGAGTAAAGAAGGTGCGCTGAAGAGTGGACTGCACGTCCATTTGGAGTCTTCTTCGTCCACTAGAGCCTCTTCGGATGAAGGGGAACTCAAAGGAGTGTCAAAATAGGGGTCTTCCACCATCAGACACACAGCCTCAGGTACAACAGGTGAAGATGAAGAATTCGGTATAGAGGTGTTATCTTTGTTTGGCATGCTCTCGTTCGCTGTAAACACAGCAGAGCTGGTATGAAGGAGTTTAGGAGAGTTGTTCAGTCTCTCATGCAAGTCCTGTGTTGCATTCACAGCCTCTGGTGTGACGTGGAATGGGTTATATTGTTGCTGGCCCCAGTGTAAGTCTTTGTATTTGTGGGCAGTAAGATTTTCTGAAGCCAGAACCATAGGAGAATTGTATTGCTGGAAATAACCCCTCTCTTCTTCAAGCAGGTGTTGATGGTGTGGGGTTAAGTCAAGCTCCTCCTCACTCTCGTCAGAGAGATCATTTTCACTTGTGGCAGCAACGGCTGATTGAAGCATCGTCACCTGTTCAGATGAAAACACAGATAGTTTCAGGAGGATTTTATCAGATGACCAGGTATGTAACTTATCTTAAGCAAAAGGTCAAAAGGGTTATATACAGGCCACATGAGATTGTACATTGATTTGATCCATCTATATGTGTTGAAGTGACCTTGTAGTCCAAAGCCTGGACCCCAGGTGTAAGGTAACCAACAAACACCACCAAGATGCAGCAGTTATGTCCTGAGGAATTGGCCAAAATTTCAACAAACTACTGAGAAAAGGCAGTTCAATGTTAACTGGAACATGTGGCTTAAGTCATACAGTTTAAAATTGAATGACTTCAGCCAAATACTAAGAGAATGTGTGAGAACGTCTAAATGTAAATCTGAAATTATCCTGTATTTGTAAGTTGTTTTTCCATCATTAGCACATTTAGCAGCACATATATGAGATTGTTTCACACCGCTAAGACTGTCCTCCTGGCTCTCATTGGTTGTTTCTGACTGAGCATTTCTGCAGATGGCAGTAGCAGGTGGAGGAGCTTGATTATTTTTCACAGATTATCTGTCTGATACTATCCTGTCACAACATGGTGACAGTTTTAATAAAAAACATGTTTTTTTTTGTAGAAAAGTTAGATACTGCAGCTTTAATGAATGTTGTGGTATTGACATTGCTAAAACCACTATGAATCAATGTTCATTGTTCAAACAGGTGAGGCAACAGATGAAAATACAAAAGAATGATCCAGCACATTAATAAGTCTTGATAAAGCTGGGCTCTACAAATACAGATTGGTAAAATGAACGAAAAAAAATTGAAAACTGAATTTAAGGTGTTTGAAGGACTATGTTACCTATTATTATTATTATTATTATTATTATTATTATTATTATTATTATTATTACCTGTTATTAAAAGTTGACATGTTTAATTTAGTTGTATGAATCTTTAACATTCCACCTCTGGAACAAAGCTTTATTACTTTCAGCAGCTAGAGATTAGTTTTCTAGTTGCATTGTTCGACATATGATGTCAATCAAAATAAAATATTTAAACTCATAGTTTCATGAGAGAAAACCTGAATTTGCTCATGTTTAATCTTGCCACTGGAACTAAACACTGCAGAGATCAGATGAACTTTAAGAAAATGATTTTTGCTCATAGCAGATTACCTCACCATCATAACTTCTGATTTTCCACTTGTACTGTGACTGGAATCTAAATTTATGATACATTGAAACCACAAGAAAGCCTGCCGCAACTGTTTCTGTTCTTCGATCTGTACCTTGTGCTTTTCGTATTTTGGCATTCAGAGCGCTAACAGTTGCATGCAAAAATGATATATTTTTACGATTTTAATAACGGGTCTCAGATCTCAGCTTATTGATTGTGGCACTGCATGTTTATGATCTTGTTGCAACAATTAGCTGCACTTTCAGGTGCATTGCAATATTTTAGTGCAACATTAAACAGCAGATGTTCAGTAAGAAAAATTAAGCTATTACACATAGATAATTAACATCTAGTTCAGTTAAATTTTATGAAGTCATTATAATTATGTCATAATTACTGTTATCATAAGAAAAAAATACTACAAGACTATTATTGTGCATATCCATCAAGAGGTGTGTCGTTTTTTATCCACTTAACAGAGTCTCCCTATGAGATTTAGGTCAGTTAACAATGTGTTGTATATTTGGCAGAGTGGATAAGTACCAAGTCTTATTAGATTAAAAAAGATTCTCCAAACTCCTTGTCAGCAGGTTGAAGCATGCAATGCTTCACAGAAAAAAATTGAAAGTTGTACGTCAAGTCCTGTATATTTTTTATGTGAAATAATTCTCAAATAACTGTCTATAACTGCAGTCCATGTCTTGTGAATTTCCTTCAAATTCTTGGCTGCAGTTAGTTTCTGTTCACACTTTTTACTTCCACTTAACTTTCCTTTAATATGCTTAGTATTAACACCATGTGCAGTCAGCTTCTTTAGTAATGACCTTTTGTCAATGACAACTGTCAAAATGTTGGTCTTCCACCTGATTATGTAGGTCATAACATGTCTGTATTAAAAAAAATAATATTTTTATTGGTTTCATTCAATATTCCAATTATCTGAGAACCCATAAGTACTAAATAACAGAAACAAGCACTTTAAATAAGCCCTCTCCAGATAGTTCATATTTTTTTAGTTCACTTTACCAAAACATTAAACATTGGAACACTTATGATCAGTGGTTTTGCATGCCACTGCACATATTTTCCTTTTCAACCTGCACTGTAAGATCATGTTTTTGTTGTAGTTGCTCACCTCTGTGTTGCAGCTTTGTGTCTCCATAGTTTGCAAATACCTCTGAAACAGTTCCCTGATAGTTCTGTAGACGAGCAGATATTGTTCCTGAGGGTAAACAACAAAAGCGTACTGAGTTACAACATGTGGCTTTTGAACAAAAATACAACTCAATCTTTTATGCTGTAAAGAAATGGAAATGAAGCTGATGCTGTTAGCATGAAGAGAAGTTCTGCTTTCTGGAAGGTTGAGTAAATACCTTTGTTTGAACTACAGATGGCCTCTGGGTTCTCATGTCTTGAACTAAGTTATAGATGTTAAAGTCTGACGTGATCATCTGTAAGCAGGCACACATAAAACATGCAATATATATATAAAATATGTTGCTGTCCATCCAATGAAAATAACAATATTCTTAAACCTCTCAGTCTTACCTGACTCCTGAGGAGGTTCCATGTATAATCAATGACACACAGGGCCCCTGTTCTTCCACAGCCAGCACTAAAATCACATCAGCAAAAGTTTAGACCAACGTTTAGCATCGGGACAGTTAAATTCAAATCAATAGTCACAAGTGCAACCTCTCTGAATTCTATTTGTTTACAGAGATGTGATGTCGTCTAGTTTAAAAGTTATTTAGCCTAACATCATGTTCATGAAACACCACAATGGATACTTTCATTACGCGTTCATAGAAGAGCGTTTAATAAATAACTTTGGATTGCACATTTGTGTCTGAATGAATCACAGGACCTTTGGAACAATTTGTGCTTTTGACACAGAAGCCTGAAGCAGAGATGTGCGGCCATTAATTCACAGTACTTATTAAAACAACTGATAAGTATGGGAGTGGAATGGCAATAGTTTTGATATAGCACAAATGGCCTATTGTGAATCATTTGATCATTTCCATCTTGCAAATGGATCTGGTCACATCTTCATTGTTAAAAGGTACAGCTGTTTATTATTAAGCGGCTCCACAACACATTATTGGGAAGCAAAATGACAGTAGGAATGTCAAAGCACATTTATTTGAAATTTAGAATGTTCTTTCTTTAAATGTTTACCGTTTACCACAACAAGAAGGATTGTTAGGATCTTTCAAGAAAAGGTTGTTCTGTTGTCTCAGTAAAACACTATCTTAAGAAAGGAAGTGAAACCCTCTGTTAGTCTTACTGATATGGCACATCCTTTATTTGCCAGTAAATCTCACGCTGCCACAACCTTAGAGTGTGAATCATGTAGTGCACTAACAAACAGTACATATCAAATGCTGTGTGGGATTTAATTTATTTATTCCAGCACAGAACACAGAAGCAGTTTTCTGCCTGAATCATTCATTTTTGAATGCAACCTTTATGCAACCTTGAATAAATGATAAGGGCGAGTGATGAAACCACAATGCAAGTGGTGGAAAAACTCAGAATGTGTGTTTTAAAGTGCAGTGGGCCGTTGGTTCACCACCTACATGCATTTCCTGTCAAAAAAAGAGGAGGGGCCTAATGACTTAACCTGATGCATGAGGACATGTACCCACAAGTAACACAACGGCAACAGTCGAACCTCTTTCTGCATCGCAAACAATGTTCACTCATGAAGGTGCAAAGACAAACAAAAAATATAAAGGAACTGTAATTTGTGTTCTTGAGTTAACAATCTTCAAATGACTGGTGCTTGCATAAAATAAATAGAATAGCTTTCAAATATTTAAGACAATAATTTAAAGCAAACAGTGATAGTGAAAAAGTGACAGTTTTAAAATGTGATTGAACTGAGGAGTGAGGATCTCCCTGTCATTTTCAATATCTCTAAAACTAAAGCTACATTTGCAATAGATGTGTTAAATATGGTCTAACTTTAATTTTCTTTTTCAGTTCTCACAGTTTGTACAATCTGAGTTATGGTCTGCAAGGTTGCCAAGCTTTATGTTTCTTATTCAATCTTATTTGATTGTTGAACTATTCAACCTATTTGTATAGTTGTGTAAGTATTTTCAGTAAGCTAAAATATTTTTTTCTAACATATTTGGACATGTGGATAATTCATAGCAGATTAACCCAAAATGAAAAATTCTAAATTCAAGTGATGAATTGATTGCACAAATGCCTTAAAAATGTAATTTAAAGAAAGCAATGTCCTCAGCTAAAAAGCGCAAGGTTACACATTACCATAACCCTTCATGTGCTGGAAACATCGTTACTTGGCATTTTAAACTTGATGTGCCCTTCCTAACCCTCAGACATTCAGTTTGTAACTGTTGAAATGAGAAGAAGCACCACGGTGACATACACAAGGCTATCAAGTACCATGTTTTGGTGTTGCTACGGACCAAAATGAGATGAAGACATGAGGAACACTGTGAATAGAGAAGATTATTGTGATTACAGAACACATCAGCCGGGAACAGATCAGAAAAAAAGCAGTGCGGGAACAACCGTTGAAAGACTGAATAAACCAAGGAGTATTTCTACTAGAGACTCTGATAACTTAATGCTGCATAGATGTGGAACAGCTGATGAGGATGATTGGATGAAACTGTAGCACCAGTCAGTAAAAACTGTTATCAAACTAAATTCAAACTCCAACAGATTACGACACTAAAGCTTTCAGAATGAAGATTGTTGCAAATGATTTAAAGTTATGGCATAAGTAGCTAAAATCAGCCGTTCAACTATATTGTTTTTTGTTTTAACTTGATTAAGCAGTTTGATTTTACTAGAGCTAGTTTTAAATGTGGTGTAAAACTAAATGTGATACTGACGAGAAGACGAAATTCAAAGCTAATGACAAACCCACATCTGGCGTTTTTAGGTTATAAAATGTCTCCAAAAACTCAAAAGGTCACGCTGCGTAAAACAGGTTTATTGCTTCTGTTGATATTAAAATTCTTGCTGTACAATCTGAGAATGGTTGCACAAATTTAACTTCAAAGGGAAGTGTGTGAGAAGGAAATGTCTGCTCACTAAAAAACATGAAGAGCAGACAGATGTTTATTGTTTTTTAGATGGGTGTGAAATAGCAAGAAATTTTTATTATTATTATTATTTTTTTGCATAAACCAAATATATAATTCACAGAAAAGAGCCTACATGTTGTTATAAAACACATTTTGGGTTTCAGTGGTTTTTTCGAGAAACCATTTACCCCCACTCTTATTCTCCTAATCTAATTCATGAGTTATTCAAACAAAACAGAAAAGACATAAATATATAAGTGTGCAAACCAAATATATATATATATATATATATATATATATATATATATATATATATATATATATATATATATATAAATTCCCTTCTCACCCACCGCGGGTGGTTCTTATCCTCTGAGCTCGGGTCCTCTACCAGAGGCCTGGGAGCTTGAGGGTTCTGCGCAGTATCTTGGCTGTGCCAAGGACTGCACATTTCTGGACTGAGATGTCTGATGTTGTTCCTGGGATCTGTTGTAGCCACTGCTCCAGTTTGGGGGTTACTGCCCCGAGGGCCCCGATGACCACAGGCACCACTGTGGTCTTCACCTTCCAGGCCCTCTCCAGTTCTTCCCTGAGGCCCTGGTATTTCTCTAGTTTCTCGTGCTCCTTTTTCCTGATGTTGCAATCACTTGGTATTGCTACATCTACCACAACGGCTTTCCTCTGATGTTTATCCACTACGACAATGTCTGGTTGGTTCGCCATTACCATTTTGTCTGTCTGGATCTGGAAGTCCCACAGGATCTTAGCTCTGGCGTTCTCCACCACCTTTGGGGTGTTTCCCACTTTGATCTCGGGGTTTCCAGTCCATATTCTGCACAGATGTTTCTGTACACTATGCCTGCCACTTGGTTATGTCGCTCCATGTACGCTTTCCCTGCCAGTATCTTGCACCCTGCTGTGATGTGCTGGACTGTCTCAGGGGCCTCCTTGCACAACCTACACCTTGGGTCTTGTCTGGTGTGGTAGATCTGGGCCTCTATTGCTCTGGTGTTTAGGGCCTGTTCCTGGGCGGCCAGGATGAGGGCCTCTGTGCTGTCCTTGAGTCCAGCTTTTTCCAGCCATTGGTAGGATTTACTGATATCAGCCACTTGGGTTATTTGCTGGTGGTACATCCCATGTAGGGGCTTGTCCTCCCATGATGGTATCTCTGGCACCTCAACCTCCGTTCCCTGTTGTCTGAGACATTCACTGAGCACATTGTCTGTTGAGGCTTTGTCCCTGATGTATTTATGGATCTTAGTTGTTTCGTCCTGGACAGTGGTTCTCACACTCACTAGTCCTCTGCCTCCGTCCTTGCGGCTCGTGTACAGTCTCAGGGTGCTGGATTTGGGATGGAACCCTCCATGCATGGTTAGTAGCTTTCTAGTCTTAATATCTGTGGCTTTCATCTCCTCCTTTGGCCAGCTGATTATTCCAGCAGGGTATCTGATTACTGGCAGGGCATAGCTGTTTATCGCACGGATTTTGTTCTTGCCATTGAGCTGGCTTCTCAGGACTTGCCTTATTCGTTGGAGGTATTTAGCTGTGGCTCCTTTCCTTGTGACCTCATCGAGGTTGCCATTTGCTTGTGGTATACCTAGGTACTTGTAACTGTCCTCTATGTCTGCTATTGTTCCTTGTGGGAGTGAGACTCCTTCTGTGTGGATCACCTTCCCCCTCTTTGTGATCAGCCGACCACATTTCTCTAGTCCGAATGACATCCCAATGTCAGTGCTGTAGATCCTGGTGGTGTGGATCAGTGAGTCGATGTCTCGCTCACTCTTGGCATACAGCTTGATGTCATCCATGTAGAGGAGGTGACTGATGTTGGCCCCATTTTTGAGTCGGTATCCGTAGCCAGTCTTGTTGATAATTTGGCTGAGGGGATTCAGGCCTATGCAGAACAGTAGCGGGGACAGGGCATCTCCTTGGTATATGCCACATTTGATGGACACTTGTGCAAGTGGTTTGCAGTTGGCTTCAAGGGTGGTTTTCCACAGCCTCATCGAGTTTGCAATGAAGGCTCTCAGAATCCTGTTGATGTTATACATCTCTAGGCATTCAATGATCCAAGTATGCGGCATTGAGTCATAAGCTTTCTTGTAATCGATCCAAGCCATGCACAGGTTGGTGTGTCGGGTTTTGCAGTCTCGGGCAACTGTGCGGTCTATGAGGAGTTGGTGTTTGGCTCCTCTGGTATTTACACCGATACCCTTCTGTGCCGTGCTCATGTGTTTATCCATGTGTTTGCTTATCTTGGCCGCTATGATGCCTGACATGAGCTTCCAGGTTGTGGAGAGGCAGGTTATTGGTCGGTAGTTGGGTGGGACTGGACCCTTTGATGGATCCTTCTGGATTAGGATTGTCCGCCCTTCAGTTAACCATTCAGGGTGAGTCCCACTTTGTAGCAGCTGATTCATTTGGGCTGCCAGTCGCTCATGGAGAGCAGTGAGTTTCTTTAGCCAGTAGGCATGGATCATGTCAGGCCCTGGTGCTGTCCAGTTTTTCATACCTGAGACTCTTTCTTGAACATCTGTCACAGTGATGGTTACCGGGGCTTGCTCAGGGAGGTTGCTGTGGTCCTCTCGTAGAGAGATCAGCCACTGTGCATTGCTGTTGTGGGACGCCTCCCTTTCCCATATGCCTTTCCAGTATTGTTCAGTCTCCAGCCTTGGTGGGTCTGCTCTGTTGTTGTTATTACCCTGCCATTGAGAGTACACCTTAGCTGGTTGAGTGGAGAAGAGCCGGTTAATCCTTCTGGATTCATTCTCCCTTGTGTATCTCTTTAGGCGGCTGGCCAAGGCTTGGAGCCTCTGTTTGGCAGTCTCGAGTGCTTCAGGTATGGGCATCTGGCTGTACTTTCTGGGTACTGGTCTTTTCATTGTACCCTTGTGGAGCTCTGACAGTTGGCTCACTTCCCTCCTTGTTACCTTGATTTTAGCCTCTAACCGTCTTTTCCATGGTGGTGGGTCTTTTCCATGGTTGCTCTTATAGCCAAGTATCTCAAGGATCACTGATGCTGAGTTGTAGATCAGCTCATTGGTTTCTGTTATGGTGTTGGTAGGGATCGTTCTCAATGCTGCATTCACATTCTCAATGAGACGTTCTGATGGTACTTCACTCAGCCGTTGTAATTAGCCGAGGAGGCCTGGTTGTCATTCGGGTCATGATTCTCTCTCTCAGGTCAGCAGCTGTCTCGTTCAGCTCTGTTTCGCTCATTGGGGCCGTGTATCCCCTCACTGGGTGGGGACTTGTAGTTAAGTCCCCACAGTCCTGACATCCGGGTTCCTCCCTTTTGCCGTAGCATTTGTGTTGTATCTCGTCAATCTCAAGTTGTGATAGCAGTTGCTGTTTGCGGATGTTGGAACACTGAGCTACTAGTTGTTTAGCGCTTAGTGTTGACTGGGGATGTCGAAGTAACCATTCCTTCCCCAGTCTTTGCATGTAATCTCTCTCACTAGGGTTACTTGAGTAGTAGCATTCCAACAGATCCACATTTTCATCTCTCGCCCATTTCCGTCTTGTTCCAGTAGCCCATTTGTCATCAAGGTGCTCTGGTTCCCCAACACCTGACGCAGACCTTGTTTGGCCGGGCGACGTCTGAGCCGGCATGTTATGCAACTTAGTATCTCTCATGGTATGAGGTAGGCAGTAGCTTGAAGGGTCTTGCCTAAGGACCCAGACTGGATTCGAACCCTGCCCTCTCGGGTGATATACTGATGCCTTATGTATTGAGCTATCCAGTCAGTTATATATATATATATATATATATATATATATATATATATATATATATATATATATATATATATATATATATATATATTTGTGTGTGTGTGTGTGTGTGTGTGTGTGTGTGTAGAACATATTGTATGTGACACTGCATTGAATTTTATGCAATTTCTTTTTGAATGCCATAGCAAGGACGCCATGGCATACGAGCTCTATTTTGTTTAAAGCAGACAGTTAATTATACACCCTTTATTCCAATGAATATACATTATACAAAATAAAAAATTAACTTTATTTTCTCACATTTAAACACATAAAGGAGCAATTTCTCGATCTTTGTGTGCCAGGATAAGAAAGCAGCTCTATATTAATTTAATATTACAATTCTGAAGTTTCTGTGCTTAATTCTTTGAAACCCCCATGTTCTACATGGTATGTGTAATCCTTTATTGTTTCACAAATCATCAAAATAGCCTTATGTATGTTAACATGTTATTCATCACAAGGTTTATTTTTATGTCTGAGTGGTGAGTACACTGTGAGTTATCTGCATGACTAGTAATGTTCCCCTTCATGTTGTAATTTGGGTAGTTTTTGGGGGATTCATGATGAGAATGGAAGGGGTCCAAGTATCCAGCCTTGTTGCCCTCCAAGTTGTCTGACACATTTGCTATGTGGTGTGAGTAAGTGTTTTTAGTTCTTGTAAACCCAAAAATAATGGTTTGTCAGTCTAACAATGCACCTTTTGATCTGATTAAGAAGTCCAGAATTATCATTAGCATTATTCTAAATTCACAAAAACAAATTGTTCCTTGTTAAGATATTTTTTATGGCTTCAATTTTGATTTAGTATTTGAACATTACTTTTGTTTGTGGTTTAATTGATAAGCTAAACATCTACACCAGGGTTATTCAGAAACACAGAAAAGTCAAATTGTTTAGGAAACAATTATTGCTTACATTATCAACAACAAATTTGCAATTTAACCTTTTCAGACAAATAAACAAATATTTGTTAAAAGAAAAAGTATTTGCCCATCACACAATGGGTAACATTCCCAGGTACTAGTAAAGTTTCTGACCTGCAGTGGATGCATATGGGGATGTCGTCATGCGGCTGGTAACAGCGCATTTCATGCAGCATGTCCAGAATGGGTGGGATGGTGTCTGGTACGCCGTGATCCGGCCAGTTGATGTAATGCAGCTGTTTCAAGGTTCGGCTACACTGAAACAATTAAAATTGAAATATTTGGGATCACTTCAATTCCAGATTTTATGTGAAATGTTTTTGTTTGCACATCTAACATTTGAATAACTCAGGTTAGAGGTTACAGTCTGTGTTTTCAGTAGTTGTAGCTGTCAACAAACCAGTTCCTTATCTCTTGATTCTCTCTGAAAAAATGCAATGACAGCTACTTTCAAGGTTAATGCTTACATTGCGATAAGTCAACCTTAACGTCCTTGTAATATAGTCTCCTTTACTTTCCTCAGAATCCTGGAAAAAAGTGAAAAAAAAAACACTTTTAAGATTGCAAACTATTAAAAACATAAGATACAAAAGAAAAAAAAAGTTATTTTGTTCATGTTTTTAGGTTTCAAACGTTCCATGAGGTGCTTTGGGTGTCAGATGTGGATAAATGGAAAACTGGAACGTCAATGTATTTTAAAACAGTTATAGGAAACTGTCTGAGTGGGAAGTATGACAAAGTGAGACAACAATTACTCACACAGTGGACGGTAAAAGCCTCGCATACAAACGTATCTTCTTGTTTTTGTGGCCAGTACACTTCACACTTTTTCTAAAAAGAAAGAAAGAAACAAAGATTTACTTCTGAACTGTTTTCATTTTAACTGCTTGAGAAATTATTGTTTTATGCGGAAGGCATTGTTACCTTTCCCATTTCAAATTCTCGACAGGACATGACAATAACCTGAGGAACCAAGCAAAGCAAAAGAAGTTCAACAGGATCATAACAGAAACAACATTTTGACAAACATAGCCAGTGTCAAGCAGACCAACATTTATGTTATATTCCCAAATCATCCGTAAAAAGTCCACCAGTGTGTGTTGAAGCGGACCCTGAGTAGCAATATACGCCCTGGGTCCTGAAACTCCCTGTAAGAAGAAAAAAGCATACAGTCAAATGACGCTGTTAATTATACTACGTAGTTACAGTTATTAGCAATTGCACTGCTAATCACATCAAATGAGTAATAGAGCTACTTCCTGAGAAAACAAGGTACATTTAATTTACCTTAATATAACTTGCATTGATGTAGTCTGAGTCTTTTTTGGATGTGGTGAGAGTGAGCTTTACTCGGGTGTGGTCAACTGGAAGAGGAGAAACATGTGGTCAAAGTACCATCAATGTAAAATTTCAATGATGGTGTAAACTTTCGTTTTCCTGTCGAACAACAGAGCAAAAAACTAAATTACATCAAACACAGAAGTGTAAAGCTAAAGACCGCACCTAAATGTAATCTTACAGATGCACAATTCAGAACAGTCAAAAGCAAAACTGTTAAGATGAATCCAACATGTATTTTGTTGTATACCACCTTGTCTGACTTTTAAAGTTTCTACAAATACTCCAAACAAATTTCAGCTATGACATACTATCACCTTCCATCTAGACATTGGAAATGTGATGAAAAAGTCAAAGGTAAAAAAACGTCAACAGAAAGATGTCAAAATATGGTTGGAAAGTAACATGAGCTAACCAGTCCTGAATCTTAATGTATTTGTCAATGTGTGGGCTTACTGAAAACAAGGTGTTTTCAATAAAAACAACCAGAAGAAAAAAGAAAAACAAAAAGATGTCAACAGATGTCCAGTGTTTTCAAGGAAGTGACAAAACAGTTGCATAATCAGATGGAAAATGATTTGGCAGAAACCCAGCGAATGATATTTGAATCGTTGGATGTGAAAGAAACAGCTGGACTGAACTAAAGAGGGTGTAACTTTTAAGTTTGAGCGAAGATTTTAAAAGCCAATGTCACAGTTGAGTGTGACATTCACACACTCATCTGGGTGTATCAGAAAACCTCATACATCCAATAGGCAGCATTAGCACCACTTAATTGTGCTAAAGTCACTGTGGCCTAATGTGACATGTGGCTTAATCCCCACATGTCAGGATGTTTCACAATACATGCGTAAGTAAAGACTCCAAAACACCATCAAGTCAGAATGCATTGGTCTACTAACAAAGTTACTTCTTAATACTTCTAGTATTGCTGTAGTCTTCACCTTTGCAGGTATTTTATCTTCACCATTCACCTTGGGAGTCTGTGAAGTTGTGCCAGAAAACATTTTAAATTTTACAAGATGCAAAAGCCAACAACACAAACTCAATTAAACTGTTGGTAGTCTAATGCCCATAAGAAGAGTCCCCTCTATCTGATTACATTTTTTATAGTTTTTTCCCTGCTGTTTGCTAGTACAGTCTATGCCCATATAATACAATATAAAATGTAAAATAGTATTATGAACCCTCCAAAGACAAATTAAGTGTAGTGTTTTTTGATGAATGTAGTGTCACATTGTTTTCTAAATATTAATGATTCATGGACACTGTTGTTATTTTTATTTTTGTCTCAGATTATGAACTCACAGCCTAAAATATTACTTTGCATGAAGTATTTGCTTTAACACAAAATATGGAGTTGCAGACTTTTCAAAATGAAATGACTTTCTTCTAGCTGAAATCTTAGCAGTTTTCCCTCCTCAACTCACAGATTCATTGTTCCTGGAAAATGTTAAAATCTGTTTGTGACAATGAAGCAAAAACAGAAAAGAATTCTAAGAAGTCAGATTTAGCATACCATAGGATATACAGCAATATAATGGAAACCTTCAAATTCAGACATCTTGCAGGTTGTTATTACTATTTTGGCAATTTAATAAAATGCTTTGGCAGAGTAAAAGTCTTCTTTTATGAACATTTGTCTCCACCCAATGGCTTGAAAAAGAAAAAGGTGTCATGTGCACACAGTATTAATAATTTATATATTCAGTAATTCTCTAGCATTATAAAATTGTTCTCAGCATTACTACCAAAACCATGCAGGTGTTAGATTTTTGATCAACTGTATGCTGATGTTTTTCAGAGCTGTATCATCGAACGCCGACAGCCTGTCACGTTCTTAAAACCTAGATTTAGAGTCATCATTCAGTGTTATGACACCATTTGCATAAACATGTATGCCAACTACAGTTTTCACAGGTTTGCACTGAGTCCAACTTACAGGGAACAATGTCCTTGTATCGATTCTTCTTGATATTTTCTTGCTTTTCTGCAGTCTTGGTGGAGAAGACCTTGTCAATACGATACTTTGTCGACTGGTTTTTCAGCCTCTGAAAAACAAAAGATTTTTGTACAACATGCATTTTTAACTACAATGCTGTCATTTCTTGTGGCAGTATAAATGTCACTGGTTTTTTTTTCTACCTCTATATATAACCACATTGGAACAAACACACCACGAACCAGATTTCTATTATAAAGTCATTTAAGCTTCAACTTGAAGCTTCCTTTTGCTTTTTTACATAAAATCAGATATGAAGAATATAATATTAACAAGAACAGTACTTACAGTGCAAAAAAAATATTTTAATATACTTGCATTATACTTGCATTTTCAATATTTCTTGGTATTTACTTAATGTTTTAGATATTGCAACAAAATGTTGCAATATCTCATTTGTACATTGCAGAATGTACAAAATCTTGATGAGTAAACACCAACATTTTGCTAAAATTGTAAAAATGAAGCATTTTCATATTTATGCTTCTTGTTGTCCTCTTTAAAACAACAAATTGGCCACATTATGCTACATTCTACAACATTAACAATAGAAAAAGATAGAGAAACTGACTGCTGTAAGTTTATGTGAAATGGGTCCAAGAATAATCCATACCAAGGTAGTTTTATTGCATAAGGTCATTTTCATCATATTGTGAAATGAGAAGTGAGAAATACATGCAGTGTTTATGTAATAAAATGGCCATCTGCTCCCTTTCTAGAAGATTGGTTCCAGCAACCACTCCGTCTGCCAAGGCAAACTCCAACCTCATTGGTGTCTTTCAGTTTTACAAAGGACATCTACATTCTTACTCACAGTTTTAGTGATTTTGTATACACTGTAGTGTGTTTCATTGGGCAGAGATTTCAAGCAAAGGCCAAGGTCTGTGACATACCACCAATCCATTTTGAAACATGTCATATCTTAAATCCAATTTGCATAATAATTTGGAGCACTATGTACCAAAAACATACATACATACTCAGGAGGTGTCCAAACTGTATCTCATCTCTTTGCATCTGAACCCAGATTTAAACTGTTTTTAAATACTTATATTTGGCTAAAGACATACAGAGGAAAGTAACACAAACACTCATGCTATAAACTTATCATTTTGAAGTTAATCGTCCTCTATTTCTTAAAAGGGAAGTCACACCAGTATTTTGAGAGACTGGCTAAATAAGATGCCAAACATATTTAGAGTTTGCTGTTGCCTCAAAATATGGATGTGTGCTGCATTATGCTTCATGCAGTCAGGTTGTTATTTAAATATGTGTGCAACTGAGAGGATACTGGTTTTTAATGTGGCCAATTTATTGTTTTCTTAAAAGGTTTGCACTCATCCACAGGAGATCTCTGTACGCAGGAATAACTAAGAGGAGGTGTAGCAGCCCAGACGTATTTCAGACATGAACTTTTTAACCTTCTCTTTCTTGGACTTTTGCACCGACAGTAACAGCCAAATTAACAACATAAGCATTATCTTTAACTTACAGGATAGGGGCTTTTTCTAACATACTGAAATAATAAGTGAGCACAGAGAAAGGGAAAGATACAAATGAGGCTGGCTGAGAAAAAAAAAAACGCAAATTCACCTCGAAAACACAAGACATTGTAAGTGCTGTCTCAACCCCTCATAATTATTCACCTTTTTAAAACATGGTCTTTTAAAAATTAAAATAGGTGATAGCAGCCACTTTTATTTTGGCAGTTTTACCAACAACTAATCCACTTCTAATTTATTTCCACTATCTTTTGTGAAGTGTGAATGTGGACAACAATGAATGTGCGGTTTCTATGACAGGTTGAATGCAACTCAATCAGTTTCATGTTCAGCTGCCTTGCATATTCAAATGATTTGAAGGATATGAAGACAATTCTAATGTGTTTCTTCCCTGTAGCTTTGTTTAAGGCTACTGGCCACTTTATTAGGCACATTCAGTTCCTTTCTGAGACAAATGGTGACTTAGCCTCACAATCAATTTAATGCATTAAGGTGTGTGGATGTGGAGAATAACTGAAGTAGCATCTGCAATTGTAATCACATTACATAGACAACACCTCTGAATACAACATATGAGCTAATGCAGTCCTGTCAGCTAAAAACAGGAAATTAAGGCTAGAATTTGCATAGTGTTACCATCATTTAGCAGTAATAGATTGGAAAAAAGTTCCCTTCTCCATTGATTTTGGAGTGTAGCTGAAATACTGAGGTGGTCGTGTCAGAATTTGGCATAAACAATATGAAAACATCCTGCTTTGCGTCAACAGTTTAGGCTTGTGGTGTTGGTGTAAAGGTGTGGGGGATGGTTTCTTCACACACTTGGCGCCTATTAGTACTAATAGAACATAATTTAAATGTAACAGCCTGAACCACTTTATCTATTGTCTGAAATCATGTGAAACTGGTTTCTTAATAATAACGATAAATTTGCTCCCTCGTACCCAGATCTCAACCCGAAAAGCACATTTGGAATGTGGTGGAACAGAAAACTTGCATTGTCGTTGTTCAATATATATAAAAATGTATAACCAGTTGTTGAATCTTTGTCAAGAAGAATAAGGACAATTCTGAAAGCAAAGTAGGTCTGACATGACTTTAACAATGCCAATGTATGATCATTGACCACTGTGTAGCTTCTTTATAGCTACAGCGAGCAACTTTGGACATTTCCTAAGATTGAAGACAATAAATTGTTCTGTATTTCATTGGCTTTTCTAACATTTCTATGACAAATATGAAAATATTTAAAAGAAAATAACCCACAAAAGTACCAAAAAGAGTGAGACTCAAAGTTTAAAGGCAGAGGAGTGGAGTCAATTTTTATATGTTGCCATATAATGATGCCAGCAGATAACTTCCACCCTTAACCGAGTGATACTCGGGATCAAGGCCCGTCTGTGCTGATCGGACTCTGAGACACTGTTCCTTTTGTTCAGAGGGCTTGGCAGTCAGCTTAAGAGTCTGTTGAAAGACTTTCAGACCGTCTGTGACTCTAACAACACAGAGTCCTTTTTGTCCTTTAAGGAAGTGATGCAACAGGGGTGTCTAGATGGACAGCAGTGGGACAGCATGGGAAACACACAGTGCTGTCCTCAGGCTGTCAGTCATCAATGGCAGCATGCCACAAGATGTCAAACATGAACCCCAACACCATTGACTGCGTGTGTGGAGAAGTGGTTACCACAATTGTTTGTCTTTGCTACTTTAAAGTGGTGAAGACAGGTTTCTTCCTCACTGATTTCTCGTCAGTGACTAGCGTCATTGTAAAGAGGAAGCATTAAAGTACCTAGAAAACTGTTGGTACTTTGTTGCTGAGTTTGACAACTTGAAATGCGAAAGACCATATACTTTCGTTTTCATTTAGATTTTGTCTGTTCACTCAAGAACAGAACACTTTGCTTATTGACATGGTTCAATCATAGATAAGGAAAGTTGTAGGTGAAAGTTGTAGAGGAATTCATCACAGATTCCTGTTTAGTAGCAGAACTTTAACGCCTGAACTGTTACAGCTGACTCACCGCAAACTCCCCAGCAATACAATTTGGTGCCCCCTCATCCGCAGCCTCCTGACTCTCCAGCTGGGTCAGGATGCTCCTCAGAATCCAGGCCTGCTGCTCCATGATTGGCTGTTCGCTGCCTGGGATAGGGTTTCCTTCACAGGCATGTCAGATCACAAAGGGCTCTGTCCACGGATCATGGTGGTGTCTGGTGTTAATGGTGGCACTGCAGTGCACTTCTCTATCGCGACTCTTACATCAAGGAACTGCTGTGACGGAACATATGAAGTGTCATAGAGGAAGCAAAAGTCAGCTTACAGGTTCTGTGGTCAGATTAAACAGACTGACGCGCCCCCTGGTTGTCTCTTCCTGGGTCCTAAAGTCACTCTGCGTTCAAGTGCTGCCATGGCACCGGGAGTGAAACATCAAGAAAACAAACCGAGCCAAGCATGTGTGCTTTTAAACATGTCCAAATAGCTCAGCCTCTGAAAGTCAGAGTGCAGTGCAAGCTGTACAGCCTGTTGGACGACATTCAGTATACAGGCGAGGAGTGGAAAAGGGATGTCGACAGAAAAGAAAGAGTGGTCAAAGGAAGGTTATCTGACAATTTAACATTCTGCTTTATGTACTTGTTCTAGATAATTTTAGATTTCACTTATTAAAAATATGAATACTCAGTTTGTCATTTTGTCAGTTTGTCATTTGTCAAAAAGGGATTTGTTAGTAACCAGAAGAACTTTTTGTCACAAAGGAAAAAAGCTGTCAAATGTCCTTCAACAAATCTAATTACTACTCATATGTGAAGGTAAATCACACTTAATGTAGGAGGTAACTTTCCAAATAAAATTACGCTATTTGTAATAAAAACAACCTTTTGCTGTGATCAACAGTTGTCATACATTGAGTTAGTAGCATGGTGACATCTAGTGGCTTTGTGCTAAACTTAAACCGAAACATAACAATTTACTGCAGTACAGTACAGTGATCAACAGACAATCACTGTGATTTATAGTCAAAGTAAAAGTCACGTTTTCCCCCTGTCAATTATTTTAAAAGATTATTTATTTCTTACATCAGAATTATGTTAGCATGCCCTGAGAAAAACAAAGAAAGTGTTTTTTACTATGTTTTATAGTAACAAAAACTAAGCACACCCTCTGATTCATTAACCTGCAAAACCAGCTCTAACATCAATAACTTGAAAAACTGTTTCTTGCTAAAGTATTCACAACCTGTAACTTTTTCACCCTTTGTCACAATAAAACTATGAATTTTGATGAGTGTCATACAGATTTATGTGAAAGACCTACACAAATTAATTCAGATGAAGCAAAATGAAAAAAAGACATGTTTATAACTGTGTTTAAGAGGTGAACCTTTTATAAGTGTGGCATTTAGCACCTTTTCTTTGTATACTTTTAGATAACATTCATTACAGTAACATCCCTTGTGAAGTCATGCATTGTAATCTCATAAGTAGCTGTTCTGTGAAGGACATTTGCAAACAAAACAGCACCATGAAGTTCAAGGAGTTTCTAAGAGCAGACAGTTTAGGGATAGGCTGTGGAAAAGTCCAAAGCACAAATCAGGTTTTCGAGCAATCTCCAGAGCTTTAAACATCTCACAAACAGCACTTATCAGGGTTAAGCTCAGCATTACGGCCCGTTGTAATTCTGGGGAAGCTGATTCACAGCTCAGGTGAGAAAAGCTGTTGACAGGCAAACTATTACTGGTGCACTAACTGAATCTGGTCTTGTTACTGTCATATTAAATTATTTTAGAAATGGTAAAATCCATACTGTTCACAAAATTTACAAAGGCAGTGCTGTCTTTAGCAGAGGTTTGCCCTTGTGAAGAAGAGTCCAAGATGTGGTTTTCAAGTATTTATTGCAAGACTAAAATAATCTTATTACACTTCACAGATTGTTGTGTAGAAACTGTTCATTTTCTTTGGTGATCACTTCTTCCAGGCATGTAATGAAGAGGCCCTCTTCTAATCTTTCTAAGCCAATCTTGGAATGCCATTTAAAAACTAACTGAGTGTCATTTTGTTTATTGATGTTAATTATGGAGAAGACTTGTTCACAAAGGTAGGCTGTCCTAGACATACAAAAATGTTTTGAAGCCAGGCAAGAGATATAAATAAAATGTAAACTGTAAAAGATGAGTGAAAAACTGCAAACTGTCTCAAGTTGATCAAGGCCATGTAACCGTTTCCCAAACTCATGCAGGAATTCCGCAGTTTGTCTTTTTGTTATAAACACACACCATTTAGAATATGCAGCTAAACCATATGAGAGTATGTGAAGAGGCAGAAGTGGCTCAAACAAACAACAGGAAGTTCAAAGCGATGCAGTCCGTGTCTTACATTTTCCGAGCAATCAAGACTGAAAGCAGCGTTTAGTATCAGCATGAAGACATTGTGCCTTTTTTTGCTTGTACATAGTAAGTAACCTATGAATTAATATTCATTATTTCACATTTTACTTACCAATTCTCATTAGTTTTAAAGATGAAAACATATAAACAGATTGTTTTTCCAATATTTGTTTACATCCGGAAAGATGTAGATAACCAAATGTTTGCTTCTTTGTATAAAGTCAAGTGAAATAGTATTTATTACCAAATAGTAAAAAAGTACTAGTTGGTAATAAATGCAAAGTAAATTCAGTGGTCATTTTATTGTCATTGCTTACAGATACAATGAAATTCTTTGGGGGCTACAATGTACCAGTTGTGTAATATTCAAACATTTTAATAAATACTAACATTAATATTAAAAGTTAACATTGTTTTTTAAAATACTACTTATCAGTTTTAGATGAATGTATAAACAGTAATTAGTTTTCATTTTGCTGTTGTACTTTCCTTTGTAAATAAGAATAAACAATAGTTGAATTGAAGGTAAATATTGTATGAAAATATTGCCTTTATGATGGGTAACTCCCATCTGCAGCAATACTCACTTTTTTAGTAGGCACTTTGTACTAAAACTTAAAACAATTTAATATTTCCTTGCAATTCCAAAATTTTACACTGAAATGTTTTTTTTATTGACTTTCAGTTTTGTTATGCATATCAAACTTGATTTATTTATTTGGATTTTTATTTTGGCCTAATAATGTTCATTTATGTTAGATGAACCTTTTAAGCTTTGATTTGCTTATGGTTTAAATTAAACTCCTACCTATAATACTGGGTCATCTTGTCAACTTAACTATTGGTTTTCTCTGCTTTTCTTTTTGTGTGTGTGTGAAATTATGATACTCCAACAAAAATGTAATTCATTTTAAGACTTTTTTGACCCTTTATCAGGGATGTGTGATGTGTTTGCCTTTTATAAATACTAATGTGTCTTTAATTTTACAGCCAGCCTTCAGCTTCAGTGTGATAAAAGAGAAATTAGAGCACACATTGGAGGAGAATTCATAATTGTCTGCAGATATGACAGTAAATTCCTGTTCAGCAACAAGTACTGGTGCAGAGGACCCTCTAGATACAGCTGCAACATTTTGCGGGACACTGATGGTGTTACAAAAACCACAAACAAAAACAGGTTGAGAATATTTGATTCGCCAAGACGTGTGCTCATTGTGAAGCTAACAAATCTCCAAATTGAGGATTCTGATGTTTATTGGATTGGGATCGAAAAAATGAATGCTGACATAATGATGTCAGTCAAAGTGAGTGTTACCCAAGGTAAGAAACATAAAGTAATTAAGTTAGAGCTCTAAATTAATGTGCTCTCCTTTTAGAGAGTGCATTGTTTACTGGATCACAGATGAACTGATTCAGACTGACTTCTCTTATCTTTGTACCAGTTCCAGTGTCTATACCCAGACTTTGGCCTCTGACTCTGCTGGCAGATGGTGCAACATGCTTGGGGAAGCCACTAACCGTCCGTTGTGGTTGTGCAATGGGAACCAATGTTTTTTATACCTGGTATCAGCATCAACATCACAGAAGTTTCCTGCTCTTCAGCTCTTCAGATCTAAGCTTACACTGTGGCATGTTAACAGAGGACAGTGAGTATTACTGCTCTGCCAGTAACAGCATCAGCAATGCTCAGAGTGATGCCCTTTCTGTGAAGATCCTCTTGCCTGACAACAGCAGCTGCATCTATGTTGCTAATATTCCTGGTAAGAACCAAAGTGATTTGACTAAAGTTGACCAATAAAACCATTAATATCCCTCATAGAATAATTAACACAGATAGAATGATAAACCATAGTATGTTATTTGGTGAAATAAGACTTCCCTGGTTAAATATGTCCCTTAAATGATCACTAACACAAAAATAAATCAGGGCATAGCAATAAATATTTCACAAAATAAATGAAATTATTATGAAAATCTGTTTAAATCATCTTTGTTTTCTATTACATCTAAATGTTTTAACTTTTATGGTACCAAAGTTATGATTAGCTTTGGTTTTGTTACTGCATGTTCTTTTAGAGCGAGCATTGTTTACTGGCTTTTATTGAAGCTCTAACATGCTGATAAGGCTGGTGTTTGTGGTCAAACAAAAAAAAAAAACCAAACATGCACCTGACTTAGTGATGACGTTACAGGAAGAAGAGCTATATGTGAGTGTTCTCTGGAACCTATTTATGGGTGTGATTCTTGGTTGTCTATGTGAACGTCCTTCTTTTTCATGTAGGTGAACACAGGGTAGGTAAGCACCCTCACCTACAGACTGCCTTGATAGTTTTAAGAGGAGATTTTGGTCGTCTTAATGTCAACAACAGAAATTATGGTCATTGTGACTGTACTTTGCTGTAAATAAGTTATAAAATATAATATATAGACATCACAGTCATTATTGTGTAAAGGAGAAGACTTAATTTTAGTTCAAAGGTTTACTGTGCTGAGAAGCAGAAATGCAATGAATTCAGATGAGCAACAGCATATAAAGTATACAATGATTTATTTACTATAATCCAAACTATAATCCAAACCTAGCTGAGAATAACAAGCTGTGTCCACTAAGAAGGCTCTGTTCAAGCTATAATTTATTCTGGTACTCTCACAAACATACATTCTTCTCCTACAAAACTATGTGGGAGAACTCAGAACTGGCACTAGACTGAAAGAATAGTAAACAAGGATTAATATCAAGAAGCATGTTTGTAATTGGCCTTACAATCCATCATCACATTCGCTCCAATACTGGAGTGTTAGAGAACTGCAGTATTGGAGTTCTCCAATTCTGTCTGCTTAGTGACTGTTTAGGAAGTTTTTCAGGATTTCATTAAAATATTGAATTAATCATTTTAATTTTCATATGGCCATTCCAGACTACCATGGTTTCCTTCACAAACAGCTTCTGTGTGATAACTGTTTGTAAGCTTGCCCCTTACCTTTAGCCCTATTCCCAATAGGTGAAAAAACATATGATAATATTATGCAACTCTCTAGTACAATTCCAATCAGAGGATCCAGTGCTGGATCTGTATTATTGGCCAAGAGACTTTATCAAGATGTTTTCAGTTGCATCTGTGCTCTGTTACAGAGCAACTGATTTAAAGGAAATGAGATGCCTGTGCTTGATTCATAAATTTACATTATTTATGAATCAAGAATAAATAAAAGATTATAACCAGAATCAGGACACCTTTAGGAGTGGTGTTGATCAACAAAAAAACAAACAAACAAAAAACACAAACCTCAAATAACTGCAGCACATGTGTGTTAAGTGTGCCAAAGATCAACCACATTTATGCGAGAGACTAACATGGTCATACAGCAGGGGGCTAGTTCAATCTGAAAGGTTTGAACCACAATATGTTTATTCTATGGTGCCTTCAGTGTTTAATATTCTGGTTTAACATGTTGTACTCTTGATTAAAAAGGGCACAACCTAGTCATGGTTTACAGTGAATCCTCACAAATAAGTGATTCACCTTTCATGGTCTCGCTGCTTTGCAGATTTTGTGTGCAGTTTTTTTTCTTCTTTTTTTTCACAGTGCATTGTATTCTGCATCCTGATTGGCAGAACAGTCTCTCTGCTTCTTCTCCCTGTAGGGTTCACTGTATTGTTCATATGAGGATTTTAATATGATCCAAGGGATTATTTTTAAGTTCTCATGAAAAAAAATAAATAACTGAGCAGGAAATGTGTTAGCCATTAAAGACAGATGGCTAACACATCTGTCACAAAGATGATAAAAGTCACCTTTGGCAGATTGGTAGCCCAATCTGACAAAGGTCATCAAATGTTACCCCGGTACACAAACACAGTTTTACTTTTCTTGCATAATAAAAAAATAAAATGTGTTTTATGTAAAATGTTGGATTTTACAAATTTGAGCTTTTGAACATCTATGAGGTTTAATATATTATTATCATGCTGTTAAAATTAGCAGCTTTCCACAGTGTTTTGTAAATATCTTTGCTTTTATTTATTAGGACAGCCTGTTTATGACTGCACAGACAGAATGAGGACCACTGTGGCTGAAACTTCGCCAACAACAACCTGCATAGAAACTACAAAAATCCCCTCTGACACATCAGAGCAGTCTTTACAAGTCAATCAAACTGCTATGGATGCGTTTTTCACCAGGTTAGAATGCATCTTTTTACTGTCTCCCTGATGGAAATAACATATAATGGACTGAAATGATTAAAACTGAACTCATCTGAAAAAGTTGTCACTCATTTTTTACAGCACATGGACTGGAGTACCACTGTGGTATGAGCTGCTGCGATGGGGTTCTCTGGTAATCTTAATCATAAGTCTGGGTATTTTCATCAGCTGTACAAAAACAAGTCACAAGAAACATGGCAGAAGGAGGAAAAAGTTTAATATGGGATGAAATCCATTTTTTTTTTGGTCAATTTCATCAATTTTAACATTCCTTGTACAAATGTAATCTTTAAGGAAACTGTATTTACCTCAATTTGTATTTCAAGCTTAAATGTCCTAAAGCTTACCTAAAGCAGAATTACTGGATGACATGTCATGGTATGTAAATTAATACTTAAGATAAGACTATGCCCTATAAGCGATTGCACAAATTTTCAAAATTTGCTTTCTCATGAATTATTATACAAATGTTGAGTTGAATTTTAACATTTATATGAATAAATACTTGTTTTGTTGTTTGAACTGTTTTCTGTCAACTTCTCAGTTCTTTTTGGGTCTGTTATACAAAATTTAAATACATTTCATTAAGGTTTGTGGTCATGACAAAGGATTTAAATGCCTTTTTACACTTGCCAAATATATGTAATATGGCAAAGTAAAAAAAAAAAAAAATCTAAACAAAAACATAAATGTTGTGCATGTTTTAGGGTGTGCAAAATTTAGGGAAGCAAAATTGTTTCTTGCAGAATTCCAAACTGCTGCAATCTTTGAATCCTTATTTAATTTTTTACAATAATACTACTGTTATATTATGGTACAAACATTTCGTGTGTGTGTGTGTGTGTGTGTGTGTGTGTGTGCGTGTGTGTGTGTGTGTGTGTGTGTTTTATATATATAATTACTTTGTTTTAAATGTTTAACTATCCTGACATGTATAATTAAGCAACCTGAATTGTGGTCAGATGGGACCAAGTCTTAACTTTAAGCCACATACAAAATGCTTTATGGAGGAACACTAATGCTTTGTATCACCCTGAATACATCATCCCCATCTTTTTAAAATAGTGGTGGCAGCATCATGCTGTGGGGATGTCTTTCTTCAGCAAACAGGAACCTGGTTACAGTTGATTGGGAGATGGAGAAATAGGGTGATTCTGGAAAAAAGCATAATCAAACATCCTGGTCTCAAAGCAGATTGTTTCTTCTTAGAATGGCTAGAAACATATAAGATTCCTCATATTTAAAAAATCTGAGACTTTTTCTGTTCAGGTAGGTTAAAGTAACCCAAATTTTGAATAAAAGAGATTGAATTTTTGTTTGCATAGTGACAAAACAAAAAATAAAAATAATTTCTTTAAAGTATAAATACTTCATAAATTACTGTTACTCTACTGTTCTAAAGAGAGTTCAGAGTAACAGGTATATTTAAAGGTACCTATTTTACCAGAATGTAAATAGTGACAGCTATAAAACCACGACAATCAACCTACACTAGTTTATGAAAGATCTGCTCTCATGCTGATTTTTAACATGAAAGTGAGGACACTGTGTCTGCTTCTTGTTTTTCACGGTAAGTAACTAATAAATTGTTTTTTAATTCTTATTTTACTTCTATTGAATCTTTTTTGTTTGTTTTTCACAAATAACTTTGTAATAGCTAAAAAACAAGGGCATATTTTTTGTTTTTGGAAAGATAATGAGAAAAACTCATCTGTGTTCTTTGTCAGAAACTGAGCTGTTCCTTGCTCAGTATTTTTGCTTTCCATAATTTGTAACAAGTTCATTTTTGTGCAAATATTTTGATCAGAACAATCTTATCTGTCTTATTGATGAAGTGTTTATTGAATGGTTACAGACTTGTGAAGAATGTGGACATTTTATGTTTAAAATATTGTTTCAAGATTTTCATTATCCCACCCAAAGCATTTTAAATGCCCAAACAGAAACCATAGTTTATAAGAGTGTTCCTGAAATGGAAGCCAGTGTATAGTTTCTCAGAACAATATAGGCACACCCATAACTTCCTAAAATTCATTCTGCAGGATGTTTAGATATTTTGTTGTGCTCTGTTCAGACAAACGCTCAAGTCTCACATATTTTCAGAAAATTATTGACCACTTTTTAAAATTATGAATCAAGTTGTAATACTTGTAATACAAGTTGTAATATGATTACAAGTTGTAATCAAGTTGTAATTTAAAGGCTACACTCAGGCCTGATTACAGCCAGACCTGTAGAATCACAAAAAGAAATCAAATTAAATGGACAACAAAATCATGTTCTGACCTAAAGAAATTCAGAAACATCTAAGACACCAAGTCTGTCACCTCTGTCTAGAGGAGGTTACAAAACCATTCCTTAATCTCAGGCACACTTGAGTTATCTACAGTGATAAAAATACTTTCTATCTACTTAAAAAAAAATTATCAAGGGAAATATTTGAGTAATTTATCTTTGTAGATCAAGCAGGACTGTTCTTTGTTTAAAGTACTTAAGTATTTCTTTACATGAAAAATTAACTTAATTTTGTCAAGCAGATTAAGTAAAATTATTGTATAAATTACTCAGCCTTTTTAATGTAGTGAATGAATTGTGCAAGTACATTGTAAAATCTAACTCGCCTTACTTAAAAAAATGCAAACTCAAAATTCAAATTATTAAAACTTAAAAATGTTAGTATCTGCAAATTGTATATATTATGTTAACATGACTCAAATAACTTCATCATTTTAAGTTGCATTAACTTGTACAACTTGAGAGACGGTAACTTAAACTGCGCCGTACGTACGTGCATATCACTCTTACGTAATGGCGTATCAGTAAAGTGACTCACTTGTGGTTACGCCCTATTCTAAGAAGAGGTGCACGAGCAGGAAGTGTTCGCCAGCATAATGACTCTTCGTGTTTGCTAGAGAGGTGTTTAAAATTGGTAAGTCCGAATCTATCATATCTAAACCTATTATATTAATCTATAAAAGAGAAAAGAATTGTACTTTTCAGTAATTTTCGGTTTGTTTCAGTTATGTTTGATAGTGTCTGTTTGGCTGGCCTTCTTCAGCTAGCTAGCTAGCCGAACCCTCCGCGTTTTTTATTTAAAAACAAGTATTTATTTATCGACAGTCGATTCAGACTCTCTGGTGTACTTTATCCTGTATTTTTCCACAATTAATTGACCTTTTGGAAACTTCGACTTTCAGTGAAACTGAAGCCACATTAGGATTCATTTAAACCATTGTTTCCGCGACGCGTTAACGCCCAAATTTTTACACAATGAACAAGCTACTTATTTTCTTTTAAAACTCAGTTTACCGATGTTCTTCATTTGCATGGTGTTGCTTGTCGAGTTGGTGTTCCTGAAACGTCAGAATATTACTGACATTTTTGCCTCGTTAGACGCTAAGTTGATTTGGTGATATAAACAGAATTTGCTTGGAATATAATTCTGTTTCAGAAAAATAGTAATTTATTACAACGGATGCTTTCTTTCATTTAAACATATGTTGGTACCACAGTGGGATTTGGTTTCTACCCAATCTTCAGTCTAACATTACAACTGTATAGCTGTCATTGTTCGTATTTAAAATATTTAGAGCTTGCTGTCTGTTTATTTTTAGTTAAACCCCTTTTTGTTTATATTTGCTTCCATTTTTTCCCAGAAAGAAACTGTTGTAACTGAATTACTGTCCCTGATCCTGCCATGAGTGTTACAGCTGTTTTTATACTCAGCAGTCTTGGCTTTGCCATACTTGCTAAAGGTTAGTTCAAATGGGGACACCATGTGCTACCATGCTCACATAATTGAAGCTCTTTCAAATCTCACGCCCATCTTGTCAACTTTTCAATTTGTAAAATTGTTTTCTAGCACAAGATTGCTCCACACCTATTGGAGGACTCCACATGAATTTGAGAGATGACTACATTACCAAGAACACATTTGCAGATGGGAGCAAAGTTTATTTTGCCTGTGCTGTTGGCTACACATCTGCTGGAGGGTCTGCATCTATCACATGCACTGCTGGCACATGGAGTAAAGTGCAACTGACATGCGAAAGTGAGTATTATTTAATAAATAACACCATACAATTCTCCATGATACAACAGTAGAATAATTTCACTCACAATTTGAAATTGTAGTGTTCTCAAAAGTCAAACACTTTTATTTTAACATCATAAAAGTGCTACTTTACTATTTTTCTCCACATGATTTAAGTAGCAATGTCCAATAAATTGCCATGTACTTTTGTTCCATTTTCTTGTTCCAGGAAAATCTTGTGGCGCTTTGGATGAGGTGTCTAATGGTCAAATTGATTATGCTGGAGTTGAGTTTGGCGATACAGCTACGGTCACTTGTAACCCAGGGTTAGTAACAAAATTATAACTTTATCTAAGAATGCACCTGTTCTACATGTAAACAATAAAGTAGCTTTTAGTGAAACAAAATGTGAAACTAGACTGAAAAAAAAATGACATCACCAACCTGTTGATGAATATAAAAAAATACTCTGCTCCATAGGTTTTTTGTTTTCTAACTATATTGTCAGAGAATTTAGTGGCAATTCCATGCGAACCAAAAACCTGTAGCATCTAAAATGGAGCTTTGTGTGTTGTACAGCTTGACTTTCAAAAAAGTCAGGCTAATTAGAAACGGTTGTTGGTGTTTTCTATTTGCTGATAATATTAATATGGTCGAGGACATAAATTATGGGCCTTATGTCCTCTCCCAGATTAATGGACAGCAGTGTGCTCCACTGAGATAATTACTGAAATATTTCCCATCATTGTGGTGACACACAAATCAATGCAATAGAAAAATCCCCAGCTAAAGGATCTATTGTAAATGTGCTTATGCTAAAATGTAAGCATAGTGGCTGAGCTGATGCTCAACCCTCTTGGTTGTTGGAGGCAAGTAGCAGCATTTTCCTTTTGCTAATTTTGCTGTTAAATCAAGACAACAATCTGTTTTCTTGTCTTAGTGTTGTAAAAATAATTAGTTAAATTAAATACTTTTTATTTCTCCACTCACTCATTAGTTACCAGCTGGTTGGGAGGTCGACTTTGAGATGCGAAGACACCGGATGGTCTGGCAGGTTACCAACATGTGACGGTTGGTGATCTTTTTGTTCATATCCTTCAAAGTTGAAAGGATCTGAAATATGACAAACTTAATTCTGTTTTGCAGCGGTGAAGTGTAGCACACCAGCAGACATTTTAAACGGTGGATTTGATCCAAACAAAGATTCCTATTTTTTCGGAGACGTTGTGCGGTACTCCTGCAACAAAGGATTGGTACTTGATGGATCAAGAGAGATAACCTGCTCTGATAATGGGAATTTCTCCCCTTCTCCTCCAAACTGTGTCAGTAAGTGTTGGGCTGTTTTTAGTCTCAAATTTGATAACAAAATTATGACTGTGATTACTGTCGTAACAATAATAATTTTCTTTCCATTCGCTTTTAGAGGTTGAATGTAAAGATCCTGTAATTGAAAATGCCGTCTTTGAAAGTGGTTCTCGGCCTCCACATGGACACAAGGCTACAGTGCAGTACAGCTGTATACATGGATACAGAATGATTGGCGTGCCCTCTGTGACTTGTGAGATAAATAATCAATGGTCACCATCATTACCAGTATGCATAAAAATAAGTAAGTATGTGGCAAAAAAATTTATAAAATAATGCACATCACAATCTGAACATTAAATTTCCTACATAATAATGAAAAAAGTTTCTAAAAAGTGACTCATTCAAGTCAGCATTCACAGATTCATTTTTAAAGTTCTTCAAACTTCTGGTTCATGGATATAAAACTGAAGGACAAATTAGGAAAACAGCAGAATGAAAAAGTTAAATACTAGTACAATATTTATGAGAAGGAAGTTTTAGCACCTTGAGTAAGCTACCTGATTTAAAAACAAAACAAAACAGTACATTTTTCACATAATGTGCTTTATTATGTGATACTGATATTTTGTTTACATTTTCTACTTAAAATATTATCCTGATTACTATCAAAATTTTTATGGCTGTATAGAAAATACAATATTTAACTGAATTATATTTATAATACTATTCAGTTTTTTGGGAGTTAATTTGAATTTGTGGAGAAGTTTTTTTTCTATCATGGGAAATCAGAAGAACTTATCGCTTCCCCTTTTTGACATGTGACTTTATCCGAAGTTGAATTCAGGCAAAGATGAGTGGGCACGATAATTTTACTGAGCAGAGGATGTGACGGGGTTTTTCCTGTTTGGAAAAATAGTGGAAGATATTTTCAGACCCTTTTTCAGAATTCAAAGTTTTTATTTATTTATTTTTATATATATCAAGTAAGTCATTCAGATGCTGAATTCCAGGCTGTTCAGCTTATATTTCTTTCAGTATTTTAAATATCAGGAATTATTGGTACCAAGTTGATCTTCTCCTTGTTACACTCTTTATTTTTCCAGTTCCAACAGTTCGTCCTACTTCCACTACTATCACCACCACAAAACAACCTAAAGGTCAGTGTGTTAACTTGCATGTAACTTGTGAAAAATGCCTGATTTTGCAGACCCTCCAGCAGATGTGTAGCCAGGAGTGACGTAAATGTGGGAGCAACACTTTAGCTGCTCAAATAAAATCATTTAAAAAAAAAACAGTCATGCTCATGACCATTAACATGAAGTGAATAACTAATTAACCAGTTGGCATATTAACTGGTTGAATATGCAGTTTTAGGCAACAAGTGAATGTCCTCAAACTCAGAAATTCCAAATTTGTAGTTGGATCTGAAAACGCCCCCTGATGTCGGACATCTCTCTCTGAAAGCGAGAGAAACTCCAACTACCCCACATTACGATTTCTAAGACCAACTTTGCGTTTCAAAATGGCCTCTCTTTGCAATAACAGTAGTAAGGTGAGGTGGAACCATGTTTTTTTTTACAAGTCATGCTTGTAGGAGTGCATCTAAAATCAATATTACAGAAGTGGTCCTTTCTTATGACAACTAAAGCTTAAGTAGCGATGGTATGCATTGTCAATCATGTACCTGAACTGTTACCTTCAGTTTATAAAACTGATATATACATATATCAAACATAACTTAAAAAGACATTGTAATTTATATCTTGAAATTGGCCATTGTCTTTTTAAGATGTCCCTGCTCTGTCCTACACGCCACCTTCAGCACGTCATCAAAACAAAGTTTCTCAATATGCCATTGACAAATGTTCTTAGGAGTGTTGGACTGAGAAGTAGTCTGTATGATAAGCTCAACAGATTTGTAGTTCTACCATGATGCAATCTATTAATTGATGTTGCTGCTAGTCTGGAGTGGGGTAGGCTTGATGGGGATACCGCTGCAAGGAGGAGTTTTGTGGAAATAGGTGGTACTTTGGGGGATTGAGCGTTTGTGCACTTCTGAATGGTTGCCATAGGAGATGCAAGGATTTCTCAAACATGTATTAAAGCAGTGTTTTTCAACCACTGTGCCGCGGCACACTAGTGTTCTGTGGGTGATCGTCAGGTGTGCCGTGGAAATTATCCAATTTCACCTAATTGGTCTAAAGATTTTTTGAAAACAAATTAACTGCAAATAATATGCCAATTTCGAGTGTCTGTGTTGTAGTAGTGACTAGCGGCATAATCATGTTATTTCCTTATGACAGGATGACAGTAAGTACATAGCATTGTATGTTAAAACAAGAGAATTAGCGATGCATGAATGTGACAGGTCGCGGTGAGAGCATTGTACCTAGCAAGACTGTGATGACAGTGATGGAAAAGTTTTTGAAAAGAAAAAATGCTAACTTCGGACCCAGCTGAAGGCCCTAGTATGAGTGGATATCAACGGAAGGCAAATACCGTGAGCGTTTTCTTTTCCAAATATTATTGCTTCTCTCAGAAAAGGAATTATTTTCTGTATTCTGGCTAAGAGAATGCTTGTGAACAGAATTAGTTGTGTTTGATTCCTATTCAAGACACTTTGATAAGAATTACTATATATTAATTTTATTTATTTTTTTTCATTTTCATTTGTTTAGATTTTTGGTTGGTGGTGTGCCTCGTGATTCTTTCAATGAAAACAATGTACCTTGGCTCAAAAAAGGTTGAAAAACATTGTATTAAAGAATTAAAACAACCTTCAGGGTCTGATTTTAGATGAGGAAATAACATAAGATGAGATAAATCTTAATGAAGTGGATTTTACATAATACCCCCCTCATTAAAACAATGCTTGTAAGTGGTACTCCACACATTATCTACCTGCCGTGTTGAAATAGTAACTCCTGTTATCTGGAACACTGTTGCCTTAGGTGGGACTTCCACCCAAGCTCCAACTCCAAACTCCCGAGGTAAATGGATCACAGATTATAAATGGACAAATATGAGGATTTTAGCCAATATGTCAAGAGCACGGTTGCCATGTTGAAATGATAACGTCGCTGACTATGTTATCTGGAACGCTGTTTATCTCAGGTGTGACATCTACCCAAGCTCCAACTTCCAGCCTCCCAGGTAAATGGAACACAGGTTATATGCTGATAAAAATAGGCTTACATTCGGATCTTTAAAGTGCTGTGCAAATAATATTCAACGGCCACAACAACAAAAATATATTGATGTTAGTAAGCTCAAACAATGCTAACCTCGCAAAAGCTGCAATAAGCAGTGTCATCTGAGATTACTACGGGAGTTGCAATAGAAATTTCGTTGAATCCTGTTCAATGACAATAAATGCTATTCTATTCTATTCTATTCTTCTAATAATCATGCAATGACATGCAATTTTACATAATTTGTTCCAAAAAGAGCAGGTGGAAAATACAATATCTCAGTATTTTCTGTACCTCTCAGAAAATAACTCCTCAACTTACAAACATTAAATCTCTCCACACTGGATAAACTCTTAAATTGCTTTCACTTTCAATGATGGTTAAACCTCACATTCTCATCCTTGAATGTACAATTATTTATACATTTTTAATAACAGCATTTTTGGTCTTTGCAACACCCATTCTATATTTCTCGAACAGTTTTTTTTTAAGATTGAAGATTTTCAGCAGAGATAAATTAAAACATTAAAATGTAAATACAGGATTTAATTAAGAAGATTACTTTGTAAAAGTGCAAAGAATTATCTTCATAGTTTGATTGCTGTGTCACTGTGGCTACAATCTGATGCTATCAGAAAACTTTGTTTGATCTCGGTTTGACAACTCAGCAAATGGTTAATTAGCGTTTTTTTTTTTCTTAGCTTGACCAAGATTTCAATGTTTAAATTAATATTTAAACATTGTTTGTGGTGTTGATGTTCTTAGATGTTCTAACCCTTAACACATCATCACACTCGCAAATAATTAAATTATGAGGCACAAGTAGGTTCAGAGTGTCAGAGGAGGCTTTTCTGTTTTGTGACTGAGTTTGTAAGCTAGATATCAAAAAAAATTTGATATCTAGCTTATCTAGCACCATATCAAAAGCTAGGCTTTTGATATGGTGGAGTTGAGGCATCATGGGGCAGTAAAACAAGAGGGTTCTATGTGACTTGGGAGAATGAGAAAGCTTTTTCCACCGGAACACCAATTGAGCGGCCCACTAGGTAATTCCCTGGTAACTCATATGCTGGCCTGCCCACAGACAAGAGCCATGTTGCAATGGCAGGAGCATCTCCAAAATATCTACTACAGTATTTATCAAAACTGGTCCATTGAAGGAAGGAAAATGGCAGCCGAACAACAGGGTCATTGTTGTCATAGTTTCGTTGTTACTCGTGTTTCAAGTCAAAGGATGACTAATAAAGCTCAAATTGTTGAAAGTTAAGTTCCAGTATTGATGGTAAGCATTAATAAGGGGAGGAAGAAATGATAATCATGATCTGTGTAAGTATGTTTTACAATCAGAATCCTGATTGCTTTTTCTCGCCTTAGTTTTTCTGATGCTTCTTTTCTTGCGAATGCTACCATTTATATCGGTCTGGCTGTCTTATCCATACAGAATTTTAAAAAACCTCAGGTTTATTTTACAACACAGAAACCAGAAATACTGCTCTGTACAATAAGTGCTTCTAGGCAGTCACTGCATGTTGCAATTTTCTTACTGCTGTTCTACTGCTTGTCATCTTTAAAAGTAAGAATCAACTTTATCTGTTAAGTGTCTGCACAGTAGCAAGGAATGTGACTTCGATCGCACACTGGAAAGATAAATGTACAAACTCTAGAAGAATTTAAAAAAGAAAACATTACTGGGTTTTACAAACAGTACTCTCTATCACCTGAAGCAAAGCTTCTTTAAAAAAAAAAAGATACAACCTCAAATTAATTCCTGCTCTCTTCTGTCTCTTGTTTGTTCTTTTTTTTTCTTGTTTTTCTTTAGCTGCTGGTGGTGGTCTCTCTCCGGGATGGATTACTGTTATTGTATTTGGTAAGTTTACCCTCATCCTTGACCTGCTTGTTAACAGTAAACATCAGTGTTGCTATAATAATACAGATTATGGAGTCCACAAAGGTCAAACAAAATAACCTAGAATGTCTTAGTTAATAAATTAGCTCCTTTGCAGAAGTTATTTTGGTTATCTTTTTGTGTTTTGCTCCCTAAACAGAACAAGGTTTTCTGATCAGAAGTAGTAGTGATTGCTGTAAATGAACTCATTTAACACTGAGTTTAACATTTCAACTTTTTTAACTCTTCTGTGTTGTTTTAATTTTGTTTAACACAGTAGCTGTGTAGAAATCACCAAAACTATTGTTGGCAGATAGCATTTTGTCTATCAGTGAAATATAATATATAGAGAAGTGCTTTTTTTGACAAATTATTGGAAAGATATTGATTTTTGTTATGAGATCATCTCCAATTGGTTAATACTTCAACACCTGATTTTTTTTTCCCTCAGTGCCAGTTACTCTCAAATTGTTTTAAAGAAATTATGTTAGGTGTCTGCTTCTCAAATGGATCAAGATCATTTATTCAAACTGGCAGATTTTTTAAAATTAATTTGAAACATTTGAAGAATAGCTTTCTGTTTAATGTGTTACAGGAACAAATTAAAAAAGAGTGATTAAATTTCAGGATTGTTTTAGTCATTAAAGCTCACATACCAACTCTCCAAACATCATAATGTTTTTTTTTTGTTTGTTTTTTTCATCAAAGTAGTTCTCATCTGCTTGGTTGCCATAATTGTATTCTTCATCCGAAAGAAACGGTAAATCTTTATTTTATAGCTATGTAAACTAGCACTTTATGGAACTTGGAGTCTTTGTCTGTTGTTGTTTGTCCTGCCTTCAGCCCAGCCATTAACAGTGTGAATGTGTGCCTTTGCTTCCTGTCTGAACTTTCTCACCGTTGCATGATGAAGGGGTTATTTTTTTTGCACTTTGAAGTAGGAATGGGCATTTGAAGAAGAAATGACATTATAACATCTTGGTAATTCAAATTTGACCATTTTTACCCTCTCCATGCTTATGCATATTGTGCAGAAGCTTGGCCATCTGATCACATGATCAGAAGATGTTGCTAAGGTCAAGTATGCCTTTTCCACTAGAACAGCCATCATCTTCACTTTTAGCTTCTTGTCATCAGATTAATAAAACGAATAACCATCTGGGAACGCAGTGCCCCTCTCTACTTTACAGACTTGTGAAGCTTTATGTTCTGAATGGGATCATATGCAATGAAAAAGGAACTCTCCTCCACAGAGCTGTGGGTCTTAACTGAGCTCTCATTGAGAATTCTCTACAAACAATATATCGATGCATCTCAATAAATTAGAATATTATTAAACATAATTTCAGAGTAGTTAAGTTCAACCCAGGTGCGATGTAGATTCCCTACATACTGAGTGTACTTCAAATGTTTGCAAGTTGCTGTTATGTAATTTCTAAAGATTACATTTGTCAGATAAAAACAGGAGCAAAATCTTGCAGGAAAATGAAATCAGCTCCATAGAGCTTGTATTTAGAGGGATACATGAAGTGCTTTCAAATTTTGTGATATATGACTGCAGAAACTTTGGATTTGAAGTTTGGACTTGAGTGAGCCAACAGAATTAAATGACACGGCTTCCAAAAGCATCGCTAGTGGTGGGAACCAAACACTGGACCTCAATAAACTTGGATTCTGAGCCTCTGCAGTATTGCTCTTGGAGAATTTTTTTTTTTTTTGAAAAGGCACTGAGCAGTTTTATAATTTTTTCACTTAGCTTGTACTTCAAAAATGACCTTTGAATCAGGAGCTTAGCACAAAAACTATACAGTTCTAACTTGTGTCATGGATGCTGTCAGTTCCATGTGAAATAGCAAGACTTTTTTTGCGTCTTACTTGTGGAGGGTGTCTAACTCTGTGCTGGAACGCAGTCATGTCAGCAATTCTTTGCTTGATTCGCCATCATATGGCCATAATTTAAAGAATCGATATCAAAGTTTTACTTAACTTTTTGATGATATTCTAATTTACTGAGATGCACATAATTTGATATTTTTATGCTACATTTATGAAAGCTTTAAATTATTGTATGTTCAACCCTAAACCAAATAACCTACAAATCACTAATTGCTGCTGACGCTGTTTATTTCATGAAGCCTCATCATTTTAGACTCAGACCAAACCTGATTAAGCAATCAAAGAAAAGATTTTCTCATTTGAATACTTCAATTATTTCATAAGATTGTACATCACCACAACTTTTTTTGTGAGCTAACTTTGCAATAATTCATAAATCATCAGTGTTCAGTGGAACAGTGATTTTTCTGGAACTTCACTTGCCTGTTCACTTGATTTTCAATGTCTCTGCATACTGTCACCTTCCTAAAATAATGGTTAGAAGCTATTTTTGGCCAAAAGGGATTTTTATTTTTATTTTTTATTTTTTGTCTATATTACTTTTGTCAGAAAATGACACAAGCCATAATTTTAGGAAGATGATAATATGAAAGTTTTTTTCTATTTATAATGACTATCTGACTGTATAGGAGAGTTTCTTTAAAAGCCACACCACTTCTAATTTAATTCTAAATTAGGGCTATACCACCATCCACAGGATGGTGGTATAGCCCACCATCCTGTGTACTGTTACAGGAGGTCTTAGCAGGCTAAACTCTTTGTCAGTCACCTTTTCATTCATACATTTAACCAGTAATATTGACCAGTCATTGGTGGGTTACAGCAGTCAGCGAACCCGTACTGTCAAAGATCCTGCAAAGGATGGCGAGGATGTAGCACTCTCGGTAAGGAGCCTGTTGTCCAGCAACTATTGTGTTTAATGAAAACTTGATTGTATGATGTGAAAGAACATGTTTTATTTCATTACATTGTATTTAAACAGGTGAATTATGGTATTGTTGGGAGTCTTTTTTTTGTTTTTTTTTTTACAAAAAGAAAAAAATCCCTATAAATGCCCAGCAATAAAATCAGCAATAATGTTTATCAGGGTATGTTTCTGCTGGAAACCCTGTAGTCTACAGATGTATACTAGATATATCATCAAAAAGGTTTCAGAAACATTTTTCAAAAAGTAAAACTCATGGAGATGTATTCCACACAGTGGACTTGTATTTGCGTTCATTTGGTGAATATTAGCCTGGTTATTGCCTTCTATGTAATTGTCCTGTTTCTAGTCAAGCTACAAAATATCATTGCTAAAGAAACTCAGTGATGTATCAAAGCAAAATGTTAAAGTCAAGTGGAATGAAAGAGTGTTAAAGAATTATAAATTTTAATAAAAGGTTTTCAAGTTTATAGGTAGCAACTGCCAGTTAGTGATTGTTTGCAGAGCTATATTAAGTGTTGATGTTAATCATCTGTTTCGTAAAGTCCAAAGTCACCGCAATCGACCAACAGGACATTTTAGAGCACTTGGTGTTGTCCTCTGTAGCCTGGGTTTCCTAAACACCTCAGCAGTGTCAGACTTTTTGCCTCCTTTTATCTCTGCTCTCACAGAGTAATTCATACAAACACTTGTTTTAAATGCTCCCTTTTTGTTGGTCTTAGTAATATTAAAATAGCCTGAAAACTGAATTTTAGGTTGTCATTGACTGAGCTATAAATGAAATAAGTGCCTTGTGCTCTACACTTTGTGTGTAATTAATCTCTGTGAGTTTCAATTTTTGAATTGAATTGCTGATTCAATTGATGGCTTAGTAATTCACATGTAGATTAACTTGATTATGGAGTTAGGACACCTTACCCAAGAGTCTTTTTAGCTCTGATAAGAAATGTTTGACAAATTTCCATTGCACTGACATCACAGAATATTCAGCGACTGTGGTTGTTGGTGTCTAAAAAACCTTATTTTAGGACATTGCATCAAAGATAACTGAGACTTTAATTTTGTGGCTGTTTGTATATTTTTAACTTTCAGCTCTGTTTTTCTCTCCGTCTTTCACATTGCTATAGGTAGCAAGCTGTCCTGTTGGAATGCTTTCTTCACTCAAACATTCACCACATTGTTTTCCTGCTTTATAGGTGAAATGCTTTTTGTGTAGAAGGTGCTTGATTACGTTTCTCTGTTGCTTTTTTTCTTTAGTAAGCATCACTGTCCTGTTGACCCAAAACTCCTGCATGTGAAGATGCTGCCTTGTGGAGAGGACGATTCCCGGATGCATCTGTGAATGAATGCAGTTCCAAAGAAAAATATGGAAATCATTAAACTCCTCTTCCAGAAATCACAGTTTCTGCAGAGTAGTCAAACTGTAATTCAGACATTGCAGACATGACATTTATTCTCACTTTGATGCTTCAGGCGCCTGGTCACTTATAAAACATTTGTATCCACTTGTTCCACCTGTTTCACTTTTTTGGACATTACTGTTCTCTACATTGATTTAGAATGTTTGCACTAGAACACAGCTCAAGCTAGTCTTCACGCACAGAGATCTTAGTTTAATAAGAAGATCTGGCAACATTGTTTTCCAACATTGTGTTTAACTTTTCTGTTTGTGCAGAAATATTTGATCTAATAAAAAAAATAATGGGAACTTTGTATTTTTAGAAAACCACTCAGTCTTAAAGTTCATTATTTATACAGATCAGAAATTAGTGCCTAGCAAAGTTGCATCCTATGTGACTATATGCAAAAAAATAAATAAATAAAATTCTTTGCTTTCTGTGTTTTGAGTTAACAATCTGCAGTTTGAATCATGTTATCATAGAACAGGTTTTTTTTTTCTATTCTGTTTTGCTGTATGTTGTCAGATAACCCAATTTTCTTCTCATCTGTAAAATTCAGTTTTCCTTTTACATTGCAGCAATGTTAACATGTTTTTAGTAGGCAAACTTATAAATTCACTGTGCTTGCATACATTTGAATAGAAGGTTATCTTAGATAGACTTGTACTTATTTATTAAGTAATGACTTCACTATGATTTCATATTGTTTGTCTACTTGTGTATTTTTTTCGTAATTAAAATGAAGGCTAAAAACAGAAGTGTTGTTTTTCTGTACTAGCCATTGTAGGATGTATTTTAGGGTGGCATCTTGTTTAAACCATGTTGAGCTCTTACCCTAACTTACTTTATTGTCTTTGAAGCACAAATAAATGCTATTCTGAGTTTTAACTGTTGACCCAATAGATTAACCCCATTCCTTTTAGACTGGCTACCAATTGTTTAGTTCTTTATAAAAAGTGATACAAAAACATCTTTAAGTCCAGATAGATTGGTCTTGTGCAAAGTCCACAGAGTGCATGAGATTAATGCATTCTCTAATCAAATAATTATGATAAAAAGTTCTTTGACAGGAGGTCAAGATTGTTAGTGGACAAGAATTTAAGTCCTTTTTGTGGAAGGGCTTAGAACATCTCTGCAACCTTTGTCTTGTCAAAACTTTTTCTGAGAAACTCAACTTGTGGTTAATAAACTTCAAAATGTATGGAAATCGGTGAATTAACTACTCAGACTGTAAGGAATCAATATAATCCATAGGTTTATTTTTTAATGTAATCAGTGAAATAAGTTAAAATTTTAATGATTAAAAAAAAATCTTATTTTCTTACAAAAAAAACACTTCCTGCTGCGTAGATGATGACGTATTTCCGGTGGGCGGCAAAATCCCAAGAGGCACGCTTATCTAAAAGATAAGGAGGCAAAAAGGTAAACAAAAGAGTATATTTCTTTGCACAATTAGCTTTCTAACGCCTTTCTTCTATAAGTATGTCTTAGATAACTCTAGGTACAAATTTGCAGCGGTTGTTGATGTACGGTAACTTCTTTTTAAATGACTAACTGAACCTGAATCTTAACGTTTAACCACGAGTAACGACATTCAAGTGGATGCATGGGAAATGTAGTTCAGCTCAAAGTCGCTCTAGGTTTGCATGGTTCTGGTTTAACAAATGTAGCTACGTCACGGTTTATGTTTTTTTCTTTCCAGGAAAAAAAAAACTAGTGTTTCTGAACCTTGTCATGGATGTCATCTTTCTGCTGAGTAGTTTTGGCCTTGCCATCATTTGTCTAGGTGAGTTCAAACTAAAGTAATAACTATGCATTCAGTTCTGACTTCTCATCTAAAAATATTGAATTTTTGGAAAAAATATTTTCTAGCTCAGCAGTGTGCCAAACCCAGTGGAGGAGCAAACATGGTTTTGAGGGATGAGTACATTACAAAGAGCACATTTGAAGATGGGGCCAGTGTCTCTTTCAGCTGTTCTCCAGGCTACACAGCTGCTGGAGGGTCTGTACGGATCACATGCTCAGCTGGCGCATGGAGCCCTCTGCAGCTGAAATGCGAGAGTGAATATTGTCTACTAATTGCACCTTATACTCCTGCAATTGCAGTTGTAGCGTTGTTGCACTTCCAGTTAAAAATGTTAGTTTCTTTAGCATATTACTAACAAACTGTAACTGTTGTAAAGAGTTTTACAGTTATAAAAGTGATTCCATTTGAAATGTACATATATTCATTCTGGATGAGAGTAATTCCAGGTAATTGTGTTGTTCCAGAGAGGAACTGTGGCCCTCTTCCAGAAGTGAATAAAGGTGATATTGAATATAAAGATGGGACTGAGTATGGTGCTACAGCTGTCGTCACTTGTAGATCAGGGTAAGTCGTACACTGGCAACTTCTAAAGTTTGGTTGATAGTTCTGTGTATGAATATGTGTCTCACTCTCTGTTGTTTTATACGGCTTCTGTATTTCTTCAAGGTTTTGTTGAGTAAAGACACTGTAATTAATCAATTGTTGTATTTCTGATGATATGCGATTTTAAAACGGTGAGTAATTTAAACCTAGATTGAAATTAAATGCCTATTCAATCTAGGTTTGTTTGCCTGTCATTGATGGTAAAAGCACTTGCTAGATTGACTGCATTTACCTTTTTGTTTTTCCTTTACTAGTTACATATTAGTTGGGCAATCGGTACTCAAATGTGACGTCCAGGGATGGATGGGGAGGGTGCCAACATGTGACGGTCAGTGATCTTTGTGTTCACTCTTATTTGCTGAAATTTGCTCCAAGTCTTATTAATATTGTTTTGTTTTGTAGAGGTGAAATGTGTCACTCCAGCTGAAATTGTAAATGGGAGATTCAGTCCAAATAAGGATTTGTATGGATATTCAGAAGTTGTGCAATATTCCTGTGACAAAGGCCTTGAACTTCATGGATCCACGGAGTTAATTTGTTCTGAAAATGGGAAATTCTCCTCTGCTCCCCCAACCTGTGTTCGTAAGTGTTTTTTTTTTTCTTTTCAAATTCCCTCAACTTCAAAAGTATAGCTAAAAGTTTCATTAATGTGATTCTAATTGTAATAAAAATATTGTTTTTCCACTTTCAGGAGTTGAATGTAAAGATCCTGTGATTAGAAATGGATTTTGGGAATCTGGCTCTCGACCACCGCACAAATATAGGGCTACAGTGACATTTAAATGCAAACCTGAATACACAATGATTGGAAATCCTACAGTGACTTGTGATATAAATAGCAACTGGTCACCTGGTCTTCCAAAATGCACCAGTAAGTTATCAATTAAACATGGATATCAAGGCAGTGAATTCAATGTTCAACGTACTCTGAAGTTGGCACAATTTGGCAGTTATAAGCCGCATTATAACTGCCAAACTGCTATATGCAGATTTCTATTATTTTTGATAATTTGTCATAACAAATGCATCTAATAGAAAATCAGAAGCATCTGTGGAACACATCACATTTTCCTGCTTTATATATCTAGATATGTAGAGCAGAAATATTGAGCAACATGGAAAGAACCTAATCCTCAATGTATATTTCTCAAATTGTATCAAATTAGCTTCTGGTAAGAAATGTTCTTCACTATTCTTTACTGTATTTTGTTTTTTTCTTTTCATTCTCATCAGTTTGCTTTCTTTTCAGGCCATGGGAATGCTCTTGTGGGATTACTTACGGGTGCACTAGGTGAGTTTTGTGATTTTGTGCAGATAATCTTTCTGTTCCCTACCCATAAAAATATGGCCTCATAAGGACAGCATGGATAAATTATCAGATATAGCACTTAATTCATTAAAAAAATTCTTTGAACTACTGCCAGTTCACATTTCACAAGAAAGTTTAGTGATATGGCCACAAAGTTAGTTCTTTCACTGGTCAGACAGAGTATTCTGTGAAGCCATCACAAGCTATGTTTCATCCAGCTGTCATGCAAATTTCTGATAAACGTTTAGAATCTCGTAAAAAAAGAAAAACAATGAATGGGCATATTTCCATCCACTGGTTTGGAGCGAATCAACCAGTCATACTTTTGTCTGACGTTTTCAGTGCACCAAGACAATATTTGGGTTTACTGCAACATTTACTCACTAATAAATGGGTATTGCAAAATGAAAATATTGTATCATGATTGTGTGCAAATTCATCATAGTGATCATTAAGCAAACTGGTAGTGGATGGCTGTGACACTGGTATTTTTGTACCATTCTTATGATGTGATGCCATATGTACTTTATATAGGTCATTCATTATTAAGCTGTCTCTAAGTAAGTGTCAAACATTTAAATAACACTACATGTTTTTCAGTAAAAATAGTAGGAAGGTTTTCATCAGCATCTAGAAAAATCAAGTAAAAATTAACCTCTGAGGACTCCATGTTTGTTGTCTGGATAGGGATTTTTTATGTTTGAAACTTCTGTGAAACACTGTTCTGAAGGCTTTGTGTGTAAGATTTTTAACAAATTATTTCTCTTATTGATTTAATATAAGAAAACTTAAGTAAACTTAGAACTTAAGTAAGAAGAACACGGTGGTTTCTCTGAGTTGATCAAATTTGTCTAAGCTGAAGACTCGACAGTATTTCAGTCATACAACAAAAATCTGCTGAAAAGAATCCGTTATTGTGTTCTCCAAGTCTTTTTAAAATGTGTACACTGTAATAGTTATTTTTTGGTTACTTCCTTATTTTTCTTGTATTCTGAAAATTCCTGTACATTGAGTACAGTTAGATGGCTTAAAGGTGTGCGTTTGTATCACATTACCCTGTTTACCCGAGCTACAAACTGTTGCATCCTAAAAAGGGAAATGGATTTTGCAACGATTTCACAAAGTTTTGTAAAACAAGTGATGGGTATTTTCTTCACCTCCATAAAAAGTGAACCACGGATGTTTTAGTTTTCAATCAAGTCTTTTGCAAAAAGAGAAAACATAGCAAACCACTTCTTCAAGGTGTTTACCATGCGTTCTGACTTGCTGCATTCGAACTGGTCTTTTATTACAAAACATAACAGCAATGGAATGTGGAGGGAGGGCTATTCTGAACAAAGAAAAAAAGAGATTACAGAAACTAACATTCTACACACAGGCCGTTTAAGGAGTATCCCAAGATAAGAAGTAACTGCAGCTTCAAGGTTTAGGAAAAAAGTAAGTTTTGTGAAAGACAATAAAAGAGAATACAGAAACTAACATTCTACACAAAGGCTGTAGTATCCCAAGATAAGAAGCACCTGCAGCTTCAATTAACAAATTCCTCCTCTCTGGGGTGTGAATACTAAACCTATGAATAAAAAACAAACTAGTAAAACTGTCAATGTAAGAATAACAAAACATTTTCCTAAAAAGGGAAATGGGTGTTGCCACTATTTCACAAAGTTTTGTAAGACAAGTCTGTGCTAACCTTTGATAAAAGATGTCTACTGTAGTTTCTAGACTACAATTGTTATTTCAGTGTGGCACAGATCTGGTAGGACAGGGCAGTTGGACTCTTCTGTAATCGCGATGTAAGTCGCTCCAAGTTACTAAAAAGACAGGGCACATTTATTCAAGAATGAGTGTTCTGTTTTTTGAAATCATTGCAACAACAAACTACTTTTGAAGGGAGGAAGTTGAGGCTTGTGGTGTGGCTTGGACTGCAGGAAGTCACAAACTAATCCTATAAAAGTGGGTAGGTTGTGACAACTGACTGAACAGTTTCTTCTAAATGCTGGATTTCATTTGAGGTATCTCATGATTACTAATAAATGAAGCTGAAATTTATCCTCTCTGTAACTCAGCTTCAGAAATGATTGTTTCTGGCCTCCCAAGAAGTTGAATCTGTGGATGCACAGCATAAAAAGCAAACTACTACAAATACACCTAAAATTGTTTCCAAGTGGATGTGACCTTAATCTAGGATGGAGTGGAAAACAGCCTGGTAGAAGCAGTGGTAGCTTCTACCAGGAGTTGAGATATGTGTGCAAAGTACTGACCCTCTCGCACTCTTGACCAAAATACTTATATGCTTTTCTTCTTTATAGCAAGGGTGAGACTGATGGTGCAGGTGCAAAAGCCTTCCATAATTTTAGAACTATTTCCCCAAATGATAAAGAAAGACCAAATGATAAAGAAAGACAACTGTTCATTTCATATGAACAGCTGTGACAACTTGATTTCCTTAAGTTGTTGGTGGTTTTAATTTTGTAACAGCTTAATAGACTTTTTCTTACCTAAATTACTCTTCTAGTCTGTTTACAGGTTTCAAAAAGTGTATGACACGTTTGTTTAATTATCTTTTTCTTTTTTTTTCAGTAGTGACCATTCCAATCTTGTTGGTTTAAAACTACTGGATATAAAAATGTTCCCCTATGAAGAACAACATGACCTCTGAGCAATTTCTAAGGAAATCTGCCTTTCATTTGCTGGAATTCAGTGCAGTGGAAGTTTACCACTACAACACGAGGGCTTCAACCTCTATGTCTCTTTTAGGTTCAAGTAACTCGTGATTTTTAGAGTTGAAAATATTCTGTAATGATATGCAGCAAAGAGATTCGTTATCACTCCCTTCATTGTTTCTGTATGCCAGCACTACAGTAAATAAAAGCTTGGTCTTTGTACTCAGATTGTTTTAAGTGAAATTTAGGTGTTTAAAATATTTTTTAATGTTATTTATTATAGTTTATCAAGCTGTTAGTGTTGAAGGTTCACACTGAAGAAAACATTAGACTCTTAAAACACTCATTGTGCCTTACATGTGGTCATATTTCATATACCTGAAGGGAAAAAGCCATGTGTTGTAAATTATTGTTAGTTTTCAAATGAAATGGCTTGATTTACCACTTGTTGAATGTTTGCATTAAGAATGTGCATAATATTTAATTTAATCAACCAAGTTCTAGACAGAATCAAAGGAAATCAGTTTAAGACCTTTTTGTTGTTTATCTCGGTAATTGTATCTACTTAACTGTTTTGAATCCTGGCATTGACTGTGATCTCAAAGGAATGTGAATGTATTCTCAAAAAAATGTTTGCACTTTTTCCTCTCTTTGGCAAATATTATCTGAGGACATATTAGTAAATATACTTTTAATCAAACCGAACTTGAAGTTCTTCAATAAATTAAGAAGAAACCTGTTTTTTATTTTTTTCTTTTTTTACTTGTACAGCTCCTCAAAACCCTTTTACTTTTGTCATATTTACCCAACATGCACTGCATATTATCACACATTACACCGTTATGTAGTGTTGTCAGGCCAGTTGGGGTTCTGCATCTTTGACATAAGTAGAACCTGAATTCAAACTCACAACCAGTAATTTAACATCTCCGATTTTGACATACAAGGTAAAATATGGCCACATTTATCACACCAAAACATGATACAGATAAAATGGAGCTTTTATTGATCAAATTAAGTTATGTGTATTCGGTTACTCTCTGCAGTATAAAAGTGTAGGAACATAAAATTTGACAAATATGAAATTAAAGCTGGATCAAGAAAATTTGAAATGACTTGAGCTGGCTATATTTAGAAATAGGCTTGAACTATTATATTTGTTTTAACTTTTAAAGCAAATGCAAAAATTGATACAAAAAAATAAAATAAAGGGAACACAGTGTATATATACATATATATTGAAAGAGAGCGAGAGAGAGACACACCCATCCTGTCTTACATAGTATTCTACGGTAGGTGGCGGTATGCACACAAAGCCGGAACAAACACGAAGAAGACTGAGAAAACAAGTTGTCGGATGAACGCTAAGGTACTATCTTCTCATCTAACACAACCTCTTTGATTATTTGTTGAACTAAGCTTGTTGAAAATATAAACGTTGTTTGTTGTGAACGTCGGCACATTGTCTAATATTTGAGGTGAACTTAGATTGACACATGTAGCTGTCAATCTAAGTTAAAGGTTACGCCTTTTGGCAGAGATAGAAACGGTCGTACTAAAAAGTAACGGTCCTATTTGTTCCTGAATTAATATTATTAATGATAAATACTGTCGCTGAATGATGAACTGCTGTGTATTAAACCTGAAGGTGATTAAATCTAAAGAAGAGCTTCCGACATTTCTGACACAAAGTATTATATCTATATATATAGAGAGAGAGAGAAAGAGAAAGAGAAGCCTTTTCGTGATGACTCATTCTGTCTCACCATCCCAGTTAACAATGAATTTGCCTTCTATGTTTGCATTCTTCTATTCCAGAAAGGTTTCTTTGTCATTGGATTACTGTACTGGAACCTGATCATGAGTGTTTCCGCTCTATTTCTCCTTAGCAGCCTTTGCCTTGCCATCACTGCTCATGGTGTGTTCACATTCACATAGAGAATAGGAAACCTTGTTCCTGTACGTAGGTTTAAATCATCCATTGTTTTATTTATTTTATCATAGGGCAGCAGTGCTCCAAACCTGCCGGACGGCAGAACATGCATCTAAAGAAAGAGTACATCCTTAAAGACACATTTGAGGATGGGTCCACTGTGGCCTTTGACTGTGATGCTGGCTACACACCAGCAAGAGGTTCTGGAAGCATCAACTGTTCTTCGGGGATTTGGACTCCTGTTCTGCTGACTTGCGAGAGTGAATATGCTTAGCTATGTTATTAATGTACTTTCAGTAGCATTTTTGGCAATATGGCTCACTGCCCAGGGTGCTACTGTGTGAGGGAGCATTACAAGTACTCAAAATTTCAACTGGATGTATGGTTCTTAAAGGCTTAACAGACAATAGACATGTATTACCAAGGCGCAACATTTTTTAATCATCAGATAATTAATCACTATTTTAAGATATTCATATATTGTCTTGTAGTCTATAAAAGACAAATGTAATACTTGTATCTTTTCATTCCAGGGAAGAACTGTGGATCTCTTGATGAAGTGACTAATGGACAAGTTTCCTACCCTCAAGGAGTGCAGTTTGGGGATAAAGCATTGATCACTTGTAACATAGGGTTAGTAGAAAGAAAATAGCTTGTGTTTAGAATGGAATGAAATGTTCATCTTATTCTATTCTTTCTTTTTTTTTTAATTAGTCATATATTAGTTGGTAAAAGTGAAATCACATGTGGAATCCAAGGATGGATGGACAGGTTGCCTACGTGTGAAGGTTGGTGACATTTATTCTTACTGATCTTATTTGAAATGTAAGTTGTGTTTTTTAATAGGAAATTTGTTTTATAGTTGTTAAATGTCTTCAGCCAAGTGGTATTGCAAAGGGTACGTTCAAGCCAGTAAAGGAAGATTATGCATACAGAGAGGTTGTCGAGTATTCCTGCAACAACGGTTATGTACTCAATGGATCAACACAAATAATCTGTGAGAAAAATGAGAAGTTCGAACCTTCTCCTCCATCATGCATTTGTAAGTATTTTAATCTTGTCATCTAAATGTTCATTGTGATAAAAATTTCTATTGCACTTGAAATTCTGTATGCATTGTATATAAAGGCAGGTAACAATTTTTTTCCTCTCACACTATTATGTTACATCTGATTGAACCATTACTGTTTTAGGGGAGTTAGGATTACCAAACAATTTATTATTTATCTTTATTTATTTTTGCTAAATATATATTTTTTTGCTTTTAACTATATTACTTTGGTGAAGCATTTTGGGTTTTTCCTGACAAAACTGGTTTAACTGGGTTTGTAAGCCATTTTCCTTTCATACTTTTTTAGACCAGTTTTCTGTTGGTCCACATTTTGATGGCCATTCTGAAATTTTGATAGTATTTGTCCCCTATATTCTGAAACAAAAAGACACTATTTTGGTTCACAAGGTGAAAAATTGGAAGGGTCATTTGTGACCATGATTTAACTTCTTGGTTGATGTCTTGAAAAGTGGCATCAATATTTCCATGTTTTCTTCCTTCCTGCAACAAAACACACATAAGTGATATTGTCACCCTTGCACTCCACAGTTGGAATGGTGTGAGAGTTGAAAACTTCCTTTTTTATTTTTCAAATGTAACCATTGTCATCATGGTCAGACAGGTTATTTCTTCCAAATTAAAGTGTTGTTCTCTGAGTGCAATTACAAACTACAATCTTGCTCTTTATGTTGCCTTTGGAGAACTGGCTTCTTTCTCTTTGTAAGGTCTTTAGTGCTTGCTCTGGGATTGATTTCGTTTTGCACAAAAACATGTTCATCTCCGGATCACAAAACCCATTTTCTTCCCTAATGGTATAAGGGCTGGACATTTCCCGGGTGTTTTTGCTACATTTAATTCTTTGAACCAATTGGTTGCAGATTGGGGCATCTGGAAGTTGGACCCAGTTAAGACCCAGATGTATGAAGGGCTCTGCTTCTTTGTATGCAATTTTGCATAATTTATTTTTTATTTTTCCTCAAAGATGTCTCACCAGGAAGCAGTGTGTTTGAGGTGTTCTGTTGAAGGACATCCATTTAACATGAAGGTTGTAATTTAACCTGACTGATCAAGATCAAGGAAAGTTTAGTCTAATTAAACGTGAGATAATAAAATTACTTAATGTATTATATCCTTTTCAGTTCTATCTGTTAATACTGTGCAAATGTTTCTGGCAAATGTGGAAAATTGACAGAAATAATTGACGCTTTCGAAAATTGAAGTGTTAATGTATAACAAACAAAAGAAAATTCTAAATAAAATTAACATGGCCACCCTTTCCTTTTAAATGTACACTTGCACACACATTCGGAAGGAACTTGGCTAATATATTGTGAAAGTCCTGGTGAACCAACCCACAGACTGACTCAGTGATGTTGAAATCAAGACACTTTTATGCTACACTGTTTTTTCTGACCTGAAGGTATTGTTAATGGCAATGGCATGTTTGGAGTCGTTGTCATGAAGCATTTCATTGTGAAAAAGTTAAACCAGCATATAATCTTAAAGAACACAATGAATTTTTGACAGCACTATGTCTGTAAAAATGGATCATCTTTAGCACGTTTGCTACAATTGGTTTATACTCCACCTGACTATAATCCAGTGAAGAACCTGATGGTGTACCTATACAACGATGCTGGTTGCAACACTATTTACTTATTTGGATTTTTTTTCTCTTCTTTTTTTTTTGCATTTTGTAAAATCTTCAAAAATGTACAATTATTTATATTATTGGAAGAATTTTTGGGGAATTTTTTTTTCATTCCTGACAAAACTATTGCACAGTTGTGTATGTCGTGTAACATTTTCCATTTTTGATTTCAGGGGTTGAGTGTAAGGATCCTATGATTCCAAATGCAGAACGTATTGATGGTTCTCCGCCTCCATATAGGCACAAGGCTTCTGTGATATATAACTGCAAACATGGGTATAGAATGATCGGACAAGGTTCCCTCACCTGCAACATAAGTAGCCAGTGGTTTCCTAGAATTCCAGAATGCATCAGTAAGTCATCAATAACAGATATCACCACTGATTGGGTAACTCTGAAAAATCAGTAACCTCGTCATAGCTTTACTTAAAATGATTATGGAGTACATGTAATATTACAACTTTAAAACTAACTTCTTCCATAATTAGCATTTATTTTTCTATAATTGTACTTATCTAAAATCATAGAAACTATAGAATGACCATCTTTCATACACATGCATATTTATAAGCAATAAACTTTTACAGTTTTTCTAATGTATTTTTTGTTTGGTTATTGTGAGTGCTTTGAAAGAAACCTCCAAATAAAATTTATTATTATTGTTCTTATCACTATATATAGAAATCTTGTGTACACAATGTTGTAGCAGCATATAGATTTGTACATTTTTTAGTTCTCATTAAATATTGTATGTATTTTTATATGTTTTACTTTTTTCATAGCTTCTGTAATGACAAAACCACTTTGTGAAAAATAATCCCATTATCCAATCCCATCATGTCAATTTTATTTATTATATATATATTTTTTACAGGCAGTGGAAATGTTGTTATGGGAGGATTACTGAGTGGATTTGGTGAGTGTCAATTTTATCTAAGATGATTATTATTAATTTGCTAAGTAAATACCTACATTTCTGTTCTTTGTTTACAATGTATTCAAATGAACAATCTCTACCTTCTTTTAATCAGCTTGGATGTAAAAACAAAACTTTTGTTTTTAATAAACAGACTGCAGAGCAGAAATTATGAATTTTAAAACATGTTTTATAATCAACCATTTCAGACAATTTAGTAATGTGATGAGAAAGACATGTCTCTTTAAGATGCCGTAGCCTCTTAAGGACGTCCTTTGTTTCCTGTTTGGACAAAGATGTTAGATATTGAGGACAAACTAGAATAACTGGCTGTGAAGAAGAGCTTCTTCTAAAATCCAACAATTGCTTGGTATCAAGCGACTGAGAATGAAGCTGTGACTTTAATGCTTATCAGTGTTAGAATGCTTGATTTCATTTGCTTTTGGGATTTGTGCTTTTAGTGATCAGCTATTGGTAAAAGAAGGATGTATTTAGAGGTGCATTGAAACATTTGTTGGCGTGTGTTGCTTTGGCCACATCTTTAGTTTCAGACAGTTCAAACTCTCTGAAGCAGGAACAAAAACTATTGTTGACCAGAAAGACCATCAAGGTGACCTACTATGCTTTCCTGAACAGCTTAAAATAAGTCTACGGGCTACGTGCTATAAAAACCATGTTCATTAAATTATTTTACATAAAATCTTTCTTCTGTATTCTGCCTATTTACAGCTCAAGGGACAATGAGCTGCTTTAGAGCATGTTGTCACTCTGAATACAAATAAGTTGCTTCCGATATTGAGTTGGGTTTTCCCAACTCAATATTTGCACTCGCACATGAAAAATGGCTGCAAACAGACGAGGAATTATTCAACAGTACTTTGAAAAGCAGAAGAGCCTCTTACATAACCAACAAGAATCTAGCAAGTTGTTTCTGTGTGGCAAGTCAACAACAAAAAACTTTTCCTTTCCAACAGCCATTTTATAGCTCACCAAATTTGCTTGTGCTCTGCTTGGGTTTCTGGGTAACGGCCCACTGCCCGTCAGTTGTGACTCAACAATCTTCAGTTTTTTTTAAAACGACTACCGTAATTTTCCAGACATCAAAATCATTAACTTAGTTCATTTTGGATTTTTGGGGGGGTGCTTTTTGAAACAAATTAAAGTATAAAATATGCAAAATGTGAATTTTACAAAACAGATCCTCAGTAGATACAGTTATAAAAGTTGTTTTTAATGCAATGACTGCTTGATGTTTTTTTCCTCTTCTTCCTCATTATTCCTGTTGAAAATGGCTGTTTTGCAGGTTTAAACATTGCCCTACTAGTTGTCCAAAAGTTGTTTAAAGAGTCTTGTTTGTTTTTCTTTTCTCACAGTAACCATCACAGTCATGTTGGTTCAAAATTACTGGATGTAAGCTCATCATCTCGAGTGGAGGTCTATCTTCTGACTGATCTGGAATGTAACTACCCTTCATGTGCTGTGCAATCTTTGTCATTTCTGGGGAACTTGATTCAAAGTGGCATCCTGGGACAGAAGTAGATTAAGCTCTGTTCCTGTTTGATTCATTCTAGATATAAGCAGTTCAGCATCATGTTTGGTCTTTGGAGACTTTTGTAGTTAAATTTACAAATTGTCCTAAGCATGTGCAATTAAGATGTTTGAAATTTTATATATATATATATATATATATATATATATATATATATATATATATATATATATATATATATATATATATATATATATATATATATATATATATATATATATATATATATATATATATATATATATATAAGTTGCTATTCTAAGAGTCTAGCTCATGTATTATTTTAGTTTGATCTTCACATAGTAAGATTGCTGCTCAGAAGGTTTTATTTGTTCCAGAAGTATTTTCATTAATATGAAATGAATCATATCATGAATGAGTTTTGTGTTTCTAATAGCTGATCAACCTGTCAGTATTAAAGGTCCAGGCTGAAGAAAACAGAATGAATTGCTGGACAATCCATAGTGCCTGAACAAATGCCATATTTGATGTGCCTGAATGAAAAGATGTTAAGTACTGTTTATTTTTTTTTATTTTTTATTTTTTGTAATGTATGTCCTTAAATATCCTTGATGTTAACACATTTCTTAGCCAATCGTCGTGTCATACTACTGGACAGAACCACATATTGATTGCATAGAATATCAGTTTCTATGTCAAATTAATTCAGGTTTTATTTATTGCTGCATTTTTATAAGGGGACAGTATCATGTAAAACCAAAGTTTTTTAACTTTATGTTGTTCTATAATGTAATTCCCTCATCAAAAACCTGGAGTGTTGCTTTTATTATTTCATGCATGTTTATGAAATCCATTAATTTATCATGGGATTAAGCTGCAAAGTCAAATTTAGTTTAAGTCGTGATATATGCCATATTTTTACAAGAACTGAAGGTAACATAGTTCCTTGATAGTGATATAAAATGGCACTGTGTACCTGCTAAATACACAATTCTACCCCTTTAAAAATACTTTATAATTTGATAATTATTTAAAAACAAATCCAGTTGTACTTATTGCTTGGTAATGAAAATATTGACTGGAGCTTGCTCACACCTTACTTGCTATGAATTTATCTGTTTTTGAAAGTGATCAAAGCAATAAATCTGTTTGCATTCTTCATTTATGAAAGCAGTTGTTACATCTTTGATGGTTTATTGTGTATTTGACTCAACAATGTTAGGAGAATACTCATTAAATATGGGAAGAATTTAAACCTAAAACTCCTCCGTAGAATAGCTACAAGAGTTTTCTGTTTGTGTTTACAATATATTGCTTGAGCATTGGTCTGAATTTATCTGTTGATTGTTTGCAGTCAAAATGTGCAGAGTCATAAATTATCAATCAACTATCATGCATTTGAAAGTAAAAATTCAATTTTCTGGCAGGGCTTTATTTAGTTCCACATTGAGTGTTGTGGATGCATATTCCTACTTTTGGCATGGTGTGTTCATAGGGCTTTATTCACACTATAGAAATGGGGAAGTCAGATAGACTTTAGTTTATATATTGAAAAATCGCAGAGTTGAAAAAAATACTTTGTAGAATTTTACACTTTAAGATGAGATGATTATTCACTTATTAGATTTTATTTGTTACAAAATTCAGTTCAGTCCTGATATAACATGTGATCTGATGTTAATTCCTCATTTCTTTTTCTAAGTTATGAATCCTGCTAGTTTACTTCCTCCTCTGGTAAGTGTCAATAACCCGGCCCTGCATTCTTCAAACATATGTGATTTTATAAATTTGGGTAATGACTGGCAGACTATTAAAATCAGCTCATTTTCAGCAATGATTCCAAGTAATTCTCATGTATTAATTTGTTGAAATGACAGGTACATTGAATTCAATTATCTTTAATCTGAAAGCAGCAAACCATTTCATGCAACATGAAGGACTTTATTTAGGAAGTATAGTTGTACCAATCAATCAGACAAACTTTGTACATAGAGCATTTGTCACAGATTGAAGTCTAATAAGAAGCTACAGAGGTAAAAAACTGAAAAAAAAGGATTTAACCACAAGAGACACAATGAAATCATCTGCATAAGCAAATCAAACAAGCAAGTAAATACTGATTTGAGGATTCAGAAAGTCAATTATAGAATATGAGGAACTGTAGAAGGGTGTGTTGATTACAGAGGAAACACTGGAGAAATAAACTCACCATCCACTTTATTAGGCACACCTGTCCAACTGTTCATTAGCGCAAATGTTGAATCAGCCGATCACATGGCAGGAACTCAATGCATTTAAGCATGTAGACATGGCTAAGATGATCTGCTCCAGTTCAAACCGAACAGCAAAATGAAGAAGAAAGGTGATTTAAGTGACTTTGAATGTGGCATGGTTGTTGGTGCCAGATGGGCTGCTCTGAGTGTGTCAGAAAGTGCTGATCTACTGGGATTTTCACACACACAACCATCTTACAGGCGCTTCAAAAAAGAGAAAATATCCAGTGAGCGACAGCTCTGTGGGCGCAAATTTCTGTTAATGCCAGAGGTCAAAGGAGAATGGCTAAACTGGTTTGAGCTGATAGAGCAACAACAGTAACTCAAATAACCATTCATTACCACCGAGGAATGCAGAAGAGCATCTCTGAAAACACAACATATCGAACCTTGAGGCGGATGGGCTACAGCAGTAGAAGACCACACCTAATGCCACTCCTGTAAGCTAAGAACAGGAAACTGAGGCTAAAATTCACATAGGTTCACTGCATTTGGACAATAGAAGACTGGAAAAACGTTGCCTGGTCTGATGAATCTTGATTTCTTCTGCGACATTCGATTAGTAGGGTCAGAATTTGGCGTCAACAACATGAGAGCATAGATCTATCCTGCATTGTATCAACGGTTGAGGCTGCTGGTGGTGAAATAGTGTGGGAGATATTATCCTGGGACATTTTGGGCTCAATAGTACCAATTGAGCATCATGATAGTGCCACAGCCCGCCTGAGTATTGTTGCTGAGCATGCCCATCCCTTTATGACCACAGTGTACCCATATTCTGATGGCTGCTTCCAGAAGGATAACGTGCCATGTTTTTCATAAAGTGCAAATCATCTCAGACTGGTTTCAATGAGTTCACTGAACTCGACTGGCCTCCACAGTCACCAGATCTCAGTCCAATAGAACATCTTTGGGATGTGGTGGAACAGGAGATTTGCATCATGGATGTGCAGCCGACAAATCTGTAACAACTGTGTGATGTCATTACGTCAAAATGGATCAGACTCTCTGAGGAACATTTCCAGGAACTTGTTGAGACTTTGACAGCAAGGAGTAAGGCAGTTCTGAAGGCAAAAGGGCTCCAAAGTCGTACTAGCAATGTGTACTTAAAAAAGTGAGTGTATTTCACAAGCTATTTGAGAAAGATCAAATTTATAAATACACAAAAGACCATATATAGGTAACAGGCAAAAGGAAAAGTACAACAATAAAATCTATTGTAGCAAAGATCTATTTTATTCAAACACATAACAACAGTTAGACTTACTAACTAAATTAAACATCAATAAAATATGGATATATGAGTAGATCATCTCATATTTGCAAGAACAGCAAAAAATAGAAACAAAAACATGAATAAACAAATATGGCACCATCTTCCCAAAAAATACAGAAGCAAACAAGGAAATGATCGGCTCAAATACACCAGGATGATGACATCCCTATCCTGAGGTTTCAGCTTGTTGGTGTCACTATGTTCTGACATGACTCCCTTTCCTAGATAAGATGGATGTTGAGATGGAGGAAGAGGTGGAGGGGACGAAATCGTCATCAGAATCCAAAACGGATAAGTCCAGTTCCATGTTCTGAATTGCAGAAACCCCATCAGTGCTAACAGGTAAAAAGGAAAACATGGTCAATAACGTTCAAAACAAACTGGGACTAAAGCACCTCTTGTTTTCCCCACTCAGTGTAAATGACTTATAACAATCTATACTAAAATTTCTCCAAACTGAAGACATTCTGATACGTTTAGACCATTGTTATGTGGGTTTATGAGTGAATAATACAGAGACTACTGATACAGCTTAGAAAGGAATTTACACAATGTTGACAAAAGTAATCTTTCATCTGCCTTCACACACACAAGAACTAGAGGGATGTCTATTCTCAACCCACAGGGTTAGATATGATATGAGCAAACCGGTTAAGTTCTACCACACAAAATGTAATAATACATGTTATGGACTCTGGTATGTGTACTGGTGTTCAAGAAGCCATTTTCCAACTGTTCCCACAAGTTTGGGATCTTGAAATGGTAAAAAAAAATGCTGTGGTTCACTGCCAGGACCACCAGTCTGACATCATCCTCATGTACGGGGAGTGAAGTGGTACAGAAACCAGCTGGGGCTGGGCAGGGCTGGAGAAGGAGAGAACTACTGATAGGTTTCTAAGAGAGCAAAGAAGCAGTTCAGCTCCTCTGCCATCGGTGCACTCAGGATCCCCACTGTTTGTTTCTGGTGTTTATCAAGAGTCCTGTCACCGCAAAGCAAAGTACAAGCTGCCCGTTGCATACTAACATCGTATCATCCCCAGTGAAACTAGGTTCCAGAAATGATCAGAATGCAACACTCCTGAACACAGCAATTTCCACTGAGTTTCATTTTCAAAAGATCCATTTTATGCTTTGGAGAACTAAAGGCTAGAAAGAAGTGACTCGTGTGAAGGTGAGATTCACTGGGACAGGAAGGACGTGAAGATGTTTATTTAACAATACAGTAAAAAATTTAATTATATTTACACAATCTGAGTGTTTTATGAGTAGAACAGCTCCTGCTACAATCAGATAATTGTTATATGAAACGGTTCAAAAATAACCGGCGGAGTTAAAAACTGTTGTCAAGCCTGTTTATTCAACCTTTTATTGTTTCAGTCTTCTATCTGATGGTGCAAGGTGAAATAGAATGGTAGAGTTCATTGGGACTGGGGAGGGAGTGGCCAATTATGCAATGGCAGTGGTAATAACTCCTTGGAGAATGTTTTTCTTTGCAACCCAGCAACTAGCACATATGAAGATACTCTCTATACAGCAAAAATAAAGGGCCAGGAGAAACTAATGGGACAGCCAGCCTGTATTCCGGAGTCTAGCGTCAAAAATCTTTGCTGCTGTACTTCTTTTTTGTTGTTACATGTGAGGCGAACTTCAGACAAAATGTCCATACTGGTCTAGAGTCCAGTGGAGGAAATGTAATGACTTTATGCTGTGCACAGGCGGCATCCTATCACGGTGTTAGTCTCAAATTCACTGTTGCCTTTGAGAATGACCTATTTGTTCAGTAGTGGGTTTCATACACCTGTGAAAGCCACTGGAACGCCTGAATTCAACCATTTGGATCAGGGAGCTAATACTTTTGGCAACATTGTGTCTTTGCAAATGAACACATCGTTTTAATGATTTCATTTACCTTGATATGTTTTTCCGGTTGCTATACCACAGATGATTGGTGATAGCAACACCAAAGACATTTACCATCACATTCACCACGGTCATGAAATGGTCTCTGAAGGTAACAGAAGAAAACAAACATGCTTGTCAGACTCAGCTATGTTTTTCTTGAAGCTTTTCTCTCCCTCAATCTACAACAACCAGGTGCACCAGGTCTTCTAAAGCTCAGATTGTTGTTGACTTCATTCTCCAGCTGTAGTTTTATCAATCATTACCACACAAGCTCTCCTCAGGATTTCTCCACTATTAGGTTTCCTAGAAATTAGTTTATAATGAAAGTTAAAATCATGTTCTGGTCAAGAATAATTTCAAACTGTCTGATAACAGACCAGCATAACTCCATCCAGGGTGACCTCACAGTTTGATGGTGAAAGTACTCTGTAAACACAAGTAGCAGGCTTCGAGAATTACGTTGAACCTACAGAATCCACTCCACCCCAATGAGAAGGCCAACATGATCTGCAGGCAGTCCCACAGCTGTCAGAATCAGGATAGAGTTCAAAGCTCCTGATGATGGGGTCCCTGCAGTTCCAAAGGCGACAATGGAAGCTGTCAAGCTGCAAACCAAGCACAGTCTCAATTAGCATCTCTGTCCCAGCAACAGAAATGCTACAATATGAAACTTTATCATTCCTTTCCTATTGTCCACTTGCATCAGTTCAAAACATACAATGAAAATATCTATAAATATTGTGAAACACCTCCGGATTACACTTTTAGAATTAATAGTCTTTGACGTGCTGCCTCAACTCTGGCATGAACCCTCAGGGTTTCCACCACTCTGCCCAATTATATATAATAAAAATAAATTTTACATAAGAAGGGAATATATAAAATAAATTCCCTTCTCACCCACCGCGGGTGGTTCTTATCCTCTGAGCTCGGGTCCTCTACCAGAGGCCTGGGAGCTTGAGGGTCCTGCTCAGTATCTTGGCTGTGCCAAGGACTGCACATTTCTGGACTGATATGTCTGATGTCTGATGTCACCTTCCAGGCCCTCTCCAGTTCCTCCCTGAGGCCCTGGTATTACTCCAGTTTCTCATGCTCCTTTTTCCTGATGTTGCAATCACTTGGTATTGCTACATCTACCACAACGGCTTTCCTCTGTTGTTTATCCACTACGACAATGTCTGGTTGGTTCGCCCTTACCATTTTGTCTGTCTGGATCTGGAAGTCACACAGGATCTTACTGCGCAGGACCCTCAAGCTCCCAGGCCTCTGGTAGAGGACCCGAGCTCAGAGGATAAGAACCACCCGCGGTGGCTGAGAAGGGAATTTTTTTATTTTATAAACATATTCTCCACAGTGATATAGTTTTGAAATAAGCAAATATTTTGTCAAGTGAAGTGATCAGAAATTTCAGGTTTGAATATCAAAATTGTTTTACAGTTTTATATTTTTAGACTTGAAGCTTATTTTGCACCTATTAAGTAATCACTGTGGTACATTAGCTACTCTATAGGAAATCTAACACAACAGTGTTAGATCAGCTTATGTAAGCATCTCCTCTACTGATGATCTGTAAAAGTTGGTGAGTAGGTCGCTTTTTAAAATATAACTGAACCAGAATCCACCAAATTCCATATGACATATTACCATTTTCAAAGTCAAGCAATCATGAGTGAATTAGTTTTCTTATCATAGCAGCTTCCTGCAAAAATGGCTGTCAGTTACAAAGTTAACAGAAGTGTGATGTTACATGACAACTATGTATTGCTCTGGGCCCCTGCTGAGGGGAAATGTTACCCATTTGGCAAATAGCTGATCTTAACAATCCCAGCATGCACCTTTTCTCAATTCCATGCACTTATATGAAGCAGCTTACCCAATGGCGATCAGCTGGCCGGCATCCAGAGAGATATCATGAAGCTGGGCCATAAAGACGGCAGAGATCACTTCATAGACCACCATTCCATTTCTATTGATGCTGGTAAGAATGGGCAACATAAGGCGGCAGAGTTTCGTATTGACCTTCAAGTTCTCTTCACAGCATTGCAAGGTGATAGGCAGAGCGGCGGCGCTTTGGTAGAAAGCACATCCTTTATTGAGGAAACCGTTCACATGAACAAACTAGAGAAGTGTCATGCTTTTTCAACAAACAGAACTTTTCACCTGGAAGCGATGATAAATGCTGTCGTCAAAGCCTTAGAGATCTGCCTGATGACGTTAAAAGGGTTCCGTCTGACGATAATGGCATACAATGTGGGGAAAATAATGAGGGATTGGATTGCTTGTCTGAAAACACAACAAAGTCACACTTAGTTTTAGAGATGCATTAAGTATTCACTGGCTGTTAAACATTTATTCATTCATTCATACCTCTTTATACATGTCATGGGAAAGCCTGACAGATCAATGTGTTTGGAGGAATTTTATATGTTATGCTAACATACAGTAGTATATCACAGTAAAGTGGAATGAAAATTATGGAAACACTTAGACGGGTTGTGAATAAGACTGTCATGACATTTTCGTAAACATGACATCACACCTGTCATGAACATGAGCAAATCTTTATGAATATTTCTGACTGTTGTCACTATAACAGGTGGGACCAGGTGGGACCGGGTGGCACCGGGACTTAGAGGTGCGTCGTGACAGTCGGTACCATGTCTTACATCAGGATGTCTGATATGAAGACAGATATTCTTTCTATCTGTTGGTGGGACTGACTCAGACTGCCTGTAGCGAACTTCATGTTCGTGAAGTTTATGAAGTACTGCTACCTCAGGAGCAGTTATATCAATTTGGTAGCAAAGGTGAAAAGGAAAAGGTGGTTGAACATACCCTGCAAGAACCACTCCTATAAACTTTGTGAGCTTAAAGACAATGCCCCAGTCACGCACATCCACCACATGTTTTGTGATCAGGAACAGAACTCCGATTGGCAAGTACCTAAAACAAAAAACAGTAAAAAAAGAAAAAAAAGCAGGTTTAATTAAAAAAAGGCTGTTCAAAATATATTTTAAGTTAACTATTAAGAATCGAAACTGTCCTATATAAATAGAACTGAATATGTAAAAGAACTGACATCTGCTCAGATATTGTCTGATCTTACCACAAGATCCAGTTGACTATGATTTTTATGGCATCATTGAGGCATTGAATGATCTCCACAGTGGTTCTTGCCTCCTGTCCAACAGCGCTCAACAGGACGCCGATGGTGAATGACCAGATGACCAGTCCTATCATGTTGGGTCCATCAACGTACCCACCTATTAGTTTTATCTCAGTTTCATTCTGCACACACACACAAAAAAAAAAAAAAAAAAAAACACAAGTATGGTGTCTCCAGCCATCTGAAAACAATATTGTAGGAGTACATCACCTTGTTGGACAATGCATGTCACTTTTTCATAAGTAAAAATAAAACCATTGACTTTAATGTATTTAATATGCATATCTTTTGTAAAAGACCACTCTAATAATTGTGAAATGGAAAAGCACAAATTCAAGGGTTAAAAACCTTGAATTTGAACCCTTTAAATTATTTTTAAAAAGTAACAAACACAAGGGAAGTGGAGCCAAATGGAATGTAGAAGGGAAACCAGCAAGAAGTGACTGAGGAAGAGGTGAATCACTACTGTTTGGTTGCATGCTGAACAAAGATCTGGGCTGATGAGCTAATGGATTGCAGGTGTGAGGAGAGAAAGCAGAAGACAGGCTGAGGAGAGAGAAAGAGGAAGTGGCACCAGGGGTGAGGGAGAGCAGACTTGAGACTAGGAAATAAGAAAAATAATGAAAATTAGAGTAACCGAGGAAAGGACAAGACACAAAAAATATATAACTAGAAACACTAAGAAGGAATTGATGTAAAAATAGAAACAAGGCAGAATGAAGTAGGTATGGAACACAAATAATGACAAAACAAAAAACAAACACAAGATCCTGACAGTAAGAGTGTTTGCAAGGTTGTTTGTCCTAATGTTTGTTCAATGACAATTGTGGCACACCTTACTGTCACATTGGCAAACACCACCTCCCCATTCAGGCTTTAAATTAGAAGAAACTCAAGGCCATTCATTTCTTCCTCTTCAATTTGAAGTTTGTGGCTGTAAAATGACGATTCTAGAATGAAAGCAAAGATCGAAAGAAAATACTCACCGAGGTGTGATCATATTCGGGGCCAGATTTTTCATTTTTAATTTCAACAATCTCAGTCTTGTACTGGGAAAAAAAAAGAAACGGTGTTAAACTCCCAGATCCCAAATGGGAAATTACACAGTGAGCTGTAGGCCAGAATAAAAGCGTACGTGCTCATAGAAAGCCTGGAAGAAGCTCTCTGGAACCATATTCCTATGTGAGTAAAAGGAGAGTCAGGAAAATAACTGAGATCAACATTAAAGCCAAAAAACTTGATATCAATTTACCCAGAGTCACAAAAACCTAGATAGTTGAACTAATAGTAGTCAAACATCTTAAATTTAACATACAAACAGAAAATGTAGAAACATCATGAATTTTGTCTCACCTTATAAGATCCTGCATGATCACGTGCAAGACGGCATTTGACTCACGGCCTTTGTCAAGGTCTGTTTCATGTTCTTCCCTACCAGGTTCGAATGTGAGAACCAGAAATAGTCCTGAAACACAAAGTATCAGGCAGGATATCAAAAGCAATAACACACTACAAACTATAGCGGTCTTCATAAATCTGCTGCCCATGGTAAATTTACCGACAATTACGGCTATCATGGTAGAGCCACAGATGAAGGCTCCTGTGATCAAAGCTGTTTTCTTGGACACTTTGGTGTTTAATCCAGTTACTCCTGAGAAAAGAGAGCAGAACCAGAATTTCATCTGAAGGCCAAGAAATGATCAGGACAACATGCCAGTTCGTGTATCTCCTAACAATAATCAAAATTTCAGTTAGTTCTTCTACTTTTTAGTTACAAGAAATAAATGGAAGAATATCAGATGAGTCTAATATATTTTAACACAGATGTAATCACATGTTTCAATCACCATTTATACAAAATATCCTCAAAAAGATGAGTGAGCATCTTTTCAATCTATCTCTGTATCTGAATTCATGTTTAGCTTGCCTGCAACCACGCTTGTCACGATGAGAGATACAGAAAACATCTTTAGCATGTTTATTAGCAGTTCCCCTGGTATGCCCACCCATTTCTTCATGTTTTCCGATAGACGAACTGTGTTTCTTAGAAAAAACCCAACGCCTGTCCCTATAGGGCAAAACAAGCAAAGCAACAACAATTCATACAAAATAGATATGAAAAAAAAACATTTTAACATCTTAAAACCTTAAGAAATAAATGGGAGAGCTTTAATGAAAATAGAAAATGGTACATTTTGCAGACATGCTTCATTTCCAGGTTTGCTATTGGCAACAGTGTACCCAAATGCTGAACAAGCACAGAAAGTCTTTCATGCATTTCATAAACATGTGTAAAATTATCACTTACTGCATGTCATCTACACAATACATTATACAACTGGAGAAAAAAAGGTGGGAATTAGCAAATGCATCAAAGTTCACTGTAATAGTAAAAAATGGCCTACAAAATGGAAACACTGGGGAAAATATAAACAGATTTCACTATCATGATATAAAACGGATTAAAAGATGAAAAGATTACTGGAAAGAAAACAAACTCCCATTTCAATCTGGAGAGACTCAGACTGAGGAAGAAAAACGATTAGAAGAGTTTATTGACATGCATGAATTTAAAGTCTTTGGTGCTCGGGCCCCGGCTGAGGACATCGAGCTGTGATTTGCGATAAGCTCGGATGAGCATTCCCCATGCTGATAGGAACGTCATCCCCCGGGAACCGACACTGGTGGTGGAGGTCGGTGAAGGATGCATCCTCGAAGAGCCATGAGTGGAGGTGGAGGTAGGGCGCAGGTGGGATGAGCTCGGCTGAAAAGCGGTTTCTTTTCAGGATGGAGATCCTTTTCAGCTGGGGCTTGGTCGGTGATTGGACGTGACGTGGCTTGGTCCGGCGTTGATTGGTCATAGGTGATAAGTGGCGCACGCTGATTGGATGCTGCAGGTGTGGCTAAAGAATTTGAATTTGCGCTTAGGCTTCATAACAATAAGTGCATTTCCTTTAAAACTTCACACCTCGCTGGTTCCTCCTGTCACTTTGTCTTTACTTTCTCGTTCCATGTGTGTTCTCTTCGTGTTTCCTTGCTGGTTTCTTTCCATTGGATGTTTGGTTTGTGTTCCTGGCCTGGCTCCCTGTTTTTTTTTTTTTGTAATTTTTTTTTTCATCTTTATTTTATTAAACCTTCTAACTGATTGGCTGCCTCTGTATTTCTGTAATTCTACAAACCAGTCAACATGACAGAAAATGTAATTGATTGGCAATTACTTTTTCCACAACTTTAGAAATGGATGGTAGGTTAGATAGGATGGAGATTGTTGAAGTTTGAAGGGTGGAGAACAGATTGCTGATGATAGGAGTAATGGCTATAGATATAAATGCCGCGGGGATGATAAAAGAGGACAGAGAGGAGTGGATGATGTTAGTAGTGACAGTCTTTTTCCTAATGTTTGACGAGAACTGTAGGAAAAAGATTGAGCTGGCTGTAAGACCGCTTACACTGGCAAATATCGTCAGGAATGTCAGCAGCTTAGGGGACAGAAGGGGGTAGGGAGGACTGAGTTCAACAGTGATGCATGAAGAAGAGTTGGGGCCAAGGTTATTGTGGTTAGAAGAAACCTGGAACAAAGTTCAGGAGTGTACCAAGGTGCACAGTTGGAGAAGGAAACTGACTGGGTTTTCAAGGAGTAGAGGAAATGAAGGATAATGGTGAGGCCATTACTATTGGTGGAAACGAGATTTGAACAATGTTGGAGAGTCAACAATGTGTGATAAAACAACATAATGATTAACATTTTTAATTTAACAAAAAAAGAGGGAGGAAGAGCAATGGATGTTAACATTAAAAGAGAACATCGAATAATCAGTAAAAGGAAGAAGTTCAGAGGAGTTTAGAAAACAGACAGAGCAGTTTAAAAAATATAGTGTGTGTCCTTGGATGTGGATCGGAAAGAAATATTTGGAGAAGGAGAGATCAGCATCAACGTGAACGTTAATATCGTTTAATACCACATAACATTCGAGGAGAGGGCTGACAGATATATAATAAGAGCAATAAAATCTTTCATAAAAGAGTTATTATATTTGGTGGTTGGTAAACAGTTGCAACGATGGCGAGCATGGGGCCAGAGAGCAGAAAGGTAGACAGCCCAAAGGAGAAGAAAGCAGGCATATGTAGCAATGAGAACTTCGGGTTCTCGCAGTGGGTTATTGCAAGACTCACTGTCATCTGGACAAAGCAGGCAGCACTGTGAGGATCATGTTCTGTGATTGCTTAAGTGCATTTAGCAATTCAGCCTGATCTGCTCCGTGAGAAACTCCAGAAGACACAGCTGGACATCTTAAAAATCTGAAAATATGACTAACTTACAAACAGAACACAGTTTGGGTCAACTGAAGGACTGTGTATCTAATCAGGTGGTCAGCAACACAGGAGCACCACAGGGCACTGTACTCTTTCCTTTTCTCTCTCTCTGCACTTCAGATTTCCAACACAAGTCTGATGTCTGTCATCTACAGAAATACTAAGACGACTTCTGCTGTTGAGTACAGAGTTGTGAACTACAGGACGACTCTGGTTGAGGAATATAAATACCTCGGTATTAACCTTGACACCAGACTGGACTGGAGATGCAACAGTCAAGCCATCTATAAAAAGGGACAGAGCAGACTGGACTTCTTGAGGAAGCTAAGATCCTTCAGGGTTTCCAGTAAGATGCTACACATCTTCTATAATTCTGCTGTTGAGCGCGTCATCTCTTCTGCCGTCATCTGTTGGAGTTGCAACATCAGAGCCAGGGACTGAAAAAGGCTCAACAGCCTGATAAAGAAGGCTGATTCTCTTCTGATTCTGTTCAGGGGACGAATGTGGAACCTCTGGAGATGATGATGCAAGGGAGGATTCTACATAGGATCTAGAAAATTATGGACAACCCTAACAGTCATCTTCATGATGCTGTCTTGGGATTGCCTTCAGTCAGAGGCTTCTTTAGATTTACTGTAGCACAGACCGCTACAAGAGATCTTTCCTACCAACCGCCGTTAAAAGCTACAATGACTCTGAAGAATCTAAACTGATGAGTTACGACAACATTTAATTTCCCTTTGGGATTAATAAAGTATTTTTGAATTTGAATTTGAATTGTTACTGTTCACGGCTTTGATTTAAAGTGAATCAAATAAGTCCTGGCAGCTGTTCAGTTGACAAGCAGGAACTGATAGTTTGATTTCTTAGAATATGAGGAAGGTTTGAAAGGTTAGAAGGTTTTCTGAGTCCGTTTGATTATAGTTTCATTGAAAATGTTCTGATGTGATCCCCAGTAGCTGCAGTTCTTAGCGGTTAACAAAATAGAATATATTTTATTAATCCCCATGGGGAAATTGCTTTATGTGAGACATGTGAGTTTAGCCTTCATTTGGATAGAGAGGTTCTGAAACCAGGCAGAAATGCTGAATCTAATTCTTCAAGTGGGATGCTTTCCCTATTTCAGTATCTTGGAAGAGCAACATCATCTTTTGACTGACACTAGAGGCCCTCAACGTGCACAGAAAGTGCAGTTGCTAATGGACCCTGTCACTGACCTAGTCAACCTGAGCAGTTTGAGAATTTATATTCCAAAGAATAAGTCAAAAATGTGCGCTTTGGATAAGCACTTCTGTTTAACCACTAACCACTGTCTCTCCAAGCAGAATTACACTACAAACATAAATCAATTTTAAAAATCACAAGCAGAAAAAAGTAAGTACTTACCCACGATGACTGCCAACATGCAAAATGCCTGTAGTAGGTTTTTCTTCATTGTTTTTGTTTTATTGTTGTCCAGTCATACAGATGGGCCAGTTACTCGCAGCTGTTCAAGACATTTGTCCCACTTTTTGAAAAATGCGCAGCAAAGCATGTTCGGTCTCTATGGCTACCTTGGTAAAATAAATAACACTTCTTCAAATTCAAATTCAAACATACTTTATTCATCCCAAAAGGAAGTTAAATGTTATCACTCATATTAATTCTAATTTTTCAAAGAGTTATTGTAGATGGTGTTGGCTGTTGGAAGGAAAGATCTCTTGGAGTGATCTGGGAAGACATTTGTAGTTTTCTGTTTTACAGATCTTGTAATTATGTGACCTTTAAATATTTAAAAAAATACATGTGTCTCAAAGTTATTTGATGTCTCAAAGCAATCATGTTTCAATTGAGATGATTTGTTAATTTCTCAGTTCACAGAAATATTTTTATTTAAAAACAGTGTTTAAGTGAGTTAAAAAGTTTCTGGTTTCAGAGGATCTTGTTCATTTTGGCATCCAGATATCAGGTAACATTTTTTGGAAAATGCCCAGAAAATTATGCCTGGTTTCCCTAGATACATTCATTTTGGTTCAAATAATAAAAACAATGTTAATACTTGTTTTTTAAATTGAAAAGCTACTGCATTTCTAATAATATTACCAACTCAAAAAACTGTTTAGTTCATGAGTTTTTTTTATTTTTGTGGGATGTAGGCACAAGAAAGACTTTCTCTTCAACTTCTCACAGTCAGATAAGAAAGGTTGTTGGCGTCAACTTACTCACTCCCTCTTTAGTTACGTAGCAACAATTTCTTCAGTTATTTACTTAACAGTAGGTCAATGATTCATCACTGTGCCAACTGCTTAAATATAAATAATGCACAGTGACAACTCTGCATAAGTCACGTCACCAGTTTGGCAGTATTTCAGAAATTTTAAACAAAATGGTTATTGGAAAATTGGTTCTTCCATTCTTCACCAACTTTCTGCCATCCCCCATCAGCAGAACTGTCTGCTTCTGGTTGGCATGATGATGCCTGAGCCCACACAAAAATAAAGTTTTAGTCTGATGGAGGACAGCTGTTCTGGTTGGTGTGATGGCCTTGTAAGGCCGTAGTTTTCTGGCAAACATATAAAGTCTGGCTTCATCCACAGTGGTAGAGGTGCTGTAGTACAACTTACATCTCCCGTGTCTGCAGCTCATCTTCTTGAACTGTGAGAATATACTGACTCAACACAAAAACAGGCAGGACTTTGGACACACACCTTGTATCTGCCAGGCTGTTTTCTTTCCGCTGATGCAGAAGGCTGAAACATTTTCAGTCTGTGAAGACCTGAAAGAAAAAATTACCTTCAGCCTTCTCTGACCCTATATAACGACAAAGGTTATGCACACTGATGTTTTACTTTGATTAAATGCCACTCATAAATGTTCTAGCCCCGAAGATTTGGTTACCTAACTTTCTGCTGACTACCAACTACTGTCTAATGGTCAATTGACAGTAGTTGGTGCTATCAATAGCCATTTACAGCATTTCTGAAAAGTGCTGTTAAATAGCATTGATGACACTAAAACTAAACCACAACTATAAGTCTAATATTACAGCCTTAAGGTAGCCGACGCTGAGCAGAGATGCCACCAGTGTTCCCTGGTTTTGTGCTGACATCACTCCATTTCTCAGTCTTGTACTGATGACTCCATTGGATTCTATGATCCAAAGAGAAGTTTATGGAAGATATATGCTGGCACCAAGCAGAAGAAAATTAATGAAATAATATCATGTACTCCCAGAGGTTCTCTGTCATCCAGCATTCTTATGCCTTTTATAACAGGTACTATTTAGCAGAAAAATGCCCCTGCTGGTCAAGATTGTTTTACCAATATGAATACTTTCATAAATTAGTTATACTATAAATATTGTTTTAGAACAGCAGCAGAATGACTGCCAATTTATTAAGATATGTTCAACTCAAGAAATAATTTAATGCAATGTTCATAAGTTCATTCATAGAAAAAACATTTTGACAGTTTTGTTTTTCATTTTGAAGCAGAAAACCTGAATATGCAACATACAGAACTTTACTGATTTACAAAGCATTGTACCAATCAATCAGTCAAACTTTGTATATTGAGTACGTGTCATACAATCAAGTCCAACGCAAAGTTACAGATGTTAAAAACAGAAAGAGCGACATTTAATCACTTAGAGACACACAGTGAAATGATCCATTTGATCAAATCAAGTAAACAGATGAAAATAAAACAAAGTTGGTCTGGGAGTGGGAGAAAATCAATTATAGAAGACATGAAACTGTTACAGCTCTTGCTGATAAGTGAGGAAACACTGGAGAAACATTTCTATTGTCTAAGGAGAAAGATCAAATTTATAAAAACAATAATACAAAATGAACATGCAAAACGTAAAATAACAAACAGAAATTAAAGCTGCAAGCAGCCTCGAACGGCCCTCGCAGCCAAGCGCCGCTCCGGCCTATTGCCACCGCGGGGTACGAGCAACCTCACGCCAGCCACCACTGAAGCTCTCACGCAGTTTTCAGCACCTCCGCCCGCACCGCGGAAGCTGTTGCTCAGTTTAAACTTCTCCAACTCCGGTCCAACAGAGCCTTCTTGCTCAAAAGCGTGGTTCGGATTTGCAACTCCAAAATCCAAGCAAAATGTTGAGCGTAGTCCAGTTCTGTGGCTCCAAAAAGCAGGCAAAATGTTCAGGAAAACTTGGCAGCTCCAGCTGTCGCCGGCTGACTGTTATTACGTAGCGTCGATCTGTTTTCTCATTGATGGAGTACCACTGCCTCCTGCTGGGGCAATACTGGTATTGCACTAGCAGTACCAGTATATCGCCACAAGGTGCCAGTGGTACTCCATCAACACTGACCCCAGTGTGTTCTTACTTCGCTGTGTCATAAGTTTTGCTGAATGACTTTGTTTGTATTATTTCTAGCAAAAATGAATGAATGTTTGTACTTTAACCCACAAAAAAAACATATATATATAAAAAGTTATAATAATGTATATTTAAATAATTAATAACAACAAAACCTATGGGCTGCTGTTTTCTAGGGGGCGCTATAGAGAAATTAGGCCACGCCCACCAAATATTGTGATGGATTCCTGTCGGGGAGTTGATGGGAATCCATCCTTGTGAGTTTGGAGCAGCTGGGCCCAAAAATGTGGAATTGAGAGCCAAACGTATGGCGATGGCGTTACAGGTCACTTCGCCACGCCGCCACACCCACCTGCTCCGTCGTAGCTGGTCGGGGTTGAAATCCTCAATACACCAACATGTCTTCGGTGTCTGGTCACAGTTTCATGTTGATGAGGTCAAAAGGTTCAGATAGCGACCATTCACAGTAAAACATGACACTTCCTGTTCTCAGGGGGCGTGGCCTAAGTGATGTCATCACTCGACCATAGGATGTTGTAGAACACCCGATGATGATCAATCACTGAAACTTTGGTGCCTTTGTGAGTTTCTGTGTTTTGAGATATAGCAGTTTATTTTTTATGGGGAGTAGGTGAAATTTGACCCCTGCCAACCCCTCTTCAGCATACTCAAAAACTCACCGTTTTGATAACTTTAGATGGGACATGCTTTGTGAACAGACTGACTGAGTTTGAAGCCGATCAATCGAAATCCCTGGGAGAAGTTCGATCAAATACGAAGGCTGTAAACGGCAAAAATGGGTCAAAATTCGAACTTCAATCTAAAATGGCTGACTTCCTGTGGGGTTTAGACCATGGCTCCAAGAGACTTTTTTGTAAGTCCTGACAAGGTACACACGTGTACAAAGTTTCGTAATTGTAGGTTAAAGCATGGCGTGGGGCTGATCATTTAAAGTTTTCGTTGGGGCGCTATAGAGAAATTAATGGCTGACTTCCTGTGATACTTGCACTATGACATTAATTGTAAATTTTGAGCATCTTGGGGAGCTCTACAAGTGTACCAAATTTCATGTCTCTAGGATAAAGTAAGTGAATAGCAAAGGGTCCTTTGAAAATTTCTAGGTGGCGCTATTGAGCCATTTCTTATGGGATTTTTGCGATGACCTTAAAATACAAAATTTTGAAACTCCCTTTACGCGTCCGCCAAGTTTGGTGAGTTTTTGAATATGATAAAGCCCCCAAAAAGGCCCCTCTTTAGGGGGGCAGAATAATAATAAGAAACAGTAGGAAAACAATAGGCCTTCGCAGCGCTTAGCTGCTCGGGCCTAATAAACAGTACAGAAACAATAGGCCTTCGCAGCGCTTAGCTGCTCGGGCCTAATTAAAGCTGCAAGCAGCCTCGAACGGCCCTCGCAGCCAAGCGCCGCTCCGGCCTATTGCCACCGCGGGGTACTAGCAACCGTCGCCTCACGTCAGCCACCACAGAAGCTCTCACGCAGTTTTCAGCTCCTCCGCCCGCACCGCGGAAGCTGTTGCTCAGTTTCCATCAACGCTGGCCACGTGCTAACACAGAAGTTGTTGCGCAGTTTCCGCGCCCGTCCACCAGGCGGTACGCACTGATGCGTTCGGAGGCGCTCCTTGACGATTCAAAAATGTGGTGCAGATTCATTGGTTTAGCGAGGAAATATAGCTGGCGGATTAATGTAGGACGCGCAGTGTAGTCAAAATATATTTTAATGCTGTTGTTCTCTTTAGAGGTCAACAAAGGTCATACGTATCCAATTTGGCGTCAGTCGGATGATCCACGTGTCATTTACAGCCGATCATATGCACATGGCGAAGTACTACAGTTCGTCATTTTTCATCATTTTCAGCTGTGTTTCTAAAGCACTCTATTTCATTGTTGGAGTAATACTTACTCAGAGTGGCGAATTACCGAAATGGTTTGTAAGAAGTAAGAAAACGCTACATTTACTGCATGATTTAATTCAACAAAAATTATCTGAGACATTTCTATCCTTTTAGAAATGACATGGCAACGCTCTCACAAAGTTTTCGCGCCCATCCGCCCGTGGATCTGTCATTGGTGGAGGAACACTGACACCTACTGGCGAAATACTGATATTGTTCTTCATCCTGTTTATCTGATGTTTCATTTGTGGAGCAATACTGATCCAAGTGGCAAATTACTGAAATGGTTTA